TGGCCCAATCGCTCAGCGCTGAGCGAAAGACCGAATGAAGCAGCTCACCTACTCGACCTCCTCGTCACTACCGCTTGAACCGTGCACCCAGATTTAGACTTCCGTTGGTCAGGTCTGTAAGGTTCTGGTTGTACTTGTTGTGTTGCGAGTAAAATGGAAACTGAATTGATGTCTTTGTCTGTTTGCTGCTATCCATCTACCCGAGGGCGCCCTCATGGCGCTCGGTCCTAAACATGAAGTGGTTGGCTGAGGCGTGCCGGAGTAGGAGCTTGCGCAACCGGTGAGTATGCAGACGACGACTTGGGCTCTCTGCGTGCGGACTCAACTGATGATGCGGTTGGGTTCTGCTCTTGCACGTGCAGATCATTACACCCCTCCCCCGACTTGAGTGAGTCCCGGCACCTTGAACGTTGAAGTCGCCGAAGTTGAAGTTTGTAGTACCGTAGACCCTCGATGTAAGGAACAGTACCGTGAAAAATCTGTTCAAGAGAATTCCACTAGGCCCGTGCCACTCGATTGCGTTGGCGAAGATCTTTTAGCAGCGCTTGCCAGTGGCTGATGTGTTTGATGTCGCGCTCGCGTTCCCACGTGTTCTCATGGTGAGGGAGCCCGTGCCACTTGACCAAGTACTCAGGTTGGCTGTTGAAGATGCGCTTCTTGATCAGAGCTTCGACAACGTGTAGTGGCTCGCCATCGTCGTCGAAAATCACGGGAGTCGACTTCGGGATCACACGGCCGACGAAGCTATCAGGGTTGCTGTTGTATACCTTGAGCTTGTCGATGTTGAAGCGTGGGCTGATGTGCTTCAAGTTGGCCGGTAGATCGAGCAGCGCAACGTTGCCGTGAAGTTCCAGGATCGGGTACGGACCGATGAAGCGCGGGATGAACTTCCGTGAGCGAAGCGTCGTTTCCGCGGTGGCGTGCGAGATGTTCATGTCCTGCGTCGACAGCAAGGCTAGCTCACCGACCTTGAATGGGTTTGCTGCACGACGCCGGTCGTAGAACTTCTTTTGAGCCTCTTGCGCATCCAACCGATTCTTCCGAGCACGTTCGATCACCTCTTGACGATGCTGAACAAATCGAGACGCGTACTCCACACGAGACCTCGCCACCGGCTGATCGCTCTCCAAACTACCCAATGGGTTCTTAGGGTGACGACCGGTGTCGACGAAGAAGGGCGACAGCTTCGACGAGCTGGACACCAGTGTTGCGTGCGCATACTCAATCATGGGCAGGTGCTCATTCCAGTCGTTGCCATGGTACGAAACAGAGCATCGCAACGAGTCCTCGAGAGTCCGATTCTGACGCTCAGTTTGGCCATTGGCCTGCGCTCGGTGGGCAGTCGTCATCGCTGTCTTGATCTTCATCAGCTGTACCAGTGCTTTCCAGAACTTCGACGTGAACTTCGGGTCCCGGTCGGAGATGATGGTCGATGGGATACCATAATACCGGATGACGTTGTTGAAGAACAGCTTGGCAATGTCTTCCGCAGTCGCCGTGGTGTGCGTCGGGATGTAGACTGGACGCTTTGACAACTTGTCCACCACGACCATGATCGCATCAAAGCCGTCGGACACAGGCAAATGCGTGATGAAGTCAGTCGAGACAACATCCCAACACGCAGCGGGCAACGGGATCGGCTGAAGCTTTCCTGCTCTTCGTCCGGTGCTTGACTTGTACCTCATACATGACTCACAACTCTGAACGTAGGCTTTGATGTCCAGATCCATGCTCGGCCAGAAGTACCACTGTGCCGCAGCAAGCTGAGTGCGACGGATGCATGGGTGCGCCATGGTCGCCGCATCATGCGCGTTGTGAATGACATCGAACCGAAGTTTCCGGTTGTTTGGCACACAGAGGCGGCGTAGGCTGTCGTTGCTCTTCAAATAGATCAACCCGCGAATGATTTCGTACTCTTCCGACGGGCGACCGGACTTCCACAGCGGCTTGAAGACTGAATCTTTGCTGTATGCCTTCTGAAACGCCCGCTTCGTTTGGTTATCCAGTTGAAGTGAGCTTATCACCGTGCTGTCCTCCATCGATGCTGCGATCAATCTCATACGCCACTGTGCCGTGCCTACAACATGTGCCCTTGCGGCTGGCTGTTTGACGGCAAGCATCACGGCTTGATCACGAGTCGGTATGCTTTGGAGCTTCTCCGTAGCCTTAGTACGACGCGATGCCGCGTCGCAAATGTTCGTGCATGTCGGCGACGTCAAACACGCCGTACACACTGCCAGCGGCTCGGGTTCGGTTTCACCAGCCTCCAGTTCCTCCCCCAGACTTGAAGAAGCATCAGGGGGGCGCGATAACGCGTCGGCGACGACATTCAAAGTGCCTGGACGATGGTGCAGCGTGAACAGGAAGGACGCAAAAAAGTCCAGCCAGCGAGCCAGGCGACCAGACAGGCGGGGATGCTGTAGAAACCACTTGCACGCCGAGTTGTCCGTGTACACTTCAAACGAGACTCCATGGAGGTAATGGCGCCAACGGGCGAGCGCTTGTTTGATCGCAAAGAGTTCCTTCTCGTGAACAGGCCAGTTCAGCTCATGCGGACCAAGCTTCTTGCTGAAAAATGCCACGGGGAGATCATTGCCGCCATGCAGCTGAGAGAGGACTCCACCAATGCACGCGTGACTAGCATCCGTTGTCACAATGAACGGCTTGTCGAAGTCTGCAGACGTAGTACCGGTGCGTGCTGGAGCGCAAGCTTGATGGCATTGAAAGCCTGGCACTGACCGTCATCCCATACCCACGCCACATCTTTCTTGACCAAAGAGCTCAGCGGAAGTACCAGTGTCGCAAACTGATGAATGAAGCGACGATAATATCCGGCGAGACCCAAGAAGCGCTGTAGATCCTTGATGTTGCTGGGCTCTGTCAACTCGGCGATGGCTCGAGTCTTGCGAGCGTCCACGTGCAAGCCATCAGCTGAGATGGTGTGGTCAAGGAAGTCGACCGAAGCTTGACCGAAGTCGCACTTATCCGGACGAGCGTAAAGCTTGTGAGCCCGAAGGATTTCACAGACTTGCCGTAAGTGCTCGACGTGATCGGCCATCGACCGCGAGAAGATGCAGATGTCGTCCAGATAAACGACCACGAACAGTAGATGGCTCAGCAGCTTGCGCATCAGGCGCGTCCACGTGCCCGGCATGCCGGCCAGGCCCATAGGCGCCACGTTCCAATGATATATCTCATGGTTTGTCCTGAATGCCGTGTACTGCTTGGACGTCGGAGACATACGCATCTGGTGGTATCCACTGGCGAGGTCGAGAATCGAGAAGATCACTGCTCCCACCATCCGATCAAAGAGCTGCTCGATGTGCGGCAGCGGTATATTGGCAACCTCTGAGGCCGCATTCACCAAGCGATAGTCAATGTCCCATCGAATGGGCATGTGCGGATTGTTCGAATGTAGCCACTCCAAGCGTGATGGGAATTTGCCAGTCGCGGGATCCTTTTTGGGCACGCCAAAGATGTTTGATACCCATGGAGAGTCCGACACTTCGATCCAGTCCTTCTTCAGCAGCTCTGCCACAAAGATGTCCAATGCCTCCTGCTCAACCTTCGAGAGACGGAAGGGGGCGCGGTTGCTGGGCGTCGCACCTGGTTTCAAGACCACTTCGTGCTCGATTGAGTGGCTCGGTGGTAATCCAGGCGGCAACTCTGACGGAAAGACATCGGCGAACTCGTCAAGTACTGCTTGAAGCTGCGACGGCACCGACTTCACCTTGGGCGACGTCTTCACCGTGACATTATACAGTTCGGCGTACTCGTCGGCCTTCACCTTTGTCTCAAACTCTGCCGCCGAGAGGACACACAACGACGATGCCTCCGTGTCGTCATCGCCTTCGTTGTCAAAGATGCGTTGCAATGGCTGACATTCTAGCGCTGTTATCGAGCTTGGCCCCAAAGGCATACTGAAGTAGCCTGCCTTTACACGAGCGTCAAGCTGCTGCCGCAGATTCGGGGGCAGGGGGTGCTGAAGGAACTCAGGTTTCACTTCCACTGAAGCCACTGACGGTCCCGCTACCTCGAGACTGTCGTTCACCGAACTGAAATCATGCACTTAGCGCTTGTTGGGGAACCGCATCACTCCGGTTTGCCAGTCGATAACCGGGTGAACTGCACCAGCCATGGAAGCCCGAGGATCACGTCTTGATTTGTCGACACTTCCCACTCAATGAGGGAAAATCCGTTGAAGTCTCTGCCAGCAAAGCGGATAGTCTCCAAACATTGTTGCGCCGTACGGGCCGGCGTTGTCGTACCGTAAAAGCGCTCCGCCGTGACCTTGGCGGACTCAACGCAGTTTTGGGCGAGGCCAGGGCGCACAATGTTGCGCTCTGCACCGCTGTCGATCAAGATTCCCACTGCCCGCCCGTTCATCGCCCCCTCGAATCGCAACAGTTCTCGATTGGGTGACGGCTCGGTGGCGATGGACACCATGTTCAACTGCAAGCTGTCAATGACCTCGACGTGGTCGTCACGGCTGTCTACGTAGTCGTCTTCGTCTTCGTCGGATACGTCGTCTTCGACAATGCGGCGGAACGAGCCCTGGTTAGCGCGGAATGACCCGCGCCCTTGTGGAGGACGAGATACACCCCGGGGGTTGTTGCGCGCTGGCCTCTTTGGGCACGTGGCCAGGCGATGCCCGGGTTCCTTGCAGTAGAAGCACAGATTACTGCGCAGACACTCGTCGCGAGAAACGAAGCGCGAGCTTCCAATCTCCATCGGTGTTGGCTCCTCGATGCGATGTAACGACTGTTGAAGGCGTTGGCCACCTTGACCTCCGCGGTTCGCATGGGTACGACGCGATCCTACAGTGTGCGTTCGGTCGTACATCAGTGCAAATGAAATCGCGTCCGTCGTGTTTCGGAACTGGCGCAGCTTGACCTCTTGCCTGATCTCTACGACCAACCCCTTCTGAAAATGCATGACCTTGTTGATATCGCTCATGTCCTCTACCTTGCAGATGATGTGCCGGAAGGCCGACACGTAATCTTCGAGGCAGGCGAAGTTGTTCTGGCGTAGGCGTAGGAGCTGGTCGCGCAGGTGCTCTTGGTGATCGGGGGTCGTGAACTCGCTGGTCAGCAGCTCCTCGAACTGCGAGACCGAGTGCAGGAAGTTCCCGTCGTGGGAGACGTACTCGCGGTACCATGCTGCTGTTGGCCCCTTCAAGTTCGCCACCAAGAGTGACAGGGGGCGCTGCTGCGGTGTGTCGGCGCCGTACTTGATGTTCTTCGACTCAAAGTAGAGTTTGGCACTGAAGAGGTAGTCCGCGACGTCGTCGTCCTTGGTGCCGGAGAACTTCGGCATGGAGATGCCCTCGGCACGGTACTCGCGCGTGTCTTGAGAAGTAGAGTCGTGCGACGGTGGTTACTGCTGCTGCTGCGAGGCAGACTGCTGCTGCTGTTGCTGTTGCAGTGTCGCCGCCATCTGGCGCTGCAGCTCCGCTGTCTGCGCCATGAACTGTTGTTGCTCGCGCATCATCGCCGCGAGCGAGGCGAACATCTGCTGCACGCTGTCCGCGTGCTGCATAGCTGCTTCATCCATGTTTGCGCCTACGCTAGTCACGTCGTCAATAGATGGCTGGGGCGCGCAAGCTCCTCAACCAAATCAATCAAAGTTTAAAGTCGCAGGCACTCCCTGGAGCGCTGCTTCCGACAATGTCTGTAAGCCCCAACGAAGTCACAGACGCTCGACCTGGAGCTCTGCTTCCGACAAGTACCAACCACTTGCTCCAGTGTCCCGAAGGAAGCAACTGGTGCAATTCCGTCCGGCGCTAGCTCGAGCCCGCCTCGGAGCACAAAGACTCCTACTACTAAACTCGTAACGGCCACCGACGCAGATGTTACACTCGGCTGCGCACTGTTTGCAAGTGACAGTCGAGGTGACAAGCGGAAGGTCGAGGTGGGTGCCGCGTATGGACACGCGGAAGTAATTGGGCTAAATACACCAATGAGATGTCGACACGAAGTGACGTGTGACAATGTGCGTCGCCACTCCTCCCCCAGAAAGAAAAGGAGCGAGCTCGGCGAAAATGGAGGCCCCGTCGGCGACGAGCGGACGAGGCTGCGGACGAGGTCACGCACGCGGCGCACCCGGAGAAGTTGAACGGCGAGAGGTACAGGTGCAGCACACCGAAGAACGGATGCGAGGAAGACGGCGTGCGCAACGGCAATGCGGGACGGACGAGGCTGGACGGCGTGCACACCGGCGACGCGTGGCGGCACTGGAACTGGAACGAGGACTGGAACTGGAACCGGAACTGGACTGAAGCGCGCGTCGGCTTCGCAAGTGCTACCAAGTGTAAGGTTCTGGTTGTGCTTGTTGTGTTGCGAGTAAAATGGAAACTGAATTGATGTCTTTGTCTGTTTGCTGCTATCCATCTACCCGAGGTCGCCCTCATGGCTCTCGGTCCTAAACATGAAGTGGTTGGCTGAGGCGTGCCGGAGCAGGAGCTTGCGCAACCGGTGAGTATGCAGACGACGACTTGGGCTCTCTGCGTGCGGACTCAACTGATGATGTGGTTGGGTTCTGCTCTTGCACGTGCAGATCATTACAAGGTCGCTGGGACAAGACGGACAAAACAAGCCCGAGGAGGCCGTTAACAGCATCATAGACTCGTCGTCCTTGGGAAGGAGCTTGGCATCTTGTCGGACTCGTTCCCTGATGCGATCTTGTGTGTTGAAGTCGTTGTACATGGCCTTCTTTTACGTCGAACCCGAAAAACGCGTTTCCGACCTCCGTTGCACTGCGGTGGAAACTACTCATTTCCTCTCTTGTGCAAGAATCCATGTGGGGCTAGAGCCGCTTCATTTTCAGTTAATGAGGCTAGCCTCGGTGCGGCTTGAACCGCAATGCAAGCCTAGGCACCCCACATTTAGCCGAGTTGACTGGGAATGAAGTGCTCTGGCCAAACAACAACACAGTACAATCTTTCGTTAGTACCTAGAGCGGTGAACGTGTGAACGAACCGTGCTCCATTGTTCGCCGCCCTCCCGGCAAGCTGCTCCGCCCTCGATCCACCCACAGGCCCCCCTTCGGTTTGATCACGAGTATACCTTGTAAATGACCCGCCACGCACAGCATGATGCCACCCAATGATGGGTGTTCGAGCAATCACTGCTTGCAATTCGTCCACTTTACGGCTGCTTAGATGGTGTCATGCTTGAGCATCTTCGACACGCCATCTCCGCCTATTCCTCCGCTAAACGACCCGGGGGGTTGAGTAGATCGAGCGAGCGTTGCTATACCTGGAGACCCAGCCTAATCAAACATCAGATGCAAATACTTAGCTGAGCACGCTTCAGTCTTCTTCTGGTTAGCCCCCTCAGGCAGCGACTTGTGCCATCGCGCGCCCCACAACAGATAGCGTTGGCGCTGTCGATGCAAGCTGGACGGCCAGCCGGATAAACCGTGTGAACCCTTCTGTGGTGGCCGGTCTTGACTGCTTGACCCGTCCGCTTCGCCGTCTCCGCCACGGCTAAAATTCTGCGTCGCCTACTTGCAAGCGCACATGGTCGAATCGCTCAGCGCTGAGCGAAAGACCGAATGAAGCAGCTCACCTACTCGACCTCCTCGACACTACCGCTTGAACCGTGCACCCAGATTTAGACTTCCGTTGGTCAGGTCGCTGGGACAAGACGGACAAAACAAGCCCGAGGAGGCCGTTAACAGCATCATGGACTCGTCGTCCTTTGGAAGGAGCTTGGCATCTTGTCGGACTCGTTCCCTGATGCGATCCTGTGTGTTGAAGTCGTTGTACATGGCCTTCATTTACGTCGAACCCGAAAAACGCGTTTCCAACCTCCGTTGCACTGCGGTGGAAACTACTCAGCGCTCGCTCTGGTCTCGAAGCGAAATTGTGGGATTCGCGCGCTGTACCAACTGGCTTTTGTTTTGGAGACGCAATGGCCCTATATCTTGTCCAAAGTTATGCTATGGATGCTCTTCACGTTAACGTTTCGCATTATGCACTTTGGTAAGCATTTACCTTAACTACCAAGCTTTGGGTAAAAATTCCCTTCTGACTAAAGTCTGATATTTTTTTTGCTTTCAGGAGCCGATTTTTCCTTTCAATTCCAATGGATCCATCCTAATAGCTAATCAGTTCATCAGTCGGAACAAGGGATAAACTAAATCTATCCCCAGCTCTAGGCAGTAGTTAGTACCAGCGGATTCAATTATAAGCATTAAACTCGCCTGCGCGAGCCTCTCCCCCCCCCGGCGTGAATCCAACTGCGACCAGCTCGCCTACCTTTCAAAGCAGACTCACCACGTTTAAGCGAGCATCCAGGACGCACGCGAGAGTAGGCGCTGGTTCTCCTTCGCTTTCACAGCGCCATGGCAAGCGATCGGTATGGGGACTTACAGTCACACCTCGCCGACATATTCGAGCTGGACCTGTCTATCGTGCCCTCTGGGGTATGGGCGCTGCTGGACACGAAATATGCCTTGGAGTCGGAGGCTGCCAGACACAATGTCCGTAGGGTACTCCGGGACTCATTGCAGGACTGTTGGCGGCTTGGCGTCGTCCTTACTCTTCATGCTATCTGGAAATGGAGGAGCGGTTGCCGAGACCCTGTCGAGGATATGTCGGCGCATCGAGCCATGGCGTTGTTATCGGGGCGTCTAGCACAAGGGTACCTCACGTTGCGAGAACGGGCGCTTGGCTCCCCCGCTGCTCCTCATATCCATCAAGCAGCTCGGCTTGCTCATGCGGTGCTCACGGCCGGCGGCGGCACCACACCCGAATACGCTGCAGGAGCACTGGAGACGTCGAGATTTTTACTTTTCTTCGACGGCGGCTCGAGAGGCAATCCCGGACCGGGTGGCTCGGGGTCGGTGATCATACGGATTGGTGGCCGTGACCTCTCTCCGGTTGTGATGTGGATGGCGAGCGTGTCGTACGCAGCGCACTCCACGACGAATAACGTGGCGGAATACAGGGGGGCTACTAGTGGGCCTTCGGCGAGCGCTGGCGATGAAGCTAACGGGGCTTCATGTGATTGGAGACAGCATTAGTTCGGCCACAAGGCCAGTAACTCAATACACCTCAACGTTATTAAAAAAAAGATTGGAGACAGCAAACTTATCCTCACGCATCTGGCGCGGCGACGCCCTCCCAAGGCTGCTCACTTGCGAGATATTTACGCGCAATGCAGAACTATCGCGGACCAGCTTCAGATCACGTCCTGGACGCATCACCTCCGCCACTTCAAGAAGACGGCTGACAAATTGGCGAACCTCGCGATGGATACCAAACGCAGCATCCAGGTACTTGACACAGACATCGAGCACCTTACCCCGACCTGGTCGTACTCCTCACGAGCGATGTATCACAATGGATTGAAACCCATCTAGACCCGGATGAAGACGGTAGACGGTCGAACTCACTAGGTAACTCTAAGGAGGATGCATGTGCTAGCACCTTCAACGGTACTTAGCAAGCTGACAGAAGATGTGTAGGCTTCTGACAGACGGACATTGGCTTAGTCGTTAGATTTCCTAAATGCCTGTAATGTACCTCACCAAAAAAACTAAAAACTCCTTCGCTTTCACACGGCACGGTTGTTCTCCGTTGCCATTGCCCTCGCTAGTACGTGATAGAGCGGTAGGGGCTGCAGCTTCAGCCTTTTTTTATACCCAAAAGCATTGTCACTCCTGGTTACATGTACTGAACTAAATCCCACAATAGCACCTAAGCAAGATAAGCTGTATGCCCTTCTTGCAAGTGCTGGCTACTTCAGAAGTATGATCGGCCTAGGGCCAACGGCAAGGGTGCTGCCTTCGGACGTGACAACGAGCGGAAATCCCCACACAGCCGCCACGCCTTTGATGACGAAATGGTTCCACGCATGGCACGCCTCTCAACCCTCGCGCTTTGGTGGGAAATACTCGATCGAGCGGATGCTCGCACTGGAAGATTATAATCGCAAGGCGTCTGTGCCTCGTGTTGTTCTGGTCCTTATCCGCTTACCGCTGGTTGTGTTCTTCATTGTGATATGCCAAGAAGCTGTTCCACTCCAGCGGCCAAATGAAGGCTGGAAGGCAAATTACGGCTTCTGGGTCCGTGCGGGTTGTGCTGGTGTTGCTGCGTCGTACGCGGTCACGTCACAGATCGGGCTCTGGTTGAACGTTCGGCCGCTATCTGTAAAGCAGTCGGTAGCGTATCACGTGTACTCTGGTAGCGCCTTTGTTGTTGTAGGAGTGGCAGTAGCGGCGGTGTCGGTGTTTCCAGTGCCCTTCTTCATGCTGGCGGTCTCTCCTCCTTCGGCGCTGGTCTTGGGTGTAGGCTTGCGCGTTGTGCTGGGCACGGAAGAGTGGGAACGCATGTTTTCGTTGCGGAGGAACCTGAGGCAATTTAGTAAAATTATCGTGCTGTCTGGAGTCATGTATGCCGGCTACCCGGTATATCAACTGCTTTTCACCAAGGTGAACCATACGCCGTACGAATTACCTGTTCTTCTCGTGCTCCCCATACCGAGCGCTCGTTATCATTCCGAGATGGAAGGTCTTACTGCTGATAACGTGGGCAGAGCTGTGTCGGGAATACTAGCTTACGCATTGCTGGAGCTCACGTCGTTCGTCGCACTTGCCATTATCACGAAGCGATCTTGTGGGATACGCACGCTGTACCAATTGGCTTTTGTGTTGGAGACCCAGTGGTCCCTGATCGTCTCAAAAGTCATTTTATGGATGCTCTTCACGCTAACGTTTCGCGTTGTACACTTTGGTAAGTTCTTACTTACCTTGGGGTAGACGCTCAATTTTGACAAACTGTTTTTGTTTTTGCTTTCAGGAGCCGATTTCTCCTTCCAATTCCAATGGCTTCGTCCTAACAGCTAAACAGTTCACAAGTCCGAGCCGAAAGGGAAAGTTAAATCCATTTCCAGCTCCTAGTGAGTCCCAGCGCGTCTAATTGTAAGCTTCGAACTCGCCTGTGCGCGCCAAGGACAAGGCTTCCACCTGCAGCATTGAGTGACCACGCGCGTTGCGAGCCATGAATCCCACTGCGACCAGCTCGTCGCCCTTTCGAAGCAGACTCACCACCTTTGCGAACATCTCCAAAGACCATCCAAGTGTGTCACGCTGCAAGAAAACCTGGAGTGGTCTATCGTACCCACTTCCAGCTAATTCCAGTGAGACGAAGGCCATGCCATTGCTGAATCTACGAACACGGGAGATTTCACCTGTCGCTTGGATGTAGACTTTCCGAGGATCAGTCAGGTTATCGGTAACAGCTTGCTCTTGATCTTGTGCAGCCTTCACTCGCGCGGCGGGGCTGTCCATAACAACGAGCTGGTCTCCGAGCTCACTCTTCCTCGTATTCAATTCCGTCTCCAGTCCTAGCCACGTCTCAAGAGCGGCATCTCGGGCGATGGTGTCGGTGCCAGGCTCAGGTTTGGAAGCTTGCTCAGTGGTAGCGAGTGCCGCGATGGCTTGGCGCTTGAAGCAGCAGTAGACGTACACTGGCGTATCTGGGGACTGATTCCGCGTTGCAATAAGCGACTGCACGTCGTAGCCCAGGTCTGGGTGCGTCAGGAACTCCTTCTTCCGCCATTGCTTGCGTGGTGTCAAGCAGACCAGAGACGCACTTTGGCTGGCAGCAGAGCTGCCACAGGCCGGTACGAGCTGGTCCAGAGTGCGGCACAGGAGGCGGAAAAAGGCGGGGCTCTTCTTGGCGCGACCACGGAAACCTCGAAAGAGGAATCCAGCATCCAGGACGCAGGCGAGCGGTGGCGCTGGTTCTCCTTCTCTTTCAAACGACACAGTGATCTTCTCATCTGTTTCGTTGTCGTCTTTCTCGCCAGTGCGCGATAGAGCGAAAGAGGACTGCAACGTGAAGAAGCCGCATGGGTCGAGCTTCAGCGTCTTTTCTTCGTCGTTCGGTTCTGCATCGAGATCCACGCTGCACTTGTGAAGCTGCAGCTTCAGTCGTTTGATACCGCGCTCGCCATTGTCAGCAACACTGAACGGCAGTTCCTCAGCAAGAGAAACCGTGTACACGTTGGTGTAGCCATCACGCAGCAGCAAGCGCACGACTAAGCGCCGTGGGTGCCAACCAAGAGCGAGTACGTGCGTGTCCATTCCGAGATGCGACGCCACAGCCGACGGTACACTGCTCCCCATTGTCTGTTCCTCTGCGATGTACTCTTCCGGAGTCATCGTCGACGCATCACGGGATAGCTCGCCCAACGTGTCGCCGATGAAATCGAGCACGCCATCGTGTCGCTTCCTCAAGTTCTCCACCTGCTGCTCGGTAGTTTTGTCTGCGTGTTCTCCGGTCAAAGTCTCAACATTCACCACCAGCTCTTTGCGCACGCAGCCCTTCATGACACTCGACGCCAACGAGAGATCAGCGTGGGAGGTGTCAACACTGCCAGGAGCATGAGCAGACTCGTCTCCAACCCACAAGCGAATCTACACAAAAGCAACAGAAGAAAAAAAACATTAGACAATGATGAAGAATTATCTGAGCGGCGAGCGCTTACCTCCCGGTGGTCCGAGAGCACGCTGAAGTCGTCGTACACAAGATCTGGGCCGCGGCCAAAGAGAAGCTCCTGCTTGCCGTACCAGTTGCAGCACGGCAGCGTCACGACTCCGCACACCTGCTCCGCCTGCACGGCGCTCAGCGCCTGGTCCAGCGTCACGTGGGCGTGCACCAGAACCACAATTGCCCGCCTCAGGGCGATGCGCACGTTCTCAATCTTGTTGCGAACCACAACGAGATTCGCCACGTCCGCCCACCCCTTCGACCGCTGCAGCACAACAAAGAACAAGAAAGACAAACTATCAGCACCTCAAAACAAAAGAATGCCCAATTTCCCAGCCACGAACCTCGCTCGTCCCCTTCTCCATCGCCGGGTCCACACTGTAACACTTCCACCCTCGCATCCGGAACGCAAACATTGCGGCCGTCCGAGCTGGAAACAAAAGAACAACGAATATGTCAACCAACTACCCCGTACGTGGTAGAGCATTGACCACTGTCCACTCACGAGTGTTGCCGTCTCCCACGACGACGATTCCGTTGTGCTTGCCGTCGCCCTGCAGCTCTTCTCCACTGCTTTTGGGCTCCATGTATCGGCGGACGGCGTTGAACAGCGCCATGCTCTGGGAGTACGAAGAAACATTGAGAAAAATTTGCACCACTATCGCCATCTCATTTTCTCTGATATGGCGAGTGCTCGCTCACCTCTGTGACCTCCTTGGCGTCCGGGAACAAGCCGTGCCGCAGCAGGGCGGGCGCGCAGTGCAGCTTGCCCACGAACTCATTGAGGTACCGCAGCGACACGGGGGGCGTGGAGGCTGAAACTGTTGCAACAGGTGGAGACACGTCTGGAGAAGAGCTGGGCGAAGTTTCAGCGCTGTCCGAGGCCTGGGGCGGATGGCACAGCCGCCAGCGCGAGACGTGTCGGCTCGATGCCATGGTGACCAATTGAGTGGCAGTTGGAGAATTGGTACCCAAATCAGAAATAGGTGTCTTTTTCAATAATCATAATGGTATATTCTCAATTAGAATAAAAGCCTATCGAGTGCAGACAATCCTCTCTGTAGTGATAATCTCGGGAGACCACTTTTATCACTATCCAGAGGCATCACTATCTAGATCTGTACCGGGATGATGGTACAATATCGTTCAAGGTGATAAAGCGTGGTCAAAGCACTACATAAAAGTAGTTGTTGTACTGGAGATGCTAATGTTTACTACTATATGGCGCGAAGCGTGATGATACGCTGGCCACTAGTCAAATATAACTGGGAGGACTGTACAGGCAGCTACAACGTGAAATCAAGTCCAGCGCCCAAACTGATACGATAAATGCACGTTCCAGGATCACAAACATGCCAAGCTTAACAATATGTGCGCGAACCCAAAGAATCTTAGTTCAATCATGGTCACAAGCGACCCAAGTTGTGGTGGAACTTTGCAGGGCATACTTTACAAAATGGACATTCCTATAGTTAACGGTATCTGGATAGTGATAAAGCCTAATCTCGTATCACTAAGCACTATCCGGAGGTAGAGGATGTTTTGACTTGAATTTGTAGACCATCGGTCATCGGGACAGCCTTCATTAGTGCTAATCAGAGGGTATCCCTGTTAGGGATATCACTCCAAAGAGGATTGTCTGTATGTGGTCCTATTTTACGAGCACTGCTCGAAGGCGTTCATTTCCGTTGAATAGTCTGCGTCTGTATCGAGTCTAGCTAGTGCTCGTCTGCTTCCGCTTAGCCTCCTGGAATGCCTCCATACCCTGGATCCACGAGCCTTCGGTCAGTCCCTGCGGACAGTAGGCGCAGGTCACTCCGAGCCTCTGGATGTCCGCCACGTTGCCATACTCGTTGTCAAAGAAGAGCATGTCTTCGTACGGAATGCCGCTGTCCTTCTTGAGCTGCTCGAAGTGCACGCGCTTGTTGCGAGGATAGATGGCTTCATAGTCGATGATGGTCTGCAGCGAGGTCTTGACCACCTCGTCATCATCACCCTCCTCCTCCCCCTCCTGTGCCTCTCCTTCCTCCTCCTCTCCGTCCCCATCAGCAGCTTGGCTTCCACTGCCAATGTCGACGTCCATGAGTCGCATGCAGGTCTTGGCCCACTTGGGCTCCGTCGTCCTCGAAGCGACCGCCACCTCGGTCGTGTCTCGGAACTGCGGGTCCGTCTCCAGGATGCTCAGCACCGTGTGGACGGCCCCGAAGAAGTGCACTTGCTCGCCCTTGCAGTCCGTCACGGCGCCCGTGGTCGGGTTCTTCTTGAACGGAGCCCCCCAGAGCTCGTACATCTCTGGATACCACAAGGTGAAGTCCAGGTCGAACACCACGAGGCGAGGGATGTGGTCCCATTTCCGATGCGCGCTGTGGGACCTGGCAAGGGAGGACCCGGACGTCTTGGCCTTGGCGCGCTTCGCCTTGAGCTTCATTTTCGCTTTGGCGCGGGGCATAACGACCGATGTGAGCTCCCGAAGGTGAACAACTCGATGGGGTGAACAGAACCGTTACACGAACGACTGGCATGAGGGAGATGGCTACATCGAAGCTGTAGCCATCTTCGTAGGGTGTAGCCATCTTCTCCAAGCAGAGGGGCGCCAAAAAACTTTATACTGTACAAGTAGTTTGGTGCAAACTCATCGCAAAAATGAGGAAGTTATTGTGGGGAGTGTAAAGTTGAATCGTTGTTGCAGCTTAGCAGTCGACTACAGTAACCTACCGTAGCAACGAAATGATCCCGTATCTGGCGCTGGTAGTCTGGTTACAGACTCTGCTGCTTCTTGGCGAGCTGGAAGTCCTCCATGCCCTGCAGCCACGACGCCACCGTCAGTCCCTCGGGACAGTGCGAGCACACCACGCCCAGCGCGCTCACGTCGTGCACGTTCTCGTCGTCGTCGTCGTTGAACAACATGTCCTCGAACGCGACGCCGCTCTGCTCCTTGAGCTGCCGGAAGTGCGTCGTCTTGCTGCCCGGGAAGACCGTCACGAAGTCGGCCAGGCTGGCCAGCGTCTGCTTCCCAGCCTCGACGCCGTCCTCGCCGCGTAGCTGCACATCCATGAGTCCGAGCACCTTCTTCGCCGTCTCGACCTCTTCCGTTCGGGACGCCACGCCGATCTTGGTGTCGCGGAACTGCGGGTCCGTCTTGAGCACGCTCAGCACGGCGTGGATCTCCGGGTAGGAGTGCACCTGCCAGCCGATGGCGTCGGTGACGTCCCCCGTGACGGGGTCCTTGCGCAGCTCGTCGGCGTGCAGCTCGTCCATGGCCGGGAACCACATGGTGAAGTCGAGGTCGAAGACCACGAGCTGCGGGACGTACGTCCACCTGCGGAAGGCGCGCGCGGCGTGGTCCGGGTCCTTGGACTCGGTGGAGCGGTTCTTTCCGGGGGCCAGCGCCTTGGGCATGTTGACAATGAAGTAAGAGTGGGGAGTCCGAGGTAAATTAGGGAATGAGTTAGGCCTTGGGACAGCTCATCGATCGTGTCGTGGCCGTCCCAGGTCTCTTCTATCACCGGCTTATGCGTTTGCCAGAAGGTCGCAATTTCGGTCTCCGCAGCACAATCGTGGGGGAGAATGGGGCGAATGGCGCGTGAGCAATGGACGCGCGTCCCCCGCCTCGTGGTGTTCGACCTGGACTACACGCTGTGGGGGCCCTACATCGACGTGTTGAACGGGGGTCCGTTCACGACGACGGATAGTCCGGGCACCGTGCTCGATCGCTACGGGGAAGAGCTTAAGCTGCTGCCGGACGTCGAGAAAGTGCTGAATGTCATCGAGACGGACCCGCAGTTCAGTGGCACGAATGTAGCCATTGCATCGCGCACGGGGGAGATCGACGCGGCGAAGGAGTGTATGGGGCTGCTGAAGGTGAGCATTGGTGGGGAGATAAAGACGCTCGAAAGCATCGCCAGCTTCGTGGAGATCTACCCGACGTGCAAAGTCGCCCATTTCAAGGAGTTCGAGCAGCAGAGCGGCCTGGCCTACGAAGATATGCTCTTCTTCGACGACGAGTATCGCAACATCCAGGACATCAAGAAGCTCGGGGTCACCTGCCAGTACTGCGAAGACGGACTCACTTGGTCATCATGGCTACATGGGATGGAGGCTTACCAGAAATCCAAGAAAAAGTAGGCAAACACTAATCTGCATTAGCTCTCTACAGGCTAATAGCTTAGTGCTCGCACAATGAAAAGTATCGGGAACGGCCGAACGTGTCCTCGTCGTCATCTTGCACTGCTGCGCGCTCTTCCATCAGCAATAGTCGATGTTGCTTGGCTGCTCTAAGCGACATCCCACGAGGCAGCATCGACTGGATGTTCTGCTCCACTGCATCAACAAGACGAAGCTGCTTCATCATGCGCTCAAACGTTGGCGTGATCCATTCCTCTTGCTGTGGAGGGATCACGGATGTCGACGGAATGGGGTTCTCCGGGTCAATGAGGAAGAAGGCCAGGATCTTGCGAATTCCAGGCTTGGCGACGTCCTCCAGCTCGAACGGCTGTACTTGGTGCTGCAGCCAGTTCGGGAACGCCACACAGCGGGACGCTGAGGTCTCTACAGAGCCGAGTACTTGCACCAACAGCTCCTCGTTGAAGAGTCCGTAGATCTCCGCGACTCCGTCGTCATCGCTTTGCTGGTATGGGGGCTCTTCCACCTCCGCGCGGAATGCCAGTCGCGAGCTCTTGATGTTGTCGCTAGCGAGGTAATAGATGCCAGTGCCGACGATTCTCTCTGCTGGCGTGCCCTCGATATGCCACGACCCTCTTTTTATACTGCGGATTCTCAGGCGTAAGGATGATCTCGGCGATTTTCACGATAGCTTGCACAATTTTACCACGTAACGAGATGGGTACAGTCTCTTTCGGCAGCTCCACGACGTCTGGGACTCGAGGACGGCGCGGCAACACCCGCCACGAGTCATGGCTGATCATATCAACGTCGAAAGTTGACTGCGGTTTCCCCATGGATTGGTCGGTGAGCATGCGCTCGAAGAGCGGAACAAAATGAGCGAAGATGGCTTCGATCGAATCGTACAAGTCCGCGTGCTGCTCCGGATGCAAATTGTTGATGTACGACAAGGTGCGTACTCGAATATCCCCGTCTTGCCCAGCCTCACCCCCTTCAGCTACTTGGAAGTCGGTGGGGATCCACTGGTAGTCCGTGTTGCAGCCTGGAGGCTGCTGCACAATTTCCGACCCAGTGAACATCAAGCGATGCATTTGGTCAGCCGGGGTTGTGAACGTCGAAGGGTCCAGCGCACTCGCAGCTTTCACAGTCTCTCCCAATACGCAACAGAAGAGCGACGGGTGGACCAAGTCCAGCACGTGCTTCTCCGAGTGCGGGTGCCAGTCTTTCTCTTCGTCCGGCACATTTTCCAGCCCCGCCACCTCCTTCTTGAATTTTGTCGCTACATTTTCAGGAATCAAATTGTCGCTTATCCATACGCCGTCGATCCCAGCAGGACCAAACACAACTTTAGCCGGATCTAAATCAGTGTTGAGCCCCTCCCTCTCCGCTATCTGCAAGAGAACTTTCATCGTGTAGATCTGCACAGCATGGAGCTCACGATGGATCTTCTCGTAGTGCAGCTTGAGCTTCAGTAGACGATCAGCGCTCAGAAGTTCCGATCCAGACGGCAGCGCCAGCGCTTCCTCGACGCTAACACCTCGACGAACCGCAAGAACGGACTCTACGGCTCGAAGAACAAGCTCTGAGTCGTCTAAGGCACGCGCGCAAGCGACTGCTTCTCCAGTGGAGTGAAGTGTCCACTCTTCGACAGGAATTTTACTCAGCTTCTCGTGCAGCAGAAGCTGGTTGAGCGTCCATTTCACCATAGGATAGGACTCCTGTGCGTCCACCTCCTGCTTTAGCGCTCGCATCTTCTTCTTCTCCTCCTCGGACAACTCGCTACTGCCTTCGTCGTCAACTACAGCATCATTCTCTTGTTTCTCTTCGGTCTTGTCTCCTTCCTCCTCGTCTTCTTCTTCAAAATCCTCCACATCGCTGAACTCCTCCTCCGACTCCTCGTCCATCCCAAACTCCGTGACGATTCCTTTCATCCATTCGCACTTGGCGCGTTTGTCAGCTCCACCAGGCTCGTGCAGCAGGTCGTTGAGGGAGTCAGTGGGCGCTTGGCCGTGGCTCCAGTTGGGCAAGGACTGGTCGAATGCCTCGAACAGAAGCTACTGCTCCACCTCGCTCATCCATTTCTTGCGGATCTCCGGGTCTTGGCTCTTGACCCACCACCGAGGCTTCTGCAGGATGCTGGCGATCGCCTGCTGCACGTTGAGCTCCAGCAACGGTCGCGGCTCCATCTTTGGCGAATGTCCAATTTGCCAGTGCAAGTAAGTCCAGACCTTTCGCAGTGAACACGAAGGAAAGATGATAGCAGCACAGTCATATTGGATACTAGCTAACCTCATTCCGACAGATGTGTACGTTTAATTGCCAGTTAGTGCTCGCACAACGAGAAATAGCGAGGGTTGCCGTCCCTTTCATCTTCGTCGGGCTCAGGCACAGCGCGCTCTTTCATGAGCTTCAGCCGATGCCGTTTAGCCTCTTGCCAACTCAGTCCTCGGGGCAGCATCGAGCGAATGTTCTGCTCCACTACGTCGAGGTCCGTGAAGTTCATTGGCGTCTCCATCCATTCTTCTTGTTGTGGCGGGATAATGGACGTCGAAGGGATTGAATTATCCGGGTCAACGAGGAAGAAGCCCAGGATTTTGCGAGCTCCGGGCTTTGTTGGGTCGTCCAGCTCGAACGGCTGGACTTGGTGCTGTAGAGTGTTGGGGAACACCACACAACGAGCCTCCAGGGTCTCAACTGAGCCTAGTTCCTGGACCAATAGAGAATTGCTGAATAGTCCGTAGATCTCTGCGACTCCCTCGTCGTCGTTCTGCTGGTAAGGGGGCTCTTCAACTTCAGTACGGAAGGACAAGCGCGAGTTCTTGACGTTCTCGCAGCTGAAGTAGTAGATGCCGGTACCAACGATCCTCTCTGCTGGGGATCCCTCAATGTGCCAGCTTCCCCCTCTATACTTCGGCTTCTCTGGGGTCAAAATGATCTCAGCAATCTTCACGATGACCTGCAGTTGTTTCCCACGAAGAGAAACTACCGCGGGATTATTCGGTAGCTCCTTCAGTGCGGGGATTTTGGGGCGTGGAGGGAGCTCGCGGTACGTATCGTGGCCCTGCATGTTGACTCGAAATGCAGATCGCGGCATTCCTTCTTCTTGATCGCCCAGCATCCGCTCGAACAACGGTACGAAGACACCAAAGATCTTCCCGATTGTGTCGTACAGATCTGCGCGTTGCTCCGGGTGTAAGTTGTTGATGTACGACAGGATTCGCAGGTTGGCGACATTTTTTCCAGGTTCTCCGCCGTCATTTACGAAGAAATTCGTTGGAATCCACTGGTAGTTCGTATCGCAGCCTTGCGGTCTCTCCACAGTCTCCGACCCAGTGAACATCAGGCGGTGCATTTGTTCTGCGGGGGTTGTGAAAGGCAAAGGGTCCAGAGCACTCGCAGCTTTCAGCGTTTGCCCGAACACGCAGCAGAACAGCGCAGGATGCACCAGGTCAAGCACCTGCTTCTTCGAGTGAGGGTGCCAATCCTTCTCTTCCTCTGGCACGTTCTCCAATGCCGCCACTTCTTGCCTCAATTTCGCTGCAACTTCGTCCGAAACGATGTTGTCGCTGATCCAAACACCGTCGACCCCAGCAGAGCAGATCACAACTTGAGCTGGATCCGTCGTGGCGCTCAGCTTGGCTCTGCTCGCCACCAGCTCCAGATACCTTTTAATATAGCTCTGGACAGCGCTCAGCTCGTGGTGAATCTTCTCGCAGTGCAGCTTGAGCTTCAATTTGCGATCTTCTGACAAAAAGTCCGACCCAGGAGCAAGAGGAAGCGCGTCCTCGGTGCTCACACCTCGACGTACTGCAAGGACAAACTCGGCCGCTCGATACGCTAGAATCGGGTCAGCCACAGACCGAGCAGCTCTAACAGCAGACTGGGCCGCCTTATTCGGCCAGTCCTCGACTGCAACGGCACTCAGTCGCTCGTGGAGTACAAGCTGGTTGAACGTCCATTTCAGCGCTGGATAGGACGACTGCGACTCGACTTGTTTCTCCAGAGCGCGGAGTCTCTTTTCCTCATCGTCGGACCCAGCGTCTTCTCTTTTTCGCTTCTTTGTTGCATTTGCTCCTTCGGTTCCCTCTTGATCCTCTTCTTCTTCCTCCTCCTCCTCCTCGTCTTCTTCGTGCGCTTCACCTTTCCTGAAGTCCGTGACAACTTCCCGAAGCCATTTTCTCAGCTTCTCGTGGGTCTCGTGCTTCTCGTGCTTCTCGGCACCCATTTCCTTGGCCACGAGCTTATCCAGAGCGTAGAGCGGCCCTCGACCTTGAGACCAGCCTGTTAACGACTGCTCGAACGTCTTGAGCAGCAGCTGCAGCTCCACCTCTCTCAGCCACCTGGATCGTATCTCGGAGTCGCTCCACTTGACCCACCACCGAGGCTTCTGCAGGATGCTGGCGATCGCCTGCTTCACATTGAGCTCCAGCAACGGTCGCGGCTCCATGACCGCAAGAAGATCTTTGGCGATTGTGGCAATGCTGCACGACCACCGGGACGTTTGAAGGAAGGAAGTAATAATGTTTGAAAATGTAACTAGCATGTTTTTAGTCGCAACCTTAAGACTTCCTCCCATATAGTGCTCTCACAACGAGAAATAGCGAGGGTCGTTGAGCTTTTCGTATTCATCAGGCTCAGGCACAGCGCGCTCCTTCATGAGCTCCAGTCGATGCTGTCTCGCTTCTTCTAGCGTCATCCCTCTGGGCAGCATCGATCGGATATTCTGCTTCACTCCATCAACGACTACGAAATCCACGGCCGCCTCCAGCCATTCCTCTTGCTGCGGCGGGATAACGGAAGTCGAAGGGATGGGGGTCTTTGGATGAACGAGGAAGAACGCCAGGCTTCGTTGAGTCTTTGAGCTTGAACGGCTGCACTTGGTGCTGCAGAGTGTTGGGGAACACCAATCAGCGCGACGCCAACGTCTCGACTGACCCTTGCAATTGGACGAGTAGTTCGGTGCTGATGAGACCGTAGATCTCTCCAGCCCCGTTGTGGTCGTTATACTGACAGTATGGCTCCTTCACTTCGGCTCGAAAGGCCAGGCGGGAGTTCTTGATGTTCTCGCAGCCGAAGTAGTAGATGCCAGTCCCTACGACCCTCTCAGCTGTCGATCCCTCAATGTGCTAGCTTCCCCCTCTGTACTTCGGCTTCTCAGGGGTCAAAATGATCTCCGCAATCTTCACGATTACCTGCAATTGCTTCCCACGAATAGATACTGGCATATTCTGGTTTGGCAACTACTTCAGAATGGGGATTTCGTGGCGTGGAGGAAGCTCTTTGGATACTATGTGGCTGTGCATATCGTCGCGAAAGTTAGACCACGGTCTTGGTTGCTCTTGATCACCCAACATTCGCTCGAACAAAGGTACAAACCGACCGAAAATCTTCCCAATGGAGTCGTACAAAGCCGCATGTTGCGCTGGATGCAAGTTATTGATGTACGATAACACTCGCACTGGAACATATCCATCTTCTCCAGGCTCACCTGCGTCAGCGACTTGGAAATCCGTCGGGATACATTGATAATCCGTGTTACAAGCCTGAGGCTTCTCAACAGCCTCCGATCCAGTGAACATCAAGCGCTGCATTTGCTCCACAGGCGAGCTTGACGACGCTGGTTCCGGCGCACTAGAGGCCTTCAACGTTTGCCCGAACACACAGCAGAAGAGCGACGGATGCACCAGGTCAAGCACTTTATCCTCCGAGCGAGGATGCCAGTCCTTCTCTTCGTCCGGCGCATTCTCCAGCACTGCCACCTCAGCCTTGAATTTCATCGCAACTTCATCCGAAACGAGGTTGTTGCTGATCCGTACGCCGTCGATTCCAGCAGGACAGATCACAACTTGAGCAGGGTCCGTCGTGGCTGTCAGATTCATTCTCCTTGCCAGTAATTTGATATACTTCTTGATGTAACTCCGAGCAGCGCAGGCTTTTGCAGGATGCTGGCGATCGCTTGCTGCACATTGAGCTCCAACAGTGGCCGCGGGTACATTACAGGCATCCGTTCCATCAGTGAAGAAGAGTAAAAATCTTTGTGCCGACTTTTAAACAGAAAAGAATATGCACTTGGGAATCGAGGAGATGTCATTCGACCAGACAAGGAAGTATTGTGATCAACCTCATTTTTGATTGAAGTTCATAAGCATTTTCACTGCATTCTACTGCTATTGGCCACACTAACCACGTAAGACTGTGTAACTCGGGACTAGGTCGAGTTCGAGGTAGTCATGTCATAATAAAGAAACTTCCTTAGAGCGAGAGGATCTCGCTGTCCCAGACGGCCGGTTCTGGTGCCGTCGAAGTAGCGACTGAAGCGCTGATCGTCCCAAGACTGAGCCAGAGCGGGTCGTCATCGGAGAACGCTGCGAGTCCAGTGAGGAGGGGCTCCTCGCAGTCCATCGTGAGCGGCTGGAACTCGTCCAGGAACTCCATCGTCAGCGCCCGCTCCACCTCATCGTCAAGGTCACTGACCGCCGACTCTTCCTCCAGCTTTGACTCTGTCGGAACCTCGAAGCGGATGCAGTCGACGGTCGTGGGGGAGCACGGCAGCAGCTCGTCGAGCTTGGGGATGCCGACGGTACTGAGCTTGAGTTGCTTGAGCTTGCGGCGCTCGATCTTCTGGCGGTACTTCTGCGCGTGAGTCATGGCTTGCCGTGTTGACCGGGTGCCAACGTGATTGGCGATGACCTTCCACGGGCCCGACGGGTACATCTCGAGGGCCTCGAGGAACCGCTCGTGCTCCTCCGAGGTCCAGAGCAGGCGACTGCGCTCGTTCAGGCGCTTCTTGGACTTCTCCCGGGCGAGACGAGCGCGTCTCCGCGCCGCCGTCACCTTCTCAGCTGAGCGCGGGGGGATGCGGATGAGCTGGTTGCCATCGTGGAAGAAGCCGTTCTGCACGACGGACGAGATGGTCATAGTTTGGGTGAATGGGGTGGAGTCACTGCAGCTTTTGTGAGGGTGCGAGTGCTAGGACGCTAAATGGGAAGTGAGCTCCCTGCTTCAATGTGCAACCTCATTGGCGTCGTCGAGGCGCTTCAACTGCATTGGAGGATACGCTCGTGTTTGGTTGCCGCCGCTGGTCGGTCGCCCGATCATCGGCGCAGTGGAAACTTTCCTGATACATTGCGGTGAGCCCGGCCGAGCCACTTGATACTATCAAGTTGATAGATGCTCCAGGGCGTGGGTGGGAGAGACCGAGCGGTCGTCGGTCGGAAAAGCCCAGCGCTTTGAATGGTTGGACACTGGGTGGGAGGTGGTCGCCCCGGGTTCTATGGCTCGCGGAGAGTAAACCCACGATGCAGTAGAGGGGATGTACTGGGTGTAAGCATTCGCGTGGGTCTTTTACGACGCTTGTCATAAAACGGCCCCATCGGGGCTTAACGCAGCCATTTGATTGAAAAACGGATTTTTAGATACAAAAACCAAGTGAGTCGCCGACGGACGCGCTGGTCGGCGCTGCAGCTCCACATGAGCTCGGGCACCACTTGAATCAAAAGTGCACATAGCGATACGAACGGAGACGATCCCAAAGGGTGCCGACAACGGACGATGCTGCTACCACCGAATTTAGACGGGCATTATTTGACCATTTAGGGTGCGCCGCTGTTTTCAAAACACGTATCGAAATGTTACCCATTAACTAGGGGAAAACTATTTTATCTTCGTTCTTGTGTATGCAAAATACACCATTGAGATTCAGTCTTTTCGGAACGATTCTAGATTTGGGAATCGTGGGACTTAGCGGATTTTGTGATGGTTGAAATTAATTTTGGTGCAATATTTTCGGTTACACCAAAATTAATACCGAAATCAAATGATATGTATATTGAAGTTGAAGTCACCCTCTCATCCCTCTCAAGCTGCCTCTTTGCCCAGGAAAGCAAGAGCTTTCTGCAGATAGCGCAGCAGGTACGGCAGCAACCTGTAGATGCAGTCATCCCACGAAGCGTCGCAAAGCAGCATCTCCAGAACTGCGATGCACCACACGCCACAGGAACTGTTGTCCTGCTGAGTGCACCACTCCACCTTCTCGTAGTTCACCATGCCACCTAGCTGAAACACCCCTTCAATCACGGTCCGCACGCTTTTTTCAATGACGGTGTAGTTGCTTCGACTTTGTAGAGGGTCGAACATAAAGCATGTCGCCGTCTTCGTGCCCTTGGCGACCGTCCTGTCGATTAAAAACGCCACCCAGTACCGCTCGATGTGAATGATTCCAATGACACGCTTGTTCTTAGGGTCGCTGGCCCCGAATCCTGCCGCGGTCCTGCGTTTTTGCTCCGGCAACGCAAAGTCGTGATAGCTGGGGCTGATGATGCCTACGTCCGGGTAAGCGTCGCGCAAAGCCATCAGCGACACCAAGATGGACGTGGTATGCAGCCACAGATTCTCACGGAAGTCCAGCAGTTGGTGTCCGTTCACACATTCACCGGGCACGCGATTTACGCTCAGATTGAGCGTTTCGACGTAAGCCTTGTGCTCGTTCTGCAATACACAAGATATTTTGTTAGTTTTGGTACATCATCAGTTCAAATGCTGTGAATTGTTTTTTATTGTAGTTGCCCTCGTGTCCGTGAACGGCTCGCGAAGGTCTGCAACACGCCACTCCACCTCGTCAATCCACTTTGTAGTGCGCATCACCAACGCAAATCGCTGACGCGCCTCCAGGATGCTTGCCATAGCGTCCAGCTGATCAAATGTAGCGTAGCCGTAGTCTGGCCAGTAGGCAAGAAGGTCGATGTCCTGCCTTATCTTGATAGCGTCAATAGCCTCCGTCACAATGGGTAGCGGAGGGATACCCTTGATAAACGGAATGTCTTGGTCGATCTTGAAGGCTCGGACGGACAGCGGCCCGGTAACATCAACTTGGGGCAGTACAAGCGCGCCAATCATAGGCTTTGAGTGGAATAGACTGTAGGGTCCGTCAAGCAAAGCGGCAACATCATCGAATGAAACCAATTTTCCCACTTTTCGTTGGTGGTACTTAGCTGCCAGTTCCAATGCAGCTTCACGGTCTTGTTTAGCTTGGGCACGCTTTCGCTGAGCCTTGGCCATTCCATTGATCACTGGACGCTCCGCAAACGTCCACGTGACTGCCTTCGGGCGTTCTTCTGACGGCTTTCTCGATTCGGTGGAGACTTGTGTGGGTTCGGTAGAATCTTGTAAGGTTTGGTCGGAGGGTGTAGCGTTGCCATCTTCCTCTGCTTCCGCACCCGTTTGAGTTTCACCATCAGCGGCCACATCGACTTCAACAGCAGTGCTGCAGGACTCCTCCTCACTTCTTTCGATTCCGCCAGTATCTTCAACTTTGGTGGTTTCCTTTGCTCTGGAGGTCACTAGAGAAAGCCCCGTGAATACCGGAACCTCGCGCTCTGCAAAGGCAACCACGTCGCCGGAGTTGAGCGCTTCGTAGAAATCCTGAAGCCACTTCAGCGCGATCCGAAATGTGGGTGTAGATTGAAGTGCCATTCTTGCAATGATCTTCTCCGTTGTTGCCTTGGCTTCGATGTACATCGCAGCCCCCGACAAAGCTCGCTCCTTCGCTCGAGACGGACAGCTCCCTTGCTTCAACCCTCCACACGGAATTTCTCCCCAGTCGATGTTGTTTTCTGGACTCTGCACAATCCATCGTGTAGGGAAACAGTGCATCGGGGGCAGTACTGTTTCGAAGTTGGACGTGCTCCGGACGTACATCACGTGGTGGCAGGGTAGCAAGCAGGTCTTCATGAAGATACAGTTGCAGGAGTTCGCCTGTACAGCACAGATTACATGTCAGTCGTCAATACCAAAGATAACTGAATAGACCAAAAGTATACCATAACTTGAATAGCTTACCCTCGTGTTGACTTCATGCACTTCTCCAGACCTTGGGCTCGTGACAGTGGCTCGTCCTGGTGTGTTCAGCTCAACCGTGTAGTCTGCGTTCGGACCGGTTGCCAAGGTGTGCTGTTTGGCGACCAATTCGAAGGCAAACGGGCTCACCTGCAAAGCCAGCAGCGTCAGCTTGCGGTCCTCCGAATCCCGCGAAGGCCGGCTCCTAATTTGATGGTATGCTGCGAGATACTGCTCTTCGGCATAGTGCTGCAGCGTCATCAGCGTAGACAGGCGTTGGTCGATAGTGAAGGAGTCGTTAATAACATCCTTTATCTTCCCCCACTTGGACTCGATCCTATTGTTGGTGTTGTTCGTCAGGTGCGGCGTGTTGCCGCGCTTGTAGGAAACCCACTCGTCCTGGTTACTGTCCCAGTTTGCCATGAACGTGCGGTACAACTCGTGTGATGTATCGCCTCCAAGCAACTCCAACACAGCTCCTTTTGCATCTTCATACTCGTCCTCGTTGCTTGCGTACACCATCAACCGCATCAGGCTCTTCACCGACTTCTTCACCGATGGCGCCAGACGTGCAGCCTGCTTCTTCAGCTAGGTAATCACATGCCACTGACACAAGAGTTGCCGAGCGTCGGGCAGCTCTTCTCGCAGAACTTCTTAGCCTTGTCCGTCATCACCACTTGGATTTTGGCCCAGTCAGGGTTGTTTGCTTTGAAGATCTCCATCACTCGGCGCAGATTGTCTTTGTGCTCACTGTCTACAAGTGCATGATGGACATATTGACCCTATGATAAGGTTAGAATAGTGTATTAAAGTACAGCACAACAAAAAACTTGTCTACGTCAGTACCTTTCCGAACACGTCGTGCACTACGAAGCTGAACAGCTTGTAGCGGTTCACGTTCGTGTCGTGCGTGGCATCAACGAGAATCACCTCCGGAAACGCTTTGAACAAGCGCTTCATTCTTGCGGACTGGAACGTGGCGACGCGAGCAACGTTGGAGTCGCTATCCACAAGAATTTGAGCAGAGTTGCCACCGTGCTGCAGACAAAACTCTTCCATCACTGCAAATGCGCGTTGCGCATCAGTAAGACCAGCTTGCTCGGTCAGTTTGTATCTCTGCACCATGTTGTGGACGTCCTTCCGCACGGTTTTCTTGCCTACAACATACCACCAAATATCCGCAGCAAATAGTTAGGAACAAACCAAAATCACACAGAAAGTGATAAGACTTTACCTGTACGTTCACGCAGGTATTGCAAGATGCCGTGCGTGTTCGCCCCAGCCTTATGCAGCACTGCCACAGCCTCCGTCAACTGCGGGTCCTTCACCGTCCGGTTCTCCGCGTAGCTCTCCCAAAGATGCTTGTTCAAGTCGTGATTGTGTTTGCCGGTGGCGTTCACGCGTAAACGCCAAGTTCCGCTGAACGTGGCAGCGACACGCACATTCAATCTCGCCTTGCACTTCGTGTCGCGAACGTTGTTGTGGTGCCGCTTTCCCTTGCCCTTCGGTTCGTAGGGCTGGCCATGCGTGCAGACCAGCGTTTTCGAGTACGTCACCCATTCCGCCGGAACCAAGGTGATCGGTTTCCGGGCCTTCTTTGCGGCTCGCTTCCTTTCCTTGTCCTTTTCGAGAATTTGCTTGTTCCGCAGGAAAACTGACGTACTTGTTCGCATGGAAAACTGCTGGAATGTCTGAGCCTGGAAGTCGTCGAACGAGGTGTGGAACGTATCCCACGAGTCGCATGTGGTGCTGAATCCGTAGAACCACATAGGCACAACTCGCTTCACGCGAAGGTCATACGTGCGGGACGAACTTCGGTGAGATTTCGGTTCGGGTACAAACCGAATCTCGCCCCCTTCGTCGTCTTCCTCGCTGTTCACTTCGTCTGCGCGGTCTCCAATCCCGACGTCACCTTCTTCCTCTTCGACGATGCCCTCATTCCCACGCCAGTCTTTGTCGTCTTCGTCAGCATCCTCGCTCTCTTTACCGTCGTTTTCAGCGGCCGATTCGCGCTCTTCATCATCGTTGTCTTCGTCATCTTCGTCACTGGCGTCTGGGTCGGTGCCGAACGGCGGGGTCTTCTCCCCGTAGTCGGAGTCGTACGTGCCGCCATGAGACAGCTCTTCGTCGGCCTCGTCCAAAGCGGAAATGGCTTCGGCAAGGGCGCCGTCGTCAGAATCCGAATCTGGCTCTATGCCGAACATCTCGCGCGCGGCACGTGCTTCCCACCGCTCGTACATGCTCTGCTCGCGGGCTTCGGCCCAGCCTTCTTCCCATCTTCACTTCGCAGCATGGCGGTAGCACTCCGAGTGCGTTTGTGCCTCCCGTCCATCGCCAGTCGGATCTCCTGCTCGTCGCGGCGTGCGCGCGCCACATTCGCGGCACGCTGCGCTTCCAGCACACCGCGATTGTACACTGGCAGCGGGGGGAGATCGCGCAGCGTCCTGTCCGTTTCATGCCGAAGTTCGCGCTGGCGCTGCCGACTCCGACTCCGCTCCGACTCAGCACTGTCGCGCTGCGCACGCGTCACATGGGCATCTTCGGGGCCTGGAGGGCGCTTCGACGAGCCAGGCTAATAGAAGCAAATGTCAGTAACACATATTCCTTACCCATGACTCGCATGTAAGCGTACCGTGCCAGTTGTGCGCGCCATTCTTGTGCAGGGACCTTCACTCTTGCTTCTTTCTCTCTTGGGGCCGATCGACGAATGCCATCCAAAACGGGGGGTGCGGGGCGGCTCTTATTTTTCGAAAAATCAGTGCCTCCGACGGTAAGGTAATTTATTGTCGCCCTCTCCTGACAAGTTCAACCCGAACCTCGAAAACTGGCTATATCTGGTCTACCAAATCTTCACAGGATTCGACTGCAATCACACTGAACGGGGAACACCGTTTTGGTGGTAGCAGCGTGTGCCTGCGGACAACGCGGTGCGGCAAAGCTGCAGAAGCCCGGTCACATGCACCGCCACGACCGCACAAACTTGATTCGAATTGTCCATGCGTCATCGGGAACGGGGTCCGATGACGCATCGGCAGGGGGCCGTCCGGCCGTTTGTACGGAAGCGGAGGTGGTGGTCATATAGGCCTGCAGTTGTACAATAGAATGCAGTAGAATGAACCAGCACGCTGCATGGCGACTGCGCCTTGAGTTCAGTTAGACTGACAGCAATTAGCGGAAAGTTCTCGTTTATATTCTTCTTCTAGGCTAGGCTCCTTCAGTTAAGTGGCCTTCTCAAGATACGTTTGGCAGCATTTCAACTGGTACCTTCAACTTCAACTGTTCAGTACCGCGATCCAAAGCTCGGATCTACAGATGCAACCCTCGGAACGTCGGGTCTATAGGCGCAGTGCTGGAGTCGTCTACATGGAGGAGGTAGTCGCTGTCTCGCGAGTAGGGCAGTGGGTCGTCGGTGTGGTCGATCTCGCTCGGGTGGAAGTTGTCGAGGAACTCGAGCAGCACGGCGTGTTCCATGGCGTCGTCCGGGGGCATGTCCATGGGCTCCGTCATCGACGCTGCTCTGGTCTGGTCAGCACCATCGAGCAACGACGACTCGGAGTGCGCGCTGTCGATACTGCCCCGACGCTCCTTTTGCTTCCGCCGCTCGATCTTCTGCCGGTACTTCTGCGCGTGGGTCATTGTTTGCCGGGTGGTTCTCGTAGCGACATGGTCGGCGATGACCTTCCAGGGCCCTGACGGATAGAGTTCTAGCGCCTCGAGGAAGCGGTCGTGCTCGTCGGTGGTCCACAACATGCGGCTGCGCTCGCTGGGAGGGTCGAGTCGCCGACTGCGCCTCCGTCTGGTGCCTGCGTTTTCGTCGGCGCGGATCGGGATGCGGATCAGCTGCTGGTCGTCGCTGTCTCCTTCGAAGAGGCCGCTCTGTACGACGTCCGAGATCGTCATGCTCAGTATCTGCAGTAGGCTTTGAGACAAGTGGAGTTGGTGTTGCTGTAGTGCGGTGCTAGGGCCTATTGCCATGCGTTGTGTGTGTCACGGGACCAATTTTGAAATGAGAGCGAGCACATTGTTCGTGAGTGTCTCCTCTCGTGTGTGTGGCATTTTGCCAGACACTGCCCGACATGGGTCCCCATGTGCTGTGCTGTGGCCCGTCCAACGAGCAGCATCTGAAGATGCAAGCCCCCTCCCTGGCTATTATCCAGATTTATTTCTCGAGCGAGTGGCATTGCAGCGACTGCGAGCTCTACTGAATTGATCCGCTGCGTTCGTCGGACAAGGAGAGAGAAGAACCAGGGATCGAAACACGCCGACTGACTCAGATGCTTCATCACCCCAGTTTGGTCGTTAGCACGAAACGAAATGGAATAAATGGAGAGAGGCTAAAAATACCGGGAGCTGAGGTGGGTTTGTTTCTCTCTCACGCCAAATAACCCACATGGATTCGGGTTAATCTCATTTGACCCACGCCAATGCCGTGTGCTTTACGACCGGCTAAAGAATGGATTTTTCGCGAGATAAAAAGGTGCCAGCTCATGTGGACGAAGTGTACGGATCACACGTTGAAGTTGGTCAGGCGTCCGTCGATTCTATTGCCGCGATGACGGACAGTCCGCACTTCGGGCTGCGACGCGAGCGCTGGCATGTGGCTCTCGTCACGCCCCGTACGAGCTATGCAGGACTCCCATCGTGCGTCTCGAGCCCGCCGAAAAAACGGAACCCAGCGGGTTAGGACACAAATCTTAATCAGCGGCGCTTTAATCAATCTGCTGTTCCAACGTGGCCCGCTTGCGAGCTCATGTATTGCGCTGCACGGTGCAGCCCCAACCATTCGCTCCAGGTCGTGCACTTTGCACTCCACGCAAGACACTGTAACCCAAAACTGGCAACGGCGACTGTACAAAGTGCGGAGGTTACCTTGTCCACATGGCAGGCTCGGTCGGTCGTGCGTGCTCCGGCTAACTGAGGTGGCGTCTCCGCAGCCGACCCCACCACCAGCAGAATAGCTTTCAAGTTAGTCGAGAGCTGCGTACTCAGCTGCCCGCTCGGTGTCGGCCGTATACATTCGTAGTACGGTAACTTACTGAGTAAGGCCCGCGTGTTGAGCGCATTGGCACTAAGGTTTCTACAGTACGGTTGCCGTGCGAAAACTGCGCAGTGTGTTAACAGATGTGCTGGTTTGGCTTTGGCCGCCATTTCAATTCACCGCGCAGGCTTGGGTACATGTACATGTACTGTACTGATGGTGCATGTACTGAAAACTGTCATCTTACTAAGGTTGGAATATCAACACTGCATTTCAGATTTCAAGCAGCGTGTTTGGTCATAGACACTTGTTCATTAAATTTTAACATACGGTGTCCGTAATATTCAATATAATGTGGCTTCTTAGTTATACGATATTAGTATTTATGTGTAGGGCTCAGGTGGCTGGGGTAAGGCATGTTAAGATGATGCGTGAATAGAGAATGTAAACGGATGAGCCAATCCGTTTTGAATAGACTTGAATCCGGTCCGCGGCAACCGGATTTAAAACGGATCAAATTCGGATCGAATCCGTTTGGCGTGGGAGTTCATTGGACAGAAATTGACCAATCGTGCTTCAATGTTACTCTGTGTATTTTGTTGTACCTGATTGACGTGATACGAGCATATCGGCCAGTAGAGGGCAAACCGCAGTCGGGAATCCCGACTCGGGATGGGCTTGACGATCAAGCCTTGACCGCTACGCAGGAGCCGCCAACCTCATGCAGGTAACCGGATGAAACCACGGTACTTCTACCTCCGGTTCATTCTCCATTTTGCTTCCAAGGCCACGGAGTACGTGGCACCAACCCACGCCCTTCAGGTCACATGTCAAGTCCGGCGGTGCACTGGCGCACACAAGTCCCATCACTACGAACCGAAGAATCGCTGCCTAGCATGGACGACACCGACAGCGTCTCTACGGTTTCTTCAATCGGCCCGTCCATCTCTTCCGTCGGTGTTGCTAGCTCCGTGGGTCAGAAACGCAAGCGCAAGAACGCTTCTGATGTGTTCGAGTACGTTGATGAGCTCAATACAGGTATCTACAAGTGCATGCTGTGTACGGCTGACGAGCGGATCTGGAGCAGTCGTAACACTGGTAACTTCCGGAAACACCTCGTTGACTATCATCCTGAGGTCTACGGCAATTCCAGCGCCCTACCATCGAATGCTCGAGGCAGCATCCGCATAGCCGCCGCGGTGATGACCCCAGACGCTGTAAAAAGCTGCGACGATAAGCTGATTAAATGGGTCGTTGTGAATTCACACTCGTTTGCGGTTGTTGACCAAGAGGAGTTCGTGGAGTTTTGCAGGGAGTTGCGTCCGGAGTACTGTGTTCCGTGCCAACAGACTATCCGCAAAAAAGTCCTCGGTCAATGGAAAGTGGAGAAGGATGTTGCTCGCGTAGAGATTTGTCGCGAAGTTGGTGGACGCCGTGTCAGCTTCACGACCGACATGTGGACTTCCCCGTCAAAGAGAGGCTACATGGTAGTTACAATGCACTTTATTGACAGCTACTGGGTGATGAGGTCTGCCATTATTGCGTTTACACACGTGATGTATCCGCACACTGGTAAACGGCTCGCCGACCACTTCATTCGCGCAGTGAAAGACATGGATGCCTCACTTCTCCGCTGTATTTGGACGATCACTGCCGACAACACCACCAACAACACAACCATGGTAGCTGAGATCAACGAACGGTTGCAGCGCGATATTGAAAGACTTTCGCGAACGGCTCTAGCAGAATTGACCGACCCTGGATCGCCACGCGGGCAAACCACCAGCTCGACTTCAAGAACTGTTGTTCAGCTACGATGCAGCACGCATGTTCTGCTGTTGGCAGTAAAGGAAGGTCTCGAGGAGTGTCCATTTGTCGATTCTGCAATAGGCCATTTGCGTGACATCGTGAAAAAGATTTCGGAGTCAACTAAGCTGTCTGAAGCGCTTCAAGGGGTGTGCAATGACCTGGACGAAAACATTATAACCCCTAAGCTTGATGTGTCGACACGATGGAATAGTACGTGGACTGTGATGGAGAGCCTTCTAACGCTAAAGCAGCCCCTGAACGAGTTGCTTCGCCGTATTCGTGGTAAGGTCCGTGAGTATACGGATTTCAGTATTCGACCAAGTGATTCGCTGGCCAAGGAGAGGCGTGGGCTGCTGTGGACGCTCTTTACAAGTTTCTCAGGCCCATCAAAGAAGCCACTGTTATGCTATCTGCGTCAACGTATCCTACGTTCGGGATCCTGCTCTACGCGTACTCTTTGATCCAGTTTCACGCAACGGAAACTATAGCAACCGAACAAGACGAGCAGACACTGAAATTTGCTGGAGCTGTTAAGTCCAAGATGGATGAGTACACGGTGAAGGTAAATACAAGAGAAGCCCGGATAGCTCTAGCTCTTGATCTTTGTGCTAAGCGGTATCTGCACCTCTTGGTGGAAGATGTCAATCAAGTCAAGGAGGAAATTGAAGATGAGTTCAACAAGAATTACCGCGAAGCATTTCTGGCCCAACAGCAACTAGCCTCCGGTCCGCTGTCAGCAAAAAAGAAGCGAGGTAGCGAGCTGAAGGGCCTCATGGCGCGTTTTTCCAAGCAGAATGGTGAAAGTATATCCGATGGCACCCCTGTGGACGATATAGGCGACAGCCAGCTTGAAACTAGCGGGGTTTTAGGCGGTCGGGAAATGCAGCGTGAGGATTCGTCGCTCGCGAAAGAGCTTGACAGGTGGCTAGCAGCTGATGAAGGCATGAGTGAGATGAAAGAAAGCAAGCAAGTGTGCGCGTGGTTTCAAGTTACGGGGGACGTCTATCCTCGTATCAAGCAAATGGCTCAAGATTTTTTGGCGGTCACGGCAACGTCGGTTCCAAGTGAGGTTGCATTTTCAGCAGCAGGCATAGCTCTCACGCTCGCCGTGCTCGCTTGGGTGATGATACGGTGAGGGCAATCTGCGAGCTGAAGTCATTCTTTCACTTTAATCGCCGTCTGAGTGACCAAGAGTTTTCGAACACGGATGAGGCAGCGACTTGTGCTCATGAGTGAGCTCATTCACAATATAATGTGTGTTTATATAGTTGTTCGTACTGTTTTGAGGTCACATCTTCACTAACCCACACGCTAAAGCACACCTTCGTGAGATCTTCATTAAGCCACGCCAGCTGCTCAAACATCGACTGACACTGTGTCGCCAGCTCACACACGGAACAAATAATCACGACACGCGTGGACTGCACACGACGCGAACGCAACTGCAGACGCTCCAGAATGGACAGCAAGAAGGTAGCGGTCTTACCACTACCCCTCTGGGCACAGATGTCCTTGTCCGTGAGCGCGATGGGGATCCGAATCGGCGTCGGTTTCTCGAAGACAATGTGCTAGATGGCTTGCATAATGGGGCGAGACAGCTTCTAGTCGGCGAAAGGCTTGAACTTGGTCTTGCCGAACTCCTCGGCAGCGAAAGGGTCCGTCCCGAAGAACTCGGCAGCCTTCTTCTCCAACGCGTCCACCAGCTTTTCACTCGACTGCTTATCCTTCTTGCTGTCCTGCAGCAGCGATTGGAGACGCTTCACCTCCTCCACGACAACGTCGTCCTCTTCCACATCCTGCTCCTCCTTCTCGTCATCAGAGAACTCCGACTCCTCCTCCATCTCGTCCTCACTCTCGCTTTCGCCGTCACCTCCTCCTTCTCTTCTTCTTCCTTGGAGTCATTGTTCTCGTGGCCGATTTTTCGGTTTCCTTCTCCTTGCGGCGCTTCTCGATCTTGGCCTGGATGGGCGTGCGCCTGGTGGCCGCGGGGGTGCCGCTCGCCATCTTCTCGATGCGCGAGATGGCGGCCGTGAAGTCCCACGAGCTGCCGCCTGACGTGTGGAAGGCGCCGCCGTCGTCGAACTTAAAGCCCTCGGCGATCTCGTTCTCCTTCGGCTGCTGTTGCGCCTCCTTCTGCTACTGGCGGCTCCGCACGGCGCCCTTGAGCCCCGCGCCTTCCTGCTCGTCCTCCGAGTCCGAGCTGTCCTCGACACTGGACATTTCGTCGTCCGACGCGATGATCATCACCAGGTCCTCGTCCTCCTGCTGCACCTGTTGGCCCGCCTTTTGCCCATGGTCGCTATCCTACGTCTTCTCCAGCAGCGTGTTAGCGTGGACAGACACTGCCCCGCTGCGCCCTGATCTAACATCGCTATGTGTGGGATCTTGGGCTCTGCTTCAGCGAGCTTGGGAGCATATTCACCAAAGCGCCGTAGTCGCTCGTGTTCGTTACCCACATCATCCGGCTCTGTGTGTGCTGGCTGTGATTGCTCCACCGCCAAGAAGCGCTGCTCCAAAGTCTCTCTAGCAGCAGCGATGCGCATCGATATCAGGAGAAAACGTCATCACCTTGACGCAGCTCATCTTGGGCCGTAGCTGCGTACAGACTGTTCATCACCGAGGTGTCGGCGCAGCGATCACCTTTTCGCTCATTGTCGCCGTCACAGTAGAAACAGACTGAATGCGCTCTTCGTCTTGCTGTTGGTGCCGGTCTTGCTGCAGCGCTCGACACAATACTCGCCTCCTCTCCACCGACGCACCAGCGCGAATTGCCCCACCAGCAGCAGAAGCACCGCTCACAGCAGCAGTGCCAGCATGAACAGAAGATCAGCTCGACATGTTCACAGTATCAGTAGCCACCGGGCCAGACGCCGACGCAGACGCAGACTCTCCGACTCCACCTCTGTGGCGTCAAACACCAACAAAAGCATCTGGCAGTAATACGCTCTGGATGCGCATGCGCAGCTCATGGCGTCAGACGCATGTACACGCTGCGAATGGTAAGCACGTGCTCAGCAAGGCTCAGCTCCACGATGTGATGAACATCATATCATCGGCGGCCATGCGGCCCTGGCTCGCCTTGTACTGCGTGTCCGTGTCCGCAGCAACCTTTGCACACCTGTTTATTGGTGCGTTGAGCTCGGTCGTCTCACCGCGCATGGCTGTCAGGTCCATCTTCTTGACGCTGCTGATCTTGCGGGCGCAGCGCGCGTACATGCTTCTCATCGCCTCGTTGACAACAGGCATGCTGGGACTCGCACACATGCAGGAGGCCGGATCGAGTCTTCGGCTACGGAAGGCACTGTAGATCTGCGCGCAGCCGAAGGGCACCTTGCTGATATTATACTCGAGCAGACAGCGGAAGATGAGGAAGATGCCCTGGGTCGTCTCGGGACACAGGTAGCCAGTATGTCCCCCCTGGGAGCCGTTGGTGCACTTGAACATGAGGTTGAACGAGATGGGGAAGCTCCGGTCCGCGTCCATGCATGCGCCTTGATGTCATATTGCTGAAAGATCTCGTGGATTGCCTCGGGCGAGTATGACTCGGCCATGGTGGCCTGCATCTCGTACTTCTTGCGTTCCTCCTGGCTCGGGTCTGGGTACTTGCCCAGATTTCGTCCTAGAGCAGCTTCTCAGCGCGCCCAACTTGGAGCACTTGACCATGAGGTCCGTGAAGCAGTCAACTTGACCCGACGTTTGAGCACCACCTCGGGCATGATGTTCGTGCACTCAATCTCCAGCAGCTTGTCGGCGGACACGAATTGGCGGCGCCAGAACCTGTACGCCTCCTTGGTCTCCACTAGCACGGTCCGTGTGCTTGCGCAGATGCTGCTCCGTCGCGGGTAGATCAGGTTCACCTGCATCCCATTCATTTACCACGCACAATACCCGTAAGTCTCCTTCTCTTCCCACACCCATTGCAATGTTCTCGCACCTTGTACGGCTTGACATCTCGCGCCACGTCTTCCTGGAACGTGCTGTAGTTGTCGTTCACCAGGATCTCGAGCAGTGACATGCCCGCCAGCAGTCGGTCCAGAGTGTCTGAGTCCATGACCGCCGTCTGGATGCTGAGCACCGCCGACTTCTTGTGGTTTCCGCTCTTGAAATTGCACAGCAGCGTCATCTACAGCAAGTTGCTCTTGAGCGCGCAGGACGGCGAGCCAAAGGCATAGAACCGCTCACGCCGCCGTAGATCTCGGAGCTTGGCACCACGATCATCTTGCGCAGCAGCAGGTTGTCCAGCGCCTTGTTGTCGCTCTTCCTGAGACCGTCCTCGCTATCTCAAGCCCCAACTTGAGCTTCTTGAGATCGTTGACGATGGCCTGGGCGGCCTCGCCCGCCGCGCTTCTGCTTCTGCTTTTGCTGGCGCACGTGCACGCAAATGACGAGTGATAGTCACAGCTAGATGTGTACAATAGCGATGCGGAGGGTGCTCTCCGTTTTCACCGTCGTCTTGGCAGCGCCAGTCGCATCCATTCTCGACGTTCTCTCCGCAGGCTCGGCTTCAACTGTTTCGTCAGAGAACGGCGCAAACTTTGATATCGAATCTAAATGCTTTTGACCAAAACTATTAGAAATCACCGACGCATACTAGCACTCTAATTGGACATAATCTTTCCTCTTTCATCCAATTGGCGTCGTTATTCTACCCCTGAGATTTGATATCCAATGTCTTGTTATACCGTTTATACATTAAGTTTAAGGAGTACATTGTAGAAATGCATATTTTTATAATCCGACTCAATCCGGATTATCCGGATTCAAGTCGGATGCATCCGGTTGTGCAATCCGGATTCCGTTTGCAACCGGTTTACATTCTCTATGCGTGAATATGAACCGGTTACTGCCAAACTGAAACAGCTGCTTGTAAACGATAATGACAAAGATTTGTTGCCTACCCGCCGGGTTCCGTTTTTCTTGAGGCTCAAAAGCACGGATGGGAATGAAGACTCAACAACAAAGTTGCACTTTGCTGGAGTTATACAGCCCGAAAACGATTCTCGACGCACAAGTTTTGGCTCTGGCTGAAGCGCGAGCTCTGCTACAGCTAGTAGCGGAAAATGTAGCCGAAAAAGGAGCCTTTTAACTGTTTGGGTTTGCACCTGAGTGATTACCTTGAGCAGTATCAGCTGGTATGAACAAATCTGCAGTTTTTCCGTCGTGTACGATACGATCCATCGATGGCTGTCCGGGCCGCACAGCTGCCGGACTCCAGCAGCCGCTGCGTGTTGCTAGCACGACGAATTAATATGTATAGCCTCCAATTAAAACAGGCGTGCTTTGTTTCGTCGTATGTCGTGAAAGCTCAGCAGCGCAAGACGCACACCTGCTCGTCCTCATTTCGAAACTGACTCGGTCACACACAAGCGCCACAACTACATAGCAAACAATGGCCATCTCGGACGTCGTACAGAGCGGACTCTTCGAAGGAGACAGCGACGACCAGCAGCTGATCCGCATTCCAATCCGCGCCGACGAAAACGTGGGCACCAAGCGCAGACGCAGTCGACGCATGGACCCTCCCAGCAAGCGATGCCGCATGTTGTGGACCACCGCCGAGCACGACCGCTTCCTCGAGGCGCTAGAGCTCTACCCATCTGGTCCCTGGAAGGTTATCGCTGACCATGTCGGGACGCGAACCACCCGTCAAACGATGACGCACGCACAGAAGTATCGGGAGAAGATCGAGCGTCGGAAGCAGAAGAAGCGTAAGGGGAGCGTTGTGCGTCTTAAGACAGCTCCAGAATCATCATCAAGTCCCGCCGGAGCACTTTTGGATGATGCCAAGGAACGTGCGGTGTTGATGGAGTTCGTGAAAAACTTTCAGCCAAGCGAGATCGACATAGTGAATCAGCCTCAGCATCCGTACACGCAGGGTAGTTTCTTCTTGCTGAATGTTTGCGTTTAGTGTTTAGTTGGAATGACACGTACATTATCGATCGAGTAATAATACTAGCTTTCTTAATCAGATTTCCGCATTTCGCGTCTTCATAAAGTGCAGCTGCAAGTGCTATAGCAAAAGAACGTTTCTTGTCTTGGAGGCAGATAACAATACGTGGAGATTCGCATGGTATAAGTCGCTAGTGTACGCACGGACCTTTGTGAAAAAAGTGTGGCTTGTTTTACACTCTCCCTTCTCTCAGTATGTTAAAACCTTCTCGTGCCCCTCTCAATTGCCTCGCTTGCCGACCATAACATACTGCAGCAGTCCCGGCACGCCTCGGCACCCAGTGTAGCTTGAAGCGGCTTAGTGCAGTCTTCACACGACAACCAAAACGTAAGCACGTAAACCTCATTGCTCCCAGGAAGCTTTTCAACGCACTTGTACTGTAACGCCATGCCACGAATGTATACGGCCGACACCGAGCGGGCAGCTGAGTACGCAGCTCTCGACTAACTTGAAAGCTATTCTGCTGGTGGTGGGGTCGGCTGCGGAGACGCCACCTCAGTTAGCCGGAGCACGCACGACCGACCGAGCCTGCCATGTGGACAAGGTAACCTCCGCACTTTGTACAGTCGCCGTTGCCAGTTTTGGGTTACAGTGTCTTGCGTGGAGTGCAAAGTGCACGACCTGGAGCGAATGGTTGGGGCTGCACCGTGCAGCGCAATACATGAGCTCGCAAGCGGGCCACGTTGGAACAGCAGATTGATTAAAGCGCCGCTGATTAAGATTTGTGTCCTAACCCGCTGGGTTCCGTTTTTTCGGCGGGCTCGAGACGCACGATGGGAGTCCTGCATAGCTCGTACGGGGCGTGACGAGAGCCACATGCCAGCGCTCGCGTCGCAGCCCGAAGTGCGGACTGTCCGTCATCGCGGCAATAGAATCGACGGACGCCTGACCAACTTCAACGTGTGATCCGTACACTTCGTCCACATGAGCTGGCACCTTTTTATCTCGCGAAAAATCCATTCTTTAGCCGGTCGTAAAGCACACGGCATTGGCGTGGGTCAAATGAGATTAACCCGAATCCATGTGGGTTATTTGGCGTGAGAGAGAAACAAACCCACCTCAGCTCCCGGTATTTTTAGCCTCTCTCCATTTATTCCATTTCGTTTCGTGCTAACGACCAAACTGGGGTGATGAAGCATCTGAGTCAGTCGGCGTGTTTCGATCCCTGGTTCTTCTCTCTCCTTGTCCGACGGACGCAGCGGATCAATTCAGTAGAGCTCGCAGTCGCTGCAATGCCACTCGCTCGAGAAATAAATCTGGATAATAGCCAGGGAGGGGGCTTGCATCTTCAGATGCTGCTCGTTGGACGGGCCACAGCACAGCACATGGGGACCCATGTCGGGCAGTGTCTGGCAAAATGCCACACACACGAGAGGAGACACTCACGAACAATGTGCTCGCTCTCATTTCAAAATTGGTCCCGTGACACACACAACGCATGGCAATAGGCCCTAGCACCGCACTACAGCAACACCAACTCCACTTGTCTCAAAGCCTACTGCAGATACTGAGCATGACGATCTCGGACGTCGTACAGAGCGGCCTCTTCGAAGGAGACAGCGACGACCAGCAGCTGATCCGCATCCCGATCCGCGCCGACGAAAACGCAGGCACCAGACGGAGGCGCAGTCGGCGACTCGACCCTCCCAGCGAGCGCAGCCGCATGTTGTGGACCACCGACGAGCACGACCGCTTCCTCGAGGCGCTAGAACTCTATCCGTCAGGGCCCTGGAAGGTCATCGCCGACCATGTCGCTACGAGAACCACCCGGCAAACAATGACCCACGCGCAGAAGTACCGGCAGAAGATCGAGCGGCGGAAGCAAAAGGAGCGTCGGGGCAGTATCGACAGCGCGCACTCCGAGTCGTCGTTGCTCGATGGTGCTGGCCAGACCAGAGCAGCGTCGATGACGGAGCCCATGGACATGCCCCCGGACGACGCCATGGAACACGCCGTGCTGCTCGAGTTCCTCGACAACTTCCACCCGAGCGAGATCGACCACACCGACGACCCACTGCCCTACTCGCGAGACAGCGACTACCTCCTCCATGTAGACGACTCCAGCACTGCGCCTATAGACCCGACGTTCCGAGGGTTGCATCTGTAGATCCGAGCTTTGGATCGCGGTACTGAACAGTTGAAGTTGAAGGTACCAGTTGAAATGCTGCCAAACGTATCTTGAGAAGGCCACTTAACTGAAGGAGCCTAGCCTAGAAGAAGAATATAAACGAGAACTTTCCGCTAATTGCTGTCAGTCTAACTGAACTCAAGGCGCAGTCGCCATGCAGCGTGCTGGTTCATTCTACTGCATTCTATTGTACAACTGCAGGCACCACCTCCGCTTCCGTACAAACGGCCGGCCGGACGGCCCCCTGCCGATGCGTCATCGGACCCCGTTCCCGATGACGCATGGACAATTCGAATCAAGTTTGTGCGGTCGTGGCGGTGCATGTGACCGGGCTTCTGCAGCTTTGCTGCACCGCGTTGTCGGCACCCTTTGGGATCGTCTCCGTTCGTATCGCTATGTGCACTTTTGATTCAAGTGGTGCCCGAGCTCATGTGGAGCTGCAGCGCCGACCAGCGCGTCCGTCGGCGACTCACTTGGTTTTTGTATCTGAAAATCCGTTTTTCAATCAAATGGCTGCGTTAAGCCCGATGGGGCCGTTTTATGACAAGCGTCGTAAAAGACCCACGCGAATGCTTACACCCAGTACATCCCCTCTACTGCATCGTGGGTTTACTCTCCGCGAGCCATAGAACCCGGGGCGACCACCTCCCACCCAGTGTCCAACCATTCAAAGCGCTGGGCTTTTCCGACCGACGACCGCTCGGTCTCTCCCACCCACGCCCTGGAGCATCTATCAACTTGATAGTATCAAGTGGCTCGGCCGGGCTCACCGCAATGTATCAGGAAAGTTTCCACTGCGCCGATGATCGGGCGACCGACCAGCGGCGGCAACCAAACACGAGCGTATCCTCCAATGCAGTTGAAGCGCCTCGACGACGCCAATGAGGTTGCACATTGAAGCAGGGAGCTCACTTCCCATTTAGCGTCCTAGCACTCGCACCCTCACAAAAGCTGCAGTGACTCCACTTAAACATACAAACAGCATGACAATCAGCACTATCCGCGCCATGGGCGGATATAAAGGCAACGTCAATTTCATGAACGTGTCGAGATTTTTGATGTTCTCGGGCCGTTGTGCTGATTCTCACTTTAGGCACTACTGCGGAACAGAGATTCGTGTCGATGTCCCTGTTGGGTGCATAGTTCACCTTTCGGAAAAGATAGAGCCCATGTTTTTCACTATTTTTATTATGTGTTTTTTATTATGTTTTGGCCATGTTGGTAATTTTTAATTTCTTTCATTTTCTTAAGTACGAATGTTCTATTAAGTACGATTCTACAAACCACTCATTTTGCCACGCGTCCGAGATCCAGCAGTCGCTGCAGCCGTCCAGCGATGCGCTCGCTAAGCCTGTGGGCGCGCCTTCGATTCCAGCAGCCTTCGCCCCTCCTCCCCCCGTCGGCCCTCCGCGCACTGCAGTTGAAGGTGCGGTTGCGATGTAATTATGTACTGCAGAGGCTCAGTGTGCTAATGATCGTGTCTGTGCGATATTGATGTATGTTCGGTTTGCTACAGCTGGAGGCATACACCCCCCCCCTCCTCCCAGAGACCTTCACGAGCAGCAACCTGGCTCCTAGCTCTTGCTAGAACACCTCGCTGGCTCAGCAGGTTTGTGCTTCTTTCGTTGCTGCAGAAGGCTCAGCGTGATAATGAGTTTGTGCGTATTGATGTATGTTCAGTTTGCTGTAGCTGGAGGCACACAATTTCCGGCCCCCTCCCTCCAGAGACCCTCGCGAGCAGCAATCTGGCTTCTAGCGCTTGCCAAAGATCTCGCTGGCTCAGCAGGTTTGTGCTCCTTGCGTCGCAGCTGACACTCTCATTACTAACCGCTTGCTTTCACACACAAATTAGTAAGCGCGGCTGATCAAGCAAACACTGTTCGTGCTGGGAATACAAAAGCGCACGGTATGGTTTTCAACGAAAGAGCCCCATATACATTCACTAACCCGCTGTGTGATCCCTGTTTACAGGTCCTCGACGACAAGGCGGCCCTCTTCAGCGCCAACGCGGTATTCTCACACTGTCAAGTGGGCGTAATAAGCTGGTTGACGCTAAGGTATGTTGAAACATGGCAACGCCCATGTTTGGAACATGTCCTGACCATGATTGTGCACTCGTTTGCTTATCAATAATGTTGTTGCAGTTCATTACAGTCCTGTCTGTTTGGCTACGCTGGAGTGATCATATTTCTATAGAAGAACGTAAGCTGGTGAGGATGCTAAAGTGTCAAATGACAACATGTACACGCCACATTTCACACATGTTCCTGAACATGTTTTGGCTATTGTTTTGCTGGTTTTGTATCAGACCTCTACAAGATGGCGCGTACGAAGAAACCTGCCGCCATTCTTCGAGCCCTCAACATGCAGGATGATACCGACAGTGACAGTGAAGATAGCATTACTTCTGGGGATGCACGATCGTCAAGTGACGAGCACATTCTGAGTGAAGATGATGAATTTCCGAACATACTGGAAAAGGTGCTGCTAGTGATGATGGCGCGGAACAGAGAGATGAACGTGATGAGGATGATCACGAAGCAGATAGTGCTGAAGAAATTGCCGAGTGTGACGTTGACTCCGACGCTGATTCTTCTAGCTCTGAAAGCGCTGACCAGAAGTCAGGCACGTCTGGCAGCAGTTCGGTGGCTCGGAAACGTACTATAGCCGAGATCGAAGAGGACGGCGAGCTGTACTTCGCTTCACCCCCGAAGACGACTCACAAAAGCTGGAAACGGTTCGAAAAACACATCAAGGAGTATCAACGACGGACCCTTACCGTTCAAGCTGTGTGTGAGACGATGAATGCTAAGCTGCGTAACGCTCAAATCAAGAAGCTGAAGAAGCATGCTGGGAAGAAAAAGTCGGAGTTGCCGCTAGTACCCAAAGCTTTCGACCCGTATCAGCGAGTGTACATTTGTACCCACGGCTGGAAGATGCGCATCCGCTCCAGAGGGCTTCGCCCATCTCACCGATTGAAGTACACGGGCTGTCAGATGCGCTTCAGGGCTCCAGCGGTTCAGGGACCAGACGGTGTGTGGCATATTGAGGTAAAACACGCGTTTTACGGACACAATCACGAAGTGTCAGAAGCCGTGTACCGTGGGTACCCGATGGTTCGGAAAATTCCTGAGGGTTCGCCTATTTTGCGTGACGTGGAGCTGATGGTCGCCAGTGGGAGCAAGCCAAGCCGGGTTTACGACTACATTCGCACCAACTCTCCGCACGAAGTCCAGAAGCAGGATGTTTACAACATGATTGCCAAGATGAAGAAATCTGGTGAGCATTGTGTGTACTGGTACGACTTTATTACTGAACATATTGTCTAACAAGCATGTTTGACGTAGGTGAAACCCTGTCGGATGAAGATCAAGTGGCCGAGATGCTGGTCAAATTCAACCTGGACGGGCACGGCAACGTTAGTACAGTCGACGAGAACTCGAAGAAGCAGACGGCAGACGGCAGTCGTCTCCATCAGCTCGCAGCATATGCGCAAGCTCTACAAGCGCTTTCCTGAGATCCTACTTATCGATTGTACACACAAAACGAACCGGTGAGTTCAACCATGATTCATCCATGTTTTTCAAATGAAGTTAGCATGTTTGTACCGACCATGATTAATCCATGTTTCCCATGTTTGATGCATGTTATAGATACAATTATCAGCTGTGTACACTGATGATCATGGACCAGTTCGGTAATGGGCAGGCTGTGCAGCACTCTGTGATCGAAAGAAATGCAGACTGGCACATGGTGAAAGCTGTGGAGCATTTTCAGTCTGTAAACGATTGGGAAATGACAAAAGTGATTATGGTGGACAAGGACCTCAATGAGATCGAGGTGTTGAAGAGCATGTTTCCGAACGCACGGATTCTCCTGTGCCATTTCCACGTGATCAAGTGGCTTCGCACCGCAGTCCGGAACGACAAGAAGTACGGAACGTACTCAAGTGATGTGCTGAAACAAATGGACTTTTGCGTGGCGAACATGGTCTATTCAAGGCACCGGAGGACCTTCAACAGCACGCTGATGAATTCAAAGTTTTACCTGTCGCGGGGGACGGACTGCGCTGTGGACCTACTTCGACACCAACTGGATGGAGTCTAAGGAGATGTGGGTCTCATTGTACCGTATGGACTTACCACACTTCAGGAACAACACAAACAATCGGCTCGAGAACTTTTTCGGCAAGCTCAAAGCTGATCTCAACAGCTCCATGTCGATGAAGCAGTGTTTGGATACTGTGCTTCGCTATCAGCGGCGACGTGAAGATGAATACGTATCTCGAGTGATTATGCCTGGGTCCGCTCGAAATGTTGGCTACAGCGAGGAAATGAACCAGCTGCTTGGTATGACGAGCGAGTGGCTCGCTGGGGTTTCTGTTTCGGAGTATGAATTTGCAGTGAACCCAGCAACACTTGCTGACTACACCATTGATGATGAACCTCTGTACGTGACGCTCCGCCGCGATGGCCGAGAACACCGTGTGGATAAGTTCACATGGTTGTGTACCTGTGAGTTCTCCATGACCATGAAGTTGCCATGTCGACATGCCATGCTATACCGCAAGAACGTGGCGCATTTATTGACGATACCATACTCGTCAATCTCCGCAAGGTGAATACCATATTTTATCCATGTTGCACCAAGAGTTGCCCATTACAGATTCTGATCTATGTTTTGTCCACGTTTTACTGTATTTCACTACTAGGTGGTTACGGATCGGCGCGCTGGACGAGGAATTACCCGAGGTCGAAGTGCCTCTACGGATCCCTAGCACCAGTGACGACATCCAGCGCAAGCGTCGAATGACCGAGCGTGACAAGTACAAGAGCGTTCAGAATGTGTTGGCAGGATCACGGCCGAGTTGACAGACCTACCGGATGATCTCTTTGGTGACGCACTGGATGAATTGGAGACTTGCTGGGGAAATTTACGGCAACGGAACATTATGATGTCTTCACGGCCTACTCGCGACGATTCGCAGGCTAGCAACGTGCCAGCAACCGCTGTAGCAGGAGATGACGCTTCAGCGTTGGTGAGTGAGCTTGCAAGCAACTATGAAGAGAAGGACGAGCATGTACATGTGTCTTCAAAGAATGATGACCCGCCTCCTATGGCTACGTCGAAAGCTGCAAGGCACAATCAGAGCAAACCTTCAGCCGTACGGGAAGATACGAGTGTCGTTCACTCTGCTAATGCTAGGGGGAGAGCCGAGGCTAAGAGCAGCAGCTCGAGGTCGAAGTCAAGTTTGCACCCATTCAACGAACGGGCTAAGCGAATTGGCCGCCCACCGAAGGACCGAGCGATGGCAGATGCTCAGCGAAGCCAAGAGACGAAAGGGTACAACAATGGGTCAAAACTGAGAAATGCTTTGCGCGGTGATGACGTTATCGATATCGAGGAGTATCTTAAGGAGCGCCAGCCCCCTCTGCTTGAAGCATCATCGTATCTTAAAACATTTGAGATTCGTCACCATGGGCACCGAAAGATCAAGATGATAGCGGCCAAACAAGTACCGGTGGTCACGCACGTACCCTTCAATCTACCCGAGGCTATGGTAAAGACCGCACTTGAGCATGTCGACCAAGCCATCCCTTTCGGGGAGGCAATGGACCTCGTGGAGCGTCCTGACCCTGCAGAGCCTTGCTGGTTGGTTCAGATCGATGGGATCGGAGAATTTACGCACCGCCAGCTAATGGCAATGGAGTTTATTTGGAGCCTATCGAATGCGTGTGACGGAGGCAGGCAGTGCTATTCGTGGTTGATGAGCAAAATTGACAGTAAATTTGAAGGAGAGGGCGCTGCAAGCTTAGCAGATCGGATGATTAGTTCGTGGCCTTTTGAGCTCTTACCTGGCTTTGGGACTGGCTTTGACTTGGCGTGGAGCAATGTATACTGTGTGAGAAGCGACTGCTGGTACAACGACAACTTCATTCATGCTTTTACGATCACGCTGGCCGGCACGTTCAAAAACAACACGACGATATTCCTGCCACCGCTTTCAACGCCAGCTGAAAGTAAGGGTGACCGAGTATCCACTGCAGTTGTGAATTTGTTCGCTAATACTACGGAGTACTTGGTGTTCATGCCCATGAACATCAATAAGAACCACTGGACGTGCATCGTTGTCGACCGCGTCCATATGACAGTCACTTGCTATGACAGCGTTGTAAGAGGGCGAATCACAAGCTGCTTGCTGAAGTTGCTGCGGAACTCGTGACAAAGAGCCTCCCCCATCGGTTCAAGATTACTGCTGTACACAGCCCCCTTCAGAAGGACAACGACAACTGTGGCTTGTTCGTTTGTCTGTACTTTTGGCGTCGCGTTTTCAAGGAGGCAGGAAATGACTACACTGAATTGGGTCTTTCGAGGCACCGATGGGATATTTTGCGCACGGTGGTTAACTTCAGCGACAAGAAGAAGAGCAAGGAAGCGTAAGCGCTACAGTGAGCAAGGGAGAGTAAGCAGTGCATTGAATACATTTCTGAATTTTGCTAAGCTGTTGTTGCCAGCCATGTATCGGCCATGTTCTGGCCATGTTTCTGCCACACATTCACCAATTCATCTGCGTTTTGACCATGTCACGCCCATGTTTTGCTGAGATAATTCCTGCCAAGACGTGTTCTATTGATGCAATATGATGAGGAGTGAGCTTACGCAATCCCCCGACAATTGCGCAGCGCGATCAGTCGGCAATTGTCACGCTGTTCTGTTAATATGTTTGGAGCATGTTGCAGACATGGTACTAACATGGACATACCATCGTCAAGTTGCATGATATAACGCAGGTTGGGCGATGCAATATAGAGGTGACCTCGCCTCCGATGACTGGCGACGTCCACCAGTCGAGACAAAGCCGTGCTTTGCGGATTTGTTTTAGTTTTTTCAAATTTTATATTTTAAATTTATGAGATGGTAAAACTAGTGTACGCGTTGTGTGGTAATCAAAATATGGCAGTCTCTTGGAAACAATCAGAAGATGGTAAGCAAAAATTGGCAGTCTTCTTGAAAACAATCAGAAGATGGTTTGTCGTTGTCCTGAGCCTTCGCGTGCTTCCATCGGAAGAGGCTGTGATTCATGTCTGAAACGTGCGGCAGCAGACCGTCGGCGAGTTCGAACGGAGAAGAGACGAGCTACAGTAGTTGAGTCTGGGAAGGACCGCAAGCGCAAGCATTGCGCTGCTAAAAGGACTGGTATCGATAGTGCGGCACTACAAAGGGCTGAAAACGTTTCCGATGGTGGTGATGATTACGACGCTGGAAATGTTGCCGGTGAACCTGAACAGAGCACATGGAGTGTGGGTAAGGTGCCTAGTGGTGTCACTGATCGTGCGTTCGGACGTTGTACTGAGATGCTGTCAAGTGACTACATGGAAGAAAGGATTTGCTGTCTTTGTGACGGTTTGTATCCTTTTCGCAATATGGTCGTCAAGACACTTTCGAGGTGTAAGAGTCACACTATTCACCATCGCTCGACTGAAGCTGTTGTTACAGTCTTTAGTTCAAGACTGCCTGACATACGCAGACATGATGAACAAGTCAAGTTAAATTACTGCAAGCGGCCCCTAGCTTTGTTTATGCCGTTTCGACTCCCCAACACCTTTGTCGATGCCGACGAAAGTGTAACGATGATGTTTGATACGTGGTGGACAACCTCGGCAGCGGATTTAGCTCGTCGCTATGCTGCTTGCAGTGAAGATTATTATGTGGCACGTGATGTGGCGGATGCTAGAGCCGATGATGACTTAGTTCACTACGAGAACTGTGCAACGTCTGATCCAAGGAATATGGAGGCCGTTGACCCCAGTTCAAATGAAGCCAGCGATAATGAATGCGACCCGTCGAGTATGTTAGATGGTATAGAATGGAATGGAGGCAATGTTGAGTACGTTGAAGCATTGCCGAAAGGAATTGATGCGACAAAACATGTAGCTTCAGCGATGCTGTGTACCGAGAGCGTTGAATGTAGTATGAACATGACGGAGCTCGACGAGGAAATTCAGAAGCGAGAAGTGCTTGCGCAGCGTACGCAGGAGGAGCCTAATGCACGAGACAGTTCGGGAATGCTGCGAGATCAGCCAGACGTTCCAACCCGAATAGAAGTATTGAGCGCTGTCGATGGGTCAGAACATTGGGAGCCCTCAGTTGATCAACCAAGCACGGATCTACCCGAGCGACCTACGTTGATGGAGATTTCCAGATTGTTCAAGCTCAATGAGAAACAGCATAAAATGTTCGTGACAGCGGGTAAAAGACTTTTGGAGCTGGATGACAGTGAAGTTTCAAGAGAATCGCTTGTCTCGTTTTTAGGTGGCCAGCCTGGCGCCGGGAAAAGTCAAGTGATTAGAGCACTCCAAGAGCCCGCGGCTTCCTGGAATAGCTCTGATGTTGTCGGTACGGTTTCCTTTCAAGGAGTTGCTGCTCAATCGGTCAACGGCGAGACTATACACAAGTTTTTCGGGTGGGGCTTACGCGGGTTTTCCAAGACACAACCTGTTTCGTTGGAGTTGCGAGAAAAAATAATTAAGCTCCGCCTTCTAATTGTTGACGAAGTTTCTACTACCGATGTGAAGTTCATTGGTATGATCGACAGTTGCCTTCGACACATTCGAAATAAACCCGACCTCCTATTCGGCGGAGTCGATGTATTGTTTGTTGGCGATTGGCTGCAACAATTGCCAGTTGCTGGTGTACCTGCCTACGTCGACGAACCTCCCTTTCGGGCTCGACGATCTCGCGGTGAACATGGAGAATATTTCTTTCGCTCACGTGGTATCCAAGGATATCGCCAAATAAGTAATGTTGTGATGTTAACAGAGAATATGCGCCATCGTGACGATCCAGAGTGGCGCGATATTCTGGGTCGCTGGCGAACAGGCAATTTCACGGAAGCTGACATTGTCAAAGTAAATGCTGCGGGCCATGATGCGAGCTGGGAAGATCGGAATTCGGAACAAACTTCGTTTTGCCCCATCATCGTCACATCTAATGCGCTACGCTGCCAGTTCAATTCTCAATCGTTGCGAGCCTACTGTGAAACTCATGGAGTGGTGCTTCATCGGTTCTTAGCAAAACTCTCGTCTTCTCGAAAGAAAAAGGTGCTGGAGGTGGACTTACAAAAGCGCCTTCGAAACATTCGTGACGATAAGACCGGGAGCATGCCCATCGTCCTTGAAATTGCATTAGGGACTCCCGTCCAATGCACAAAGAATGCATCAAGAGCTCTCAAACTGGCGAATGGAAGTATCGGTGTTGTAGCTGGGTTCGTGGTGAGCGACACTGACGCAACAAACTCGATTACGCACGAAACCTACGAGGAGGTCATGCATTCAGCACCACCCGAGGCGGTGTTTGTGAAACTACGAGGGTATGAGCACGTGCAGTTTGTGTCATTTCTTCCTGTTGGAGTTGTACCAGTGCGGTTAAGACTTGAAAAGTCCGTGAATGTGGTGCTACCACATCGTTCGTTCAATATTTGTATTAGCCAAGTCCCATTGACGCCTGCTTTTTCGATCACTACGGAAAAGTGCCAAGGTATGACTCTGGAAAAGATGATGTTGGCTCCTCTTCAGCACTGTACAAGGTGTTCTCCGCAGAAGTCTTCGTTCTATGTGGCGACAACACGTGCGAAGTCTCTTCGACAGCTCTATCTGATGGAGGAGCTATCTTTAAATAAACTAAAGTATTTCTCAGCCGTTCCTGCCGCAATGAAGGAAACACAGCGGTTAGAGCGTCTTGAGGCGGAGTAAGGTAACGTAACACAACTTCAGTACATACAATAAAATCTACACCGAAGATTGTTTTTTTGTTAAAATACCCAAGCACTCAACAATACCGTCATCTCATACAGCCACCGCGATGCATGTAGGGCATGAACGGCGACTCGTACATTAGATTCGACTACAGGATGTTTGACTCCGTCTCTGTGGATTGCATAATTAAAGGGGTGGTAGCAGTCGCTGGAAACACGAAGCTGCCATAGCGTTGACCATATTTAGATAAGCACAAAACTAATTGACAATTAACAACACCAGTAAATGTTTTCATTTGACGTACACGACAGCAAAAGGTGTGTACGTTCCGTGCACTAAACGTAAACATGATGCAGCTACCTTCATGATAGCACTGCGGGAAGGGGGAGGGGCTTAATCTCGGAGCCGCTCAATATCCTCGTAGTGGCAAACGCCGCCCAAAATGCCGTGCCAGAAGATACTGATGTCGCGAATATCGCGCAGACGAAGCTTCGCACCCACCACAAACTTAGGATCGCCCAACGAAGCGCCCCATACCGTCACGCGAAAGACAACACTTTGCTGATCGCTGTGTGTCAAGCTTTGGAGTTCCTTGCTCGACGCGGCGAACTCAGCGGGCGAGCAGTTGTCGAACACTTTCAGGTGCACTCCACGCGCGAACAACACCTTCCCATAAAGACGCATTGTAGCTCGAACTGGAGTATGATTCCCCTCCACGGGATTTGTCGCTTGAGCACGAAGCTGTTCGACAGTCGTGCAGTCACGTGCTTGGTCCTCCTGCGCGCGGAGCTCTCGGATGCGTTGAAGCATCGTCACAGCGGTAAGATTAGGCCTTGTCCTGCCGCTAAATCGAAAGTGAGCAAGTTCCCGTTGGATCGGAGAGAAGCATGATCCCGTTCCGTTAGCTCCGCGTGCTATCGTTGCACCAAACTGACTTCAATACCTGATTACAACTGTGATTTAGAAAACATAGTAAGCGCTTGTAGCCTTTACTAGAAGTGCGTTAGTTGTAGCAAAAGTAGACTTACAAACTTCAACTTGTGTCTACACGATACGTGCCGCGCAAAAAAACCTCTGCAGAACCCCTGCCATAGTATGATTAGTGTATCCTGCTTGAAGTATTACATGTTATACGGTAACCCATGGTGCCACTATGAGCTTCATGAGCAGCGTTCGTTTTAGCGTTCCGGATATTCCTGCTTTTCTGCTGAATGTCCTGGTCAATTTTGATCAATAGCACTCGAGATCCGTCTTAAGGATGGATAGCAGACTACACTTTGATCTTTAACTACTTGACCAATTTCACTCGAGATCCGTCTTAAGGATGGATAGCAGACTACACTTTGATCCTTTAACTACTCGACGTGCCGAGCAACTCGCAAACGCGACAATCATGCTAACAATATTTAATATTGTTTTATACAAGATCCAATTTATTTTTGGATGTTGCTCTCATGAGTGAGTTTCATGACCATCATTATGTTCGATGTGTATTGAGGCACAAGCAACATTCACTTTTGTCGTGAAACGATTGCGTCGGTTTAACGCAAACATAAGTCTATTATGGTGCTATCATTTCAAAATTGGTAGGATTTTTGGGATTCACCCAACAACTCTGGATTAAAATCCAGAGAATTTTTCACGCCGTAGGGTCAACATGTTAAGGACAGGTAGCGACATGGACACTGACCATGATTATTGCCGGGGTAAATTATGTATTTTATTTGGAGGGTCCGGTAATTTAACATGGGCAATTTATGGGTCGCACATGGAAAAACCATATTTGTCGAGAAAAAAACATGGGCTGTATCGCCAGCCTTCACCTTTTGATTGCTTTTGCGCAGTGCCGATATTTCCGTTATCAGTTCAAGTGCCTTCCTGACAGAGTGTGAACAAATTATGCGTTGAGGTGTTGCGGAACAGATGGACAGACCGCAGTGAAAGCTGCTAATAGTGGCATGCTCATGTGGCTGCCGGAATTGCCCGTACGAGCTATGAAGAATGTATGAAAAAAGAGTCCAGCAGGTTTTATTAATAGAACAGCAATTTTTAATCAGCATAGCCGTATGACGCAGCAATTACATCCAAAGGCAGCTTACGACAAGTGAAAAGAGCTTCAATTTTTTTTAGTTTTAAAGCCTTCAAGACAAATAGTTAACTCCACAAATATGGTAGCCAGATTCACTACACACAAGCAAACATTTTGCAAACGTTAGCGTTAGCTTTACAGTTAGTGTCTGTGCGAACACTACTACTACTTACTTACCCATCAGCTCGGCAAATACAGGCATAATGAATCGACAGACACCTTCACCTTCACTGATCAGTTATCCTTGACACGTGATAAGCAGCGCATTTGTGCTAACATTACGAAAATGGGTACAAAAAATATTTATTCTACACGTAGACTAGCGTGCCAGCAACGATAATCCACAAGTGAAATATGCGAAGTTTCTATAAAATGGCTGTGTAGCGTTTGCTGTTGATTTTTTTTACTAACTCTAGCAACATCATCCTCGATAGTTGTTGACCTTGCTCAAACGGTAGGATCCTTACCTAGATCTGCTCACACCCCGATTCGGGCTCGGGAGCTGTATCACCGTTAGAACATTGTTCGTGCTCAATTGGCAAGCTAGCTGCTTCTGAAATCCTCAACTTGTTGGGTTTATAAGTGCTGTACTACACACCATTCATCCACATACGCATTCTGCTATTATTCTCGGTTTTGGTTACTCAGTAGCCAGCAGTGACACCATGCGATCCCAGAATGTGCCGTTGTTGGACTGAGAAGACTGGTCTGACGTAGCGGAGAGCGCATGATTCTTGTTCTTGTTGTCGTCCTCCGGGCTGCCGTCCCGCCACTTGGCAGCGGTTGCAGCCGTGGATACACTCGATCCCTGCGCTTTGCCGGGCTTCCGAGGTGGCACTTGGAGGTCGCTGCTGCCCCCGCTCTTGAGGTCTGCGAAGGGCGAGTCCGAGCTCGAATAACCGAAGCGAGAGCGCTGGTAGTCGCCGTATGGGTTCACGCCGTTGCTCACCAGTGCTGCATAGTTTCGTTTCTCAGCTTCCGTTAGCACCTCTACCTGGTGTCGCCACACGGCCACTTGCTGCATGAGGCTTTCCACCTCCTCCGAGTGCTCCTCGGCTAACTTCTGCAGGTATTCTTCATGCTTGCGCTGACTTTCGTTTTCCGCGGCCTCCAACATTTTCTGGGCGCGACGTTCGGCTAATGCGTTGGCGTTCTCGATCGATCGGTTCGACTCCTTCACCAGCTGCTCTTCATGCTCCGCCAGGCGCATCTTGGCGCTTTCCTGAGCTTTCTCCAGCATGTCTTCGTACTCCTTTTTGTTCGTAGCGAGCTTGGCCTCAGCCTCCTGCGCGCGCAAACGCGACTTCTCCAGCTCTTGGCGCTGAACATCCACCTCTTCTTTCAGCTTGGCAATTACCACATCGCTCTGCTCGATCTTGGCCTGAAGAATGAGTTCCCGCTGGGCGGCGCGCTCCTGCGCAAGCCGCAGCTCACGATGAGCATCTTGGAGCACGCCTATTTCGTCGCGAATCGAAGCGTTTTCCATGAGGGCGAGCTGCAGACTGTTGCTCAGATCCGTCTGCGCTTCAGCCACACAGTCCAGGTTGTTCACGAACGCCTTTGCTCCAATCCCATGACTTTTGATCAAGCTTGACGACCGGTGAACGCTGCTTCCGTGCTGCTCTGCGAGCTCCGTCTCTAAAAACGGGCTATAATCCTGGTACCAACGGAAGCACAAGCTGGTGGGGCGTGAAGCTGAACGCAGGCGCTTGATTACTGCGGCAAACGGCGCGCCGAAAGTGCTCTCGTTGTTGATAGAGACCAACACGAAGCCCTTGCACAGCCGTTTCTCGCTGCCGCGGTGCTCCGATCTCGACGAAAAGAACACAGGAGCGACCTCGAGCATCGCCGCCTCCACATCACAGATTTTACAGGCTCCAAAGGACAATCCCATCGGACCTGTTGCCGTACTCCACACACCCTGTGCCTTGCGCGACATGATCGCCTTGATGTCTTCAGACCGTTGGCTGTCGTCGCTATCATCACTGTCGCTTAGGTCGTGCTCTGGCAGGAACGCCTTTGCCTTCCTCTCCGCGCGACGCTTTTGGCGCAATTCATGGAGCAATGACGGCGGCAGGTACGAGAAGAATCCACGCGAAATGAGGTCGCGGGATCCTCCACTCACATCATCCCATGCAAACAAGGTAGCAGCACCATTTAGCATGCCATGGTGAGTCGATCCCACTGCGATATCAGCCGTCTCGCCACGCTGCTTGCCCGAGGCGCTAACAATGCCAGAGCTCGTAGAGACCGGAGCTCCACTAGCCCCAGAAACACTCCCAGCGCCAAACAAATCGCCGAACACGGACCCAAATATACCCGATGTCGACCGCGGCGCATCCACACTGTAGCTGCGGTGGCTTGAGTCCATGGGCGGCTTTCCTGCATCAACTGGGCCTGACATTGAGTTTTCGCTGCTGCTTCCACCGCTGGCGCTGGACACAAGCCGCTGCCGTCCACTCAGTGACTCTGCATCGGACGTAGCATCAACACTGGTCCGTGGCGTCACTGAGCTGCTGCTTTGACGGTTGAGATTGGGGTTGTAGAGAAACCTTAAGCGCAGTGGCAACCCGGCGCTCCGAAGCTGGACCAGCACTTGATCGAATGGCGAGTCGCTCACGTTAACTCCATTCACGCGCACCAACTTCGCCCCTACCGGAACATCCGCGAGCGCCGGGTCCAGCTCCTGCTGATCTCGAAGAAAGCCTGCCACCGTCGCCCCCAAGAACTGCCCCTCCTGTTCGTGACTAGCTGTCAGCCTCAAACCAAGCCCTGCTCTTGTCGTCATGGAGTTCTTCAGCTTCGACGGGTAAGCAGCGGGCGCGGCCTGTGTGATCTGCACATTGAACTCCTCCAATGCCAAGGCAAAGGTCGGCATGCCTCGAAACACGTGCGGGAACGGGCAGTTCGCTCCGGCAAACAGGAAGCAGCTAAGCATCACGACCGGCAGCGCCTCCGCCTTGTCCGTCCTGAGCACGTAGAGCGCCGGGTCTCCTTGTTGCTCAATGGTCTTCAAACTAATACTACTCCTCCGTCGCGAGCTGGCCGTGGTGGACGGCGCTCGCAGTCGTCCTGTGCTCATACTCGTCATGAGTACATCCTGGCGCGCGGCAGTCGCGTTGCTGCTGCTGTGGCTTTTGTGCTGCTTCTTGGCGGCCTTGAGCCGCGCGTGCTCCTCGAGCTGCGCGAGCCGTTGCTGCTGCAGCTTCAGCAGCTTCTCCTTCTCCTGCTGTTCCTGTTTCTGCTGCAGCTGCAGACAGTAGCCTTGCGTGTTCTCGGCCACGCCCTCCAGCCAGTTGTGGAGCTCCACGAGGCGGTCCTTGCAGTGCTGCGCGTGGAAGATCTTGAGGTAGGCTTGGGACAGGCGAGGCACTCGCACCGAGCGGCTGGCCAGCAGCTCCGACGAGTGGGCGATGTACTTCTGGAAGTGCCGGTAGCGGCGGTAGATCTTCCAGCTGTAGCGGCGCGCGCTGCCCGCCGCGGACGCGTCTCCGAGCGAGCACTCGAACACATAGCTACATTTTGGACACAAGATGGGTACGTTTTCCCCCCACCCCAGGAATAGGTTAGTGTAACGGTCTGTGGCTGGCTGGCGGTGAGTGTGACGGACACAAATCTGTGGAGGACGTACATCTCGACGCTGTCGGGGGTGCGGTAGTAGCCCAGCGGCTTGATGCGCACGGGCTGCGTGGCCAGCAGCGCCGTGAGCTGCTGCCACGACTCGACCTGCGTGAAGGCGCGGTTGGGCTCGTGCAGGAAGGGCCGCGGCAGTCCCAGCGCCTTGGAGATGCTCTCCACCGCCGCTGCCTCCATCGGCTGCGCGTGTGGATGGATAGGTGCTAAGTAGTGTAGTGCTGGCCTAGGTGGCAGGGCGCCGAGTGCTCGCTACGCGCCTAATCGCGGACTGCCTCAACTGCCGTCTTCTTCGCTGTGGTTCTGATTTCGTTGTGGCTTTCCGACACCCGCTGCAAAAAAGGCGGGCTGAGAGATATCACCCGAATAGAGGGCGCCACACTTGCAGTTTGTATGTGAGACTCAAAGGTGCACCTTTTGGCGCATCGAGTGTGTCATTTTGCAGCAGCACCTTCCGAGCTCTATTCCACACCTGCCCATCGATTCGAAGCCTTGGAAGCGCCGGGCGTTACTTGTGCTGTGCTCGCTCGGCATGACCAAGGCGAAGGCGAAGGCGAACGCTATCAAGCGCTGCGCTGTGCGATACCGTTAATCGAGGACGCCAGGCAGCCAGCCATCAAACGCGGTATATTAACATTCACTGTCCGTGCTGCCCTGCGTGCCGTGTATTTCCTGCTAGTTCCTGTCGTTCTGCTCGCCGCTCGGCACCGCCGGCACCTTCTTCCTCCGCGCTGTCGTCAACCAACAAAATTAAAATATAGGTTGCCGCTGCTTCGACTCCCTCGCTCGCTCACTTCACTCACTCGCGCGTCCGCCGGACACGGCTGTCTCGATGCGTCGTCACCCACAGAGCCCATCCACTGCCACCAGGTCGTCGGTCACCCGCGGCCTAGCCTATCACCGCGCGGGCGGCATGCTGTCATCGGTCTCCTCCTAGCTGGGCCTGCCGCATCGAGGGCCCCGCGCTTTAAATGTCGCGGTCCACGCGCGTCGAGCACACGACGCCCTTCTCCGCCAGGCGAGCCGTCGTCTCCGCGTTGTAGTACTCGCCCTCCGTTGACTTTATTCGGAATTTAACTGCGAGCAAGCCACACCACAGACGCCTGTCAGTCGGCGCCGGCCTGCCAACGGGTGCCGACAGAGAGGTACGTACATCTATGGGTCTCGCCCAGCGTGTTGAGCTTCGTGAACACCCCGCGGACCTCTTGCACGTTGTCCTGAGGCACCGAAACCGTAAACAATCAACGATGTTAGAGACTCGTCAACATGGCGACACGACTTGGCGAAGCAGGCGCTATCGTCATCGTCATCAGCAGCAGCAGTAGCAAGGAGCAAGGAACGTACCGGGTGTACCATGTCCAGGAAGCTCGTCTGACCAGGCACGATCTGGTGGTTCTGGTAGCCCAGCACGCGCGTGTACGCGGCGCTCGAGAAAAGGAACACCGCCGAGGCCTCGGCCGCCACGAGCGCGATGCAGTCCATGCACTGCTCGCAGATCTGCTGGTACACCTGCAGCTGTCCGACCTCGTGCTTGAGCGACTCGACGAACTCTTTCTTGCGCAGACGCGACTTGCGCGAGTGGTCGCGGTTGCGCTCGCGGGACTTCTCCTCCTTGATCAGCGCCTGCTTCTCGTCCTCGCTCAGGTTCTCAAAGTTGTGCGCCGGGTTGTTCTTGATCATGGCCGAGATGATCTCGGGCGGCAGCGTCTGCGAGCCCACCATGTCGGGCGGCAGCATGCCCGGCCGCACCTGGGGCGCCTTGTGGAAGGGCATGGGTGCGTTCTGGCCGGGGAAGCCGGACGACGGGTCGTACAGTCGCGAGCCGCCGTCCTGGAAGGCCAGCTCCGTGTTGGGGTTGTACATGGGCGGCGCGGGCGCCATGGGGGCTCCGAGGAACCCGTTCATGCCGCTGCCGAGACCGGCGGGCAGCGTCATGGACGTCACGTTGTTGCCGTCGTCCATGGCGTCGTTGCGGTCGCGGCTGATGAGGTTCTCGAAGTACGCGGCGTTGGCCTGGATCTTGGTCATGTCGTTGTTGGGGCCGGGCACGCCGAAGGCGTTGGCGTTCACGTTCGGGTCGTCGTTCTCCACCTTGATGCCCATGAGGCGCGCGTACTCCTCCATGGCGTCGGCCTGCTGCGGCTGGTCCATGGGGTTCAGCCCGGGCACGTACACGCCCGGGAACACGTTCTGCGGGTCGGCGCTCAGGCCCGGGATGCCCGGGTGCGGGGGCAGCGGTCGCTGCTGCTGCTGCGGGTGGCCGTACTGCGCCGCCAGGTTGGCGTTGAGCATCGAGTCGTCGTGCATCATGTCCACGTCGGACTCATTGGGCGCCGTGAAGTCCATGGCTGGGTGTGGCGTCTCCTTAGGCAGTGAGCGACGGGTGAGTGTGTGGTCCCTCCCCCCTCTTGGTCTGCTCTGCTCTGACGGGGCGGCACTTACGACGACGCGGGCGCACGCACGATTGCAGGTATGGATGTGACGCCCTGGTCCTCTGCTCCGAGGCGCGCACCGCACGGGACACAACAAGGCGGAAATCAGATCGTGTCGCGCACATGGAATTCGGACACAAGTCCTGGAGTAGCGTCCGCCGCGCTTATGTTCGGGCGCGTTCCGCGTGGATCCGTGTCGCGCACGGTACTGCTCCCAACCTTTTAGATCTGAAATTTCAGAAATAAAGTACCAGATGGCTTCTATTTTTGTGGCCAGATACAAAAGTACAGACGGTCGTCGAGTCGGACGCTGCGAATGAGACTTGCCAAGTCTGCACTAAAAGCTACTTTACTTTACTTTGCTTTACTTTACCCGATACCGTCCAGACCTGGACGGAAATGCCGGTGCTGCATGCATGCGTTTGCATGTAGCTATCTCTGATGCAAGCTGAGCCTTTCCTCGCTAAGCCTGCGGCGTGGGGACTTTCAGGGAAAGACGACAAAAGACTGCTATCGAAATGCCCAAAGCCTCGTCACACGTCGCACACCTTAGCCGAAACCGTGCTCGCTCGCGGCGCACGAATAAGATGAGTTTTGCGCGCCTCGCAGTGACGGCGTTGAAGTGGCTTGTGGCAGCCAACGCTCTGGACGCTCTCGCGCCTTGCTGCCGCTGGAGCAAGTGCCCAGACGCCTTCACGGATCGCTGCGACAGCGACGGCGGTTCCCCGCGTGGCGACTATTTTCTTCAGCACTGAGCACACGGACTGCACGCCGCTGCCCTTGCTGCCGAAGTGCAGCCGCCTCGTGTCCATGCGGTGGCGATGGCCGGGGTTGAAGCCTGCAGAACAGCCGCCAGAGCTCGTGCACTCAGCTGAGCGCTCCCTGCTCCCTCAGCCGAGCGTCGTGGAGAGGAGATTTGGACTGGCATGCATGCTGCTGGCCTGTTCATACGGGCGACAGCCCACTGCGGCACGCTGATGAGCTGATAATGGCTTAGCATGACGCCGCGGCGTCTCCTCGACGTCCGTCGGGCAGCAGCAATGTCGAGCAAGCTATCGATTCCGACATTCCGAGTTACCTTACGGGTAAGCTTACGCTAAGCTTACGCTAAGCTGCTTAGCGTTGGGTTACATGTTAGTCTGGCATCCAATAAGGGCGTCAACGCTACGTCAAGTTTCCATGGTCCGACACCCTCCCTTGTTGAGCCGAAGAGGAGCTCCTCGCGATGTTCTGTAATGAGTAACATCAGCAAACGAACAGTGCACAGATGCGCTTCAAGTCCTCCAGTGCGTGTATGTGGCTCAGGTTCTGCTGCCACGGAGGTGGAGCTCCGATCCGGGGGTCCAGGCAGGCAACCGGACAACGGCTCACCGCTCACATACGATGATCACACTCTACCTGACACCTTCTGACGGATGTTGTACGCATGAAGTCCATTCGACACGTTCTGCCAAGCAATCTATAACTCTACTATCGCATACAGCCAAAGCCAATTTAGTGGACTATATTGCCTACGTTTAAGCATAAACCTAGAGGGCAACATAATAGACGAAGTGCCCCATTTCAGTCACTTCAATAGCGCAGTAATGCTTCTCCTTTTCCTATCTCCCGGATGTCATGCTGTGTACGACAAGTCGCGATCCGAATCAACTGGAAGGCCTCGGCTCATTTCTCAAGTTGCTCGCTCGCCTCCAAGTGCCTCGGTTTATTCCTACCGTGTAGAAATGGTCTCGTTCACCCGCTCGATTGCAGTTGCTGCCATTGCGACGATCTCGTCCGCTTGGGCTCTCCAGGAGGGCGAATACTACCGTCCGACGACCAGCGAGGCTTCGGGTGTGTACGGCACCACTGCCCCCTACCGTCGCGCGCCGTGCCCCGCGCTCAACACGCTCGCCAACCACGGCTACTTGCCCCGCAACGGACAGAACATCACGCACGACATGCTGAGCAGTGCGCTCCAGAAGGTGTACAACATCGGCCCGGGAGTGGCGGCGCTTCTGGTTGCTGCGCTGCCGGACCCGATCAACCTGGACTACCTCGGCATCCACAACAAGATTGAGCACGACGCGTCGCTCGCCCACACGGACGCTTACTACGTCCACGACCCCATGACGGCCAATGTGACCCTTGCCGAGGAGTTCTTCAGCCGCGCCGGCAGCGACGGACTTCTCACCAACAGCATCGTGGCCAAGACGCGCAAGGACCGCGGCAACACTTGCAACGCGCAGAACCCAGAGTGCTCGTATGGTGTCCAGGCTCAGTCCCTCGCGTTCCTCGAAGCGTCTGTGCTGTTGATGGCTCTCGGCTCTGGTGACAGCATTTCGGTCGACCACGCGCGCTCATTCATCGTTGACGAGAAGATCCCCGCCGACTACAAGGCCCCCAAGTCGAGTGTTGGCGTTGCCGCAGTGACTGCTCGAGCCGCACTTCTCAAGGCACAGTCTCTTACTTGGGCGATGTAGGTAGCACATTTTGCGTAGTGAACGGTGCCAGCGTGCGATGTTGTGAGCATTGACATGTGAGATAAAGGTGTGGATAGATCAGTATGACCACTCGCCGAATCTACAACTCTCTCTCTCTCTTCTAATATGCTGGGTCTACGACGCTTTGTCCAACAAAACAACATCCGATGTCAGTCAGGCTAACATCGTTAGAGGCGGAGTCTGAAGTACATGTAAAAGATTTCGGCAGGTGTGCAAACCCGCTGCAATTACTATAAGTATTATTGAACTGAATACGCTTTCATAATTTCAACTTCCATCGTGTATTTCTTAGATGGAGCACTTTGTACCGTCGCTAGCTTCTGGCTCCACTTCTAAAATGCTATGAGAGAAGCATAATTGCTTCGCAGGAGGACGCTGAGATCTTTTCACCTTTGGACAAGGAGTTTCGTGTTGTTTGCGGCGCTTCATGGGAATCTATCGCTAGGGGGACTCGATGCGGCCATGGCTCGTACAGCTCACTTTTGAACTCGTTCGATTCAAGAACCGAAGGAGAAAAGGATGATCGGACAGATAAGTCGTTTGTTGGCGTTGACTGCGGGGTTGTTTGTGTCAAGTCAGGCTCTGTCGTCCTTGCCTACCAAGTGGGGGTATAAGGAGACGACGGGGGACGAACTCGGGCCCAAGGACTGGAAGCTCTCGTTCCCCAGCTGTCAGTCTCCGATCGACTTCCCAATGACTAAAATCTCGCACATTGAGTTTTGGGATATGGATCGCCCTCCACTCAGGTACGGAGGGGACTGCGCGAAGTTCACGCTGAAGAAGCTCGAGGACGTATACAAGTGGGAAATCCTAAATGATCAACGTAAGTGCTTCTATTGTCTCCACTATGGGTCATCTCTGGCTGATGTTGTCGGTAGACTGCACGGTCAAGTCCGTTAATGTCCACGATCGCGAGTACACGCTGCTTCAGTTTCATTTGCACGCGACGTCGGAGCACACGGTCAACAACTACCACTACGATGCCGAGCTCAACTTTGTGCACAAGGACATTAGCGGAAGTGGCAAACTGTTGGTCATGGGCGTATTCCTCCACGCTGAGGAGGCGCAGAGCACAACCGGTTCATCAACAATCTGCTGGGCGACATGGCGACTGACGACGAAACGTTTGACGTGGAAGAGAGCGAGCTGAACTACGCTGACATGCTCAACGGCCTCGTGGGGAAGAGTCATCTGATCAACTACAGCGGGAGCTTGACCACTCCACCTTGCAGTGAAATCGTCGACTGGTGGGTGCTGAACAGCCCGATCTCCATCTCGTTTGAGGACCTCGACAAAATCGAGAAACTCTACTCGGAGCTCCCGTCCACGAAGGACGCCTCGAACAACCGCTCGCCTCAGCCTCTCAATGATCGTGAGATCACCTACTACTACCGCCGCCCAAGAACTGAGCAACGTTGCTGCGAGGAAGGCCAAGCCGTCATCGCCGACGACTTCAAGTTCGAACTTGGCATCAATTAGGTGCAGTTGCATTTGCGCTTGTGGTAAATACGGTAGGAAACTTGTTTGGGGGGGGGGTAAATGGAGCAACCAGTCATGGCACTCATACACCGACAAGGTTCAAGTGTCTTTCGTGATACGTTTTGCAGTGTGCCGGGTGTGAAGCCTTGCGACGCTCTATGGTTTCGCTGCTGTTGATGCTTGTTACTCCGCTTCAATATGATCCGCCTTGATGCATTGCAACTTGGTCTGGACCACCAGCAAACAAATCGAGGGATGGCGCCACCAACAGGTGCGAGTCCAATGCAAGGATCAATCCCTCAGTTTCTACCTGCACTGTAAAGACCGGCAATGTATATAATAACCAACAGAGCGCATTGCGTGTGCTGTCCAGCCCCGTTTCCTAATTTGCTTTGCCATCGACAATGAAGATTATGCTGCGTCTCACACTTCTCGCTGCGATGGCAATCGCTTACCCAAGCTGGTGGAAACTTTCAAGCCCAGCAAACCGTCGGGCAGCTTCAAGTCGGCGAGTACCACAAGCCTTCCGCTCTGGAGGCATCGGGTGTACCGAACACCACCGCGGTCTTCCACCGCTCGCCGTGTCCGGCGCTCAACGCGCTAGCAAACCACGGGTACCTGCCTCGCAACGGCAAGGATATCCCGAAGGGCGTGCTCAAGGCTGCGATCATGAACGTGTTCAATATGGCGAACGACACCGCCACCTCGCAAGTGGGCCAGGTGTCCGACGTCTTCTCGCTCGACTTCTTGAGCAAGCGCAACGCACCCGAGCACGACGCGTCGCTGGTGCACACGGACGCTTACTTCGGCCACGACCCGATGGAGGTGAACATTACTCTCGTCGACGACCTGTTGGCCCGCACTGACAGCCACGACATGATCACCACGACTGCCGTCGCCCAAGTTCGCAAGGACCGAGCGACGCTGTGCGAGACCAGCAACCCGGAGTGCACCTTCGGAGACAACGAGAAGAAGAAGTCGTTCACGCAAGCGTCGCTGCTGTTGATGGCGCTCGGAAAAGGTGACGAGATCTCAGTGGAGCACGCGCGGTCGTTCCTGGTCGACGAAAAAATCCCCAGCGACGTTGTGAAGGCGAAGGAGCCTGTCACGCTCGCGGCCATCGGGAAGAAATCCGCCGAACTCGTTGCTCAGGCCTCGTAGGTAGATACCTGGTATTGGAGCAGCTATACTGGATAATACAAACGATATCTCCAACTACCTCCACTTCAACCTGCCAATGATGATGATGCAAAGATGCGTGTGTCTCTCATTCGGAAAGATTCTATCCCCAGCCCACGTATTATGAGCGTTCGCATGCCGACCAAGACGCTGCCGAGCGGGGCTCAGATCCCCGTCATCGGCTTCGGCGCTTACCTGGACAACGACGTCGACAACTCGTACAACATCGTGCTGTCGGCGCTGAAGCAGGGCTACCGCCACATCGACACGGCCCAACTGTATCACAACAAGGCGGAGGTGGGGCGCGCTGTGCGGGACTCGGGCATCCCCCGAGAGGAGATCTTCGTGACCAGCAAGCTCTACCTCACCGACTGGGGCTACAAGAGGGCGCTAGCCAGCGTGAGGCGGAGCAACGACAAGATCGGGCTCGGCTACATCGACCTCTTCCTGCTGCACGCGCCTGGTGATGCAGCTACGCGAGCGGAGACCTGGCTCGCTCTTGAAGAGCTCCACGAGCAGGGGATCTTAAAGGACATCGGCGTGTCCAACTTCAGTGGTGCGCACATCGACAAGCTCTTGAAGACGGCTTAGGTGAAGCCAGCAGTGAACCAGATCGAGCTGCACCCGTGGCTCACGCGGCCCGAGACGGTTCAATACTGCAAGGAGAACGGCATCCTCGTGGAGGCCTACTCGCCGCTGGTCAAGGCCTTCAAGATGAAAGACGCGACGCTGAACGAGATCGCGAACGAGGTGGGCGCGTCGCCGGCCCAAGTGTTGGTGGCCTTCAGTCTGGCTAACGACATTATCCCGCTACCGAAGTCCGCCAACGCCAAGCGCCAGAAAGACAACCTCGAGGCCATCAACGTCAAGCTCTCGGCCGAGCAGGTGGAGCGACTGGCGGCGCTGGACGAGTACTTTGTCACGGACTGGGACCCCATTCGCGACGAGGAAGTGTGAGTGAGGGAGGGCGTGAAACCACCGGAAGTCACAGCTCGGGTGTTCAGCTCTCGGTCAAGATGGAGGCTCTGATGTGTTGGTTGCTTGCCGCTTCGGTCCTGATGTGAGCTCTGAGCTGCGGCTGGAATGCTTCGCGAAGGCCACTGTGTTGCTCTCGTTCTGCAGCTGGCAGCGTCCACTTGAGCTGCACGTGTTCTGGCGGAATAATGATGATCAGTGCACAGCCGACAGCGAGAAATATGAAGCCATGGCTGTATTGCAATGGAGAAGAGCGCAGCCCTCGCAGTCTTATGCGTGTTTCCTGCCTCGACGTGAGCCGAGTCTACTGGCAATCATGCGCACTACGTAATCTACCATACTATAGCACAGTTTCTTTCGCAGCACCGCCCTATCTATGTCCCGCTGTGTAATGCTCTATGCATATCGATTGGACAAAAACGAAATTACCGACCAATCAACGACGGCCATGCGGAGGGATGGGAGATAGCTGGTGTAAGCCACACTAAATCCTTTAAACTCTCATTCCATCGAATGTACCAGGTATAAATCCTTCAGATCCCTTTTCGTATGTCCGAACTCAAGACGTCATAATCCTTCATGAACTCTTCACCAACAAATTACAGATAACAACAAGATACAAACCCTCCAATACACGATGTCTAGTCGTCTTCCCGCAGTCTGTCAGTTGATCTGTCTCTCTCGGCGCTAGTCAGCATCGTATCGATCGGTAGCCAGAGGACGAGCCGCGGCCCCAGGAGCGAACGTCGTGACCGCAGAGCAAGCGCCAAGGCATTTCCTCCGCGCCCTCCGCCATGATCAAGGTCAAGTGGGACTCCACGTACACGCCCGCGGCCAAAGGCACCGGCAAAGGCAATGCAGGCAATGCAGGCAATGGTGGCGCCACCTCCTCCTCCGCCACGTCCGAGCGCCCCACGCTCACGGCGCTCATGGACGGCATCGTCATCAGCAGCACGAGCAGCACCAGCAGCAACGTGGCCGGCACGCGGCGCCCGCCGATGCCCAAGTGGGACATGGGCACGATCTCGGAGGACACGATGCCCGCGGCCTTCACGGCGGCTTCCGCCGGCTGGGCCAACGACCGCTTCGAGCTCACGGAGAGCGGCGAGGTGCGCAACCGCGCGAGCAAGCAGCGCATCTCCAAGCAGGAGATCCGCGACCACGGCGAGGAGGTGCTCCGGGGGCTCATCGACCACGTGCACACGCGCATGCTGCAGGAGCTGCTGTTCCTGGAGCAGGCAATCCCACCGCTCGAGTTCGAGCGCAGCTCGGTCGAGTCGGGCTTCGACCCGGGCGCGAGCCACACGAGCAGCAGCGTCAGCAGCTCGGTGCGCTCCAGCTCGTCCAGCATCTGCTCCACGAACGACGGCTTCCGCATGATGATCGACACGGACGAGCCGCGCTGCATCTTCCACACGAGCAAGAACTTCAGCGTCGCGGAGAAGCTGCTGGTGTTCGTGTGCTCCTTCAGGGGGCTCAGCTGTGGCATCTGGAGCCGCAGCGTGCTGCTCAAGGACGGCGTGCAGGTCGGCTCCATGCTGCCGTACTTCCAGAAGGCCATCGCCGCCGGCTACGGCATCCTCGTGATGAACCCCAACATGAACACGCAGCTTATGGTTACGCAGGACGGGACCGTGGAGAAGATGCCGATCCGAGGATCCAGTAACGCCGATGAGCACTGCGACCACGTGTGGCGCAACTACATCTTCCCCTCGGCTGCGCACAAGGTGCACTTCATCGCGTACGGCTACGGCGGTGTGCTGGTGACGCAGCTGATCGCCAAGTACCGGTACGAGCTCAAGAGCCGACTGGGCAACGTGGCCTTCATCGAGAGCTCGCACAAGATCGACCCGTCCTGGAACTCGGGCTTCAAGCGCTTCTTCTCGCAGCACAGCATCTCCTGGTCCCGGTCCGACTTCCCGCTGAACACCGAGTTGAGTCGGGATGCCACGGCTTTCGCTGCGAGTGGTGGCCCCAGCGGCACTGGAACGGCAACCAGCAGCGACGACGCGTTCTCTGCTACTGCGTCGTCTCCGTCCTCGCGCTCGCCGAAGAGCCCAAGCGCTGCTCAGCTGACTGGATTCGGCTGCATTTGTCTGTCTGCAGGCCCGTGCGAGGGAGCGAACGAGAGCCCTGCTTACACAACGAAGGAGGTGCTGGATACTGTATTCGCCTTCTTGGCATCTCCGACGCCTTACGAGTTCCAGCGCCGAGCAGCGCGTGAATTGCGGTTGAATACGCTATTGGAGGAGCAGCAGCAGGCTCGAGTACAGCAGGGGCACGAGGAGCCAGCTGCCCACGGTGGACGTAGTGGTCATACCGACCGCGGAGGGCACGGCCACGGAGGCCATGGCGCTGATAGTGGACGGCCTCCTCAAGACCAGCAAGCGCGCGGGCGGAAGGAATCCGTGTATGACGCTGTGTTGGGAGGCGCAGCTGGAAATGCTTCTCGTGAGCTGAAGCCGCGCGAGTACGACTCGTTGACGATTGATGACTTCGACCTGCTTCGGGTGGTTGGCCGTGGTGCCTTTGGTAAGGTGATGCTGGTCCGAAGAAAGCTGCCGCAACAGCAGCAACAGAAGGGAGCGCGGTTATTAAGCCCGCGGACGATGATGTCCATGGGAATGACCCCGCAACAGATCGCAGGAGCTTCAGGCAGTGAAGGTGGTAAGGTGTACGCCATGAAGGTGATCAAGAAGGCCGCTGTGTTTGCCAAAAACCAGGTCGAGCACACCAAGACGGAGCGTCGTATTCTGCAGGGCGTGGACCACCCGTTCATGGTGAAGTTGCGGTACGCCTTCCAGAACGAGGCGAAGCTGTACTTCGTGATGGACTTCTACAATGGCGGCACGCTGCACTTTCATCTGCGTCGGGCGATGCACTTTGATGAAGTTCGCACTCGCTTCTACGCCGCGCAGCTCGTGCTGGCCATCTCGCACCTGCACACGTACAACATCGTGTACCGTGATCTCAAACCGGAGAATATTCTGCTAGACGACCAGGGATTCATCGCCCTGACGGACTTCGGTCTGTCACACGACCACTTCGACAGCAAGGACGGTATGCAGACCTTCTGCGGTACACCTGAGTACATCGCCCCCGAGCTCATTCGTCGCGTGCCGTACGGCAAGGCAGTGGACTACTGGTCGCTGGGCGTCCTCATCTTCGAGATGCTGGCGGGCTACACGCCGTTCTACCACGCGAACCGCAAGCGCAACTTCCAGAACATTGTGAAGCTCCCGCTGCGGTTCCCGTCCGAGTTTTCCGACGACGCGCGCTCCTTGCTGCGTGGCTTGATCTGCCGCAACCCGGCCAAGCGACTCGGCTCCGGTCCGTGCGGCGCGCAGGAGATCATGGACCACCCGTTCTTCAGCACTGTGGATTGGGAGAAACTGTACAAGCGGGACGTGCCCGTGCCCTTCAGGCCTGTGGTCAAGTCGGACGGCGAAGTGAACAACGTGCCCGAGTTCTTCAAGCGACAGGAAGTGATCGACTCGGTGGTCTCCGATGCCCCGATCGGCAAGAGCCACGTCTTCCAGGGCTTCTCGTACACGGACCCGTACAACTTGTAGGTGGGAGGAAGGTGAAGCAAGAGACAGATTTAGTGAATGGTCAAGGCCGCGTTTTTGATGTGCCAGCGTAGAACAGGGAAGGAGGAAGGAGAGGAGAAGAACTAAACCATTGAGTAAGATATCTAGCAAGCAAGCTACGACCCAGTGTTTACATGTAGTGTATTGTGCTGTTGCGCAGGTTGACGACGACAGTGAAAACGATAACCGAAGCTAATATGCATCAACTTGTTATCTTTTTGTTAGCTCAGCTGCTCACATAATACTGTGGACACGATCACATGGCCATTGTCGCTTGATTCGAGGGACATGGCAACCAGGAGGTACAGCTCCTAGTTTAGTAGTACTTGACCTGGCGGTCGTTCATCGGCTGCGTGGGGCGGTTGTCCGCGGCGTCGTTCGTGGCCGGCAGGTCCGCGTACAAGTTCTTGATCGTGCGCAGCTCGTCGTACGTGATGAGGATGGGGTTGTTGAGCACCCACCAGTCGACCACCTCACTGCACGGAGGCGTGGTGAGGCTGCCGTTGTAGTTGAAGAGGTGGCTCTTGGCGACGAGGCCGTTGAGCAGGTCCGCGTAGTTGATGCCACTCTCCTTCACGTCGAAGTCGTCGCTGCTCGTCTCCAGGTCGTTCATGAGGTTCTTGATGAAGGCGTTCTCCTCCACGTTCGGCTCGGCGCTGAGGAACACGCCCGTGACCAGGAGATTGTCAGTGTCGCTGTTCTTGTGGACAAAGTGGATCTCGGCGTCGTAGTGGTAGTTGTCCAGCGCATGCTCCGACGTCGCGTGCATGTGGAACTGGGCCAGCGAGTACTCGCGCTCGTCGAAGTTGATGGACTTGACCGTGCAGTCTGCAGCAACAACACCACAGTTAGACGTAGAATGTAAGCACAACTCGCCGAATCGACTTCTACTCACGCTCGTCTCCGTCAATCTGCCACTTGTACAGGTCCTCGAGCTTCTTGAGCTTGAACTTGCTGCAGTCGCCTCCGTACGTGAGCGGGGCGTGGAACATGCCCCAGTCGTTGTGCGAGAGATCACGGACCGGGATGTTGATCGGCGACTGGTGAGTTCCTCCGCACGCCGGGTACGACTCCTTCCAGTCAGCGGGGCCGAGCTCCTCTTCGGTCGACTCCTTGTAGCCCCACTTCTCCGTCGACGCCTGACCCGCGGCCACCAGAGCTGCAGCCAAGAGCACGACACGCGACACAGCAACGAGCATTCTTTGCCTTGGTTCGAACGTCTTCACGGAATCGAGGTGCTAAACAAGCTGTAAATTCAAGAATGACTCGCAGCGGTAGCTTTCAAAGCCAGGATCTCCACACAGAGAGACCGCAGCCAAGATCCGAGGCTGAAAATGCCATCGACGCAGCAATTGACGGCTCACAGACGCCCCAGAGCGCCGCCGACGCTTGCTATAGCGTCATGCTCAGCCGTCCATTACCAAGATCGGATCCCAACGTCGCTTCGCCGAGGATATTCCAGTCGTAAGGTATACCATGGTACATGATATGGTACCACAATTATGGTACCGGCTGGTGGTGCAGTCTTTTACAAAAAGCTGAGGATGAACCATAATCCCTTACACCATCACCAACTCAGGCTGCTCGGCGAAAAAAATCCTCTGCCTGGCGGGAGGCGGACTAGCTATCGCGCCGCGGAGTGAAGAGGGAACGTGCCATGAGGACGAACCCCTACCAACGAGTTATTCGCTCAGAGTTAATGAGCGATCGAAACGTCTGGTGATAAATCCAGCTCATACCTACCAACGACATCCAGTAGTATAAGAACGTTTGATACAATACCTAAGGCCCCGCGAAGGCTGGGTTAGGAGGTTTTAGTATAAAATCCTTTTTAATTTTATTTTTATTAACTGTTTTTTCTTATTAGCTACGGTCATCACCTGCGTCTGCCCGGAAATTGGTCTGCTCGCATTTTAATTTTGTGAAGCATTGTCGGTTGATATCTTGTATCTACAATTTTACTTGCTTGAGATCTGTTTGCAGCTTGTAGAAAATGTATGCTATTGTACAGTCCGCCTTCATCGTTCTCTTTACTTCACTTCGTCCATCCGTACCATATATGAATATGTACTGATTCTTATCAGTGTCGTCGGTAGCACACCGTAAAAACTCCAACGATCCAACCAAGTGTTCAACCTGTACCGGTACTACATCAATTCATTTTAACTAGCGGAGCATCACGGTCGCTGCGCTCATGTTGCTTTAGGGGTCGACCCCCAAAACTATGCTGACCACAGAGTTTTGGACGACGTCCCCACTTGAGGAATTTGAGTACAAAGCCGCTTGCAAATTCTAGCGCTTTATTTCCCCTTTCACGCTCCCCGATTTGCTGGCTATTTTGCAAACAACATAAGTACCATTCATACGTTGTTATTAACGGTAGACTGATACACCTGACCTGTGGTTCGAATGCCAGAACACATGTATTTTACTTAGTCTGCACGCGTAGGTAGATAACCTCATGCACGTTGAGCGCAATAAGGAAACATATATAATGAACGATAACTAGCTCAAAATAATGTAGTTGAGCCCGATATCGTACCATCACACATGCATGTAGGGTATCAAAGCAGAGCTGTGACACCCGAGATCGACCCAATAGAACTGTAATTGAGTGGGCTAATGCATTTTCTTAGTTGAACATCTTTTCATGAGCAACGCAATGAATGAGTGAATTAACGCAGACTAAATAATCGGCGCCTTTAGCGTGCAGGAAGGACTTGGAGCTGTCTGATTTCTTTAAAGCGAAGTAGCAGGCGAGCTCGAACGGGCCAAAAGAGAGCCATTGTTGCTACCAAGAAGCACCGACACGGACTCCGGCTCGTACACCCCAGCTCATCGTCCAGCTCGTCACAGAGCGACCCTTCTTACGACAGCATAAGGTTTGAAAGGCAAATAGGCTTAATAAAGGGTCCTAAGCGGGTCCAAATAAGGGTAAATGTCACGTTTAAGTCTATTTCTGATGTCCTCCATACTAACGGTCGAATTTGCTGTTTCATAACTTCGACCCTCTGGTTTTATGGCATCTAAAGATAGTGACGTCGGTATAAAAATCCGTCCTGATACCACCTTCCGATAAGCATCCAAATGTTGTTTAACCGAGGTATTTTTTTCATTTTTTGGTCCCTGTGTGAGCGATTCTAAATTGTGACCCTATCCCATTCGCAGAATTAATGTAAAAAGTAAAGCGGAGTGTATATAAGAGACGTAAAAACTCCATAAAACGGAGTCTCATGATTGGCCTGGTAAAAATCTTGTAACTTTCCAAAACCGGGTCTCGCTTTCTAAATTGTAATGTTTAAACTTATACCCGTCGATAAGCGCTAACAAAGCTTAAACTAATTGTTTATTCTTTACCAAAACATGCGGTCAAACACTTACGGACGCTCCAGTACACTATGACAGCGTCATGGCTTCGCTGAAGGCGTATCGATTTACGCCATAATCGACCAAGCTTAGCTGAAGATGAGCTGCAGGCTGCATCTTTTACATTTCAATTTGCTCAATACTCAATCACTTTAAGCCGAAGATGCCCAACCTCGTGTCTCTGGCCAAACCAACCAGCTCAACTCGACAGTGACACGAGCATCGTTCGTTTGAATCAGACTATGTTCCCTGCGTTGAAGCGCCCACTTCCAAGGACTTGGCCATTAACGTATTTATCATTCCGCAATTTACCCTCAAGGTAAAAGGTCAAGATCAGCGCACCATGCATCTCTCCTTCGTTCCGCTAGCTCTTTCATCTGATCGTTAGCACACACATAGTACTAAATGAGCACAATATACCTTACCGGCAAACGGAGTGAAATAGCTCTCTCGTTGCTGGTGTCAACGCAGCCATCGGACGCTGACCAGGGTGTTATGTCACCGATGGCCTCATCAGACCAGGCAACCTCAATTGGGGACTTTCGGGTCCTGAGAACCCACCACGATAAAGAAGAGCGGGACTTGCTTGTTACCGGCCTCACAAAGGTTTCGTTGAAACACCATTTCCGTATCGATACACTTCGATGTGCGCAACAATGTGTTCAATTACGCATTCCCGGGCAGATGCTGCGGCTGCGAAGCAGGCGCAGTAGACGCAGTAGACGCCCACGTTAGAATCAACTACATGTAGAGAGTTGGGCTGGTAGTTCTTTTAAGGATTAAAAACAATACAACTTTGGGATTTACTCCATTGTTATCCGTTATCATCGTACACGAAACTATTCGTCGACCTGTGTACCCTCCCGGAGCAACGTTCCGGGTTGCCTATGATGCAGCCCTCGCTCTTATTTTCGTGTAGTCATTACACCTTGTCAAGATGGAGCGCAGCAGCATCCACTGCAGTAGTATCGTGCAATTCTCGATGCGGTGTGTATGGAACCACTTAACCGTCTCCACGTGTCCAGCAGCAGTGGTGAAAACCTTGGAGGGGGGGGGGGCTTCACAACATCGGACATTTATTGTTGACACCCCCCGTTAAAACACTGATTCTTGGAAAGTAGTTGTCTGACAACTTTGCTTTCGCAGCAACTTATCTACATCCTTGATAGAGCGCGATGAATGCGAAGTTAATTCAAAGAGTCACTGACAAAGCAGTCGGCGACGCGCTGCCGCGGAAGCCGGAATTTTAGGTCAATCCTACATTTTGGGCACGTGTCAAATCCTTACTTTGGTCACGTGACCCAAGGGAATGAGGCAGGGCTGTGGAAAATATGATTGCGATTGTAATATTGTCAAGATTGTCAATCACAATAATTGATTGTTCCGTGATCTCAATCGACAATCCCGCTCCCATATTGTCCCTTTACTGATTTTGAGCATTTGCCAGTGATCCGGTAGAGCAATATGCAACTCCAAGCCCGTGGAACCGATCCTAGACTCATCAAAGCATTTCTGTGGCTTCTGCTACTTCGAAATGCGGAAATGAGGGGTCATTGGGTGCCCGAACGGGGTACACGCTCAACATGATGAATAAAAGACCCAACATTGCTTTTTGCCAAGGCTTTTGACGGTTAACACGTATGCAATCGAATAAGCACAGATCTTAGGGCGATAGCGCCGCCAAACGAGTAAAAATATGAACCTAACAGAGGAAATACAAGCGAAAACTTAGATTGCAATCTTTTGTTTTTGGGATTGTCAAGATTGCAATAATTGATTGTTTCAGATCTGAGTCGCCAATCAATAAACAATCTATATTTCTACAGCCCTGGGAATGAGGCCACATGTAATTTACAAACGATCTAGAAGCAAAGTAAATGCATTATATCGATTCTGCTGCAACGCCATCCTGAACGATACCGACTTCCGCACCATTATACAATTGTTGACGCATCGCCGTCGTAGTCAAATGAGTTATCTGGACTGTAGTCTGACGTATCGTGATCCATCTCAGCAGCGTCGTCCTCTGAACCCGGCGCACTTGAGCAGGATGCAGGGTCATCCGTGGCGATGGTAGGCTGCTCGTCTTCGTCTTCACTTTCCTCCGAATCCACGTTGTCACCGACCTCAGGCAACTGCGGCGCACGCTGCAGCTGGAAACGTGTCCGTTGAGGTAGCCTGGAGAGCCCGGACTGGATAGCAACACGCTGCACCACATATTCGCAAGAAAGACGTTCTAGCGTGTCGACGAAGATGCTCATGGCAGTGTGTGGAGCTTTGATCTTCCCGTTCAGATGCCGGTGGAAGCGCTCGAGAGGGTTGTTAGTCCTACTAACAACGTCACGACGCATGCCGAACACGTTCCAATACGTTGGCGGAAACATTTCTAGCCAAGTCCGTTGGAAGTAATCCCAAAACTTACGCCACTTTCTGCGAGAGTAGGTCACATGCTTCGCCTCACAAACTTTTTAATCTTGGCCTTGACCCACGCAATCCCTTGAACTTCGATTTTACTTGGGTCGATCACCGTCAAAATGTCAAAGACATTTGGGGCCATTGCTAGCTTGGCTTCGCCTCGGGGAAGTATGCTCGTATTGCACCGAAGGCAGCCTCGAAATCACACACGACTTCCTTAGGAGTCAACTTCCGATCGACGCAGTCCTCGATACAGCGCAACAGCTTGACATAATGCTCCTTCTGCATGGAGGTGGCTACCGTGAAGATAGCAGCGATGTAAAGATCGATAGATGGATCGTGGACCATAATTGTCACGCACTGTTTGCATCCAGCAGGAGCACACCGAAACGTGCCGTCAAGGACCACGACAGGTTCTCGATACGCAGCAGATTGCGCAGCTCAGGATGAGCCCATGCCAAAACTCGATCAAAACCGACCGAGTCGTTTTGCGCCTTAATATCATCGTGCCACGAGTACTGGAACTGAAAAAAAATCCCTGCATGGATTCTCTCACTTTTGACACAGGAGGGAGCTCAACAGATCGATTGCGGTTGCCACCGGTTTCTTTACCTCGAGCATACCTCACTCGATTTTCAACCGCGTTCTTGGATATCCCACAGACCGGAGGCCCCGACTGCATGTAGAATTTCTCCGTAACGTGCAGCCAGATATCCCGTTGGGTCATATTCGTTTAAACAGCGAGCTGGTCGACCTCCTCTAGTACAGCCTCGCTCACATCTTCACAGGGGCTCCCATCAGCTTGAGCGTTCCTGCTTTGAAGTGCAGCGCCCGATCGACAGGTGTGGGGGACGAGTTCACTGAAGTCGAACGATACCGTTGCAGCCATGTACACAAATCGCGCCTTGCATTTCTGTCGATACGAGCTACAACGATACGAGATCTTGACGCTCGTGATGTTCGACCGAGCGTACGAGAAACCCTGGTAGTACACCTTCGTATGCCCATCTCGCTTCTTTGACGTCGCCCGGGTCCGTCCCACCGTCGCGTTAGTACAACCCGTTGGGGCACCATTAGCTCCCCCAGCTTCCTCCCACAGGTGGCCGCCGTCCGCCGGTTGTGATACCAGCATATCGGGCACTGTGGAGCCCGAGGGATCGAGTAGCATCGTCGTTGACGTCCGTGACCTTGCCATGTTGTCCAGGCAAGGCGTCTCTACAGATGCATACGAAGCCTGCGCTCGCATGCTAGTCGTATCCGCTGTAGTATCGAGGAGATCTAACGACGCTTGCGTCGGACGCAAATCGGCCCCTACAACTCCGTTGTCGGACAGTTCATGGACGTCGGGGACTTGCTGGCTCGGACGTCGCTAACGGGTACTCCGCCAAATCAGCGGAGAGAAACGAGGACGTGGTTGGCGATTCGAACGGCGAGAGGATGGGCTGATTGTCGGTGGAGAATTCGTTTGTTCCCACGGCGTGTCATCGTGTAGAGCGAGCTCGCAGAGTACGAAAGAAGCTGACGGAAGTGTCGTGTACTGGTTGAGGAAGCTTGGTTTATGATTCCTGAAGAGGCGGCTAGCGGTGTGGCCTTTGTCCGTTTTGAAAAGCGCAAATAGCTTACAGGTTGGTTTCGAAACTGCTTCCGTGGATGCATCTCGCTACCATTCTCATGCGCGTGTGCGCGCATCTTACCTTCTCTATCATACGTACTTCTCCGGTCAAGAAAAGAATTAACAGTTAGGTTTTTCATTAAAAAAAAACTCGAAAAAAATCGATTTATGATTGGTCGAAGTACCCTATTATGCACTGATATACCATCTCTCATTGGACAAAAAGCCAACATCTGTGATTTGTATGAATAAAACCTCAAACATGATTGGCTGTTTTTCAGGCGTTGGAGGATTCGATTGGTTATGGCGACATAAGACACGAATAAGCTCTCTTTCAGCTTTCTAAAGAGTATTTTTACGCTCAAATCTGATCATTTTTGATAACGCTGCGAATTTAAACCTATCACCCTATCACACCCAAAATTCGACCATTTAAACTGGCCGATACAGATCGCAATGGCGGGAAAACGCATTAAAAAAACAATCGGTGCGATACAGCAGACAAAGGGCTTTACGTCAAGGCCAATTACAGCTCTGTTGGCGTAGTAGAACGTGAATAATGGTCGATTATATGAACTGTTAATTATTTTCCGGACCGGAGAAGTATCTCGTGGGGGTGTGACCTGGTAAGTTTGGTCATGTGACCTAGCGTCCTGATGTGTGACCTATTTGGCCATCATACCCGTGACCAACCGTTAGGATTGACCTGTATTCCCCTCTTCGGCTGCCGCGATTTACATCACGGACAAGAATGTTTGGAGATTTACAAAGAAACTGGCAGCTCAGTAAATCCGACAGCGATGAGTTCTGCACCAAGAGCAGCAGTTGCTTGTGGTGAGCCGCACTTCCGCCAACCTCGGCCTTGTCAAGAGTGCGCAGCGTAGTGAGCATGACTTGCCAACTAATGTGATCATGTATTGATACATAGCGCTGCTGTTGTGTTTTGGAGAGATTAAGCTATTCCAGTGTAGTGCCGTTTATTTGATGCAACGTAAGTATTGAATGACTTCAAACGAGATCGAATGACTTCAAACCGCACCGGAAGGTACACTTTACCATCATCAAGAACTGTTCAGCTGCAGAGCCCATTCTCGTTCTCTGCTTCTGGCTCTCGATCTACGAAATTGGGCAAAGCACTGCATACACTCATAAACACTGTCCGAACCGAGGACATCACCAATCACTCCTTGAGGACTCACGACGCGCTTGAGAGTGACGACGGTGAATACGAGGAGAGGGGAGTTCTCAATAGCCTCAAAGAGCTCACGTACTGGGCGTTGCTTAAAAAAGGCATGAACCACAAGAAACTCGGGTTGCAGGGTTTGAACGAAAAAGCGTACTTGCACAAGAACTACCAGGAGTACATCGACTTCTCTGTCTTTTGGAGGAAACACAACTAAGGAAGCGGTTTTCGCGTGCCAGATGAGCAGCTGCAAGCGAGGATACGGCGGATGGCTAACCTTCATTTTTTAAATGCACGTGTCCATCTCCATAGTTGTTCTTCCATCTTTTTCAATGTAATTGTACAAGCGCTTTATGCAGCAGGTTTGCGAAGCAAGGAATTATGTCGCTGCTGCGAAGCTGTTAGAAGGGGTTCAACGTCTTCGCCGAGGCGACTATAACGCGTTGATGCTAGAGGTATGAATGTTTTCAAGTTCCAAGATATGATGAAAACAGTTTTGGTGTGGTTTCTGCCACGCAATGCTTGGCTACTTCATATTTCGTAAAAGTTGACGCCCTTTAAAAATCGTGAAGTGCATTCAATTCAATCGGTAGTTCTTGTTACCAATATTCGTATGCATAATATATATCGTTGCGAGTTTGTGAGCATCCTCGAGACTCGGCGCGCACTCTCCAGCACCCGACGCCGCTTCTTCTAACGTCGTCGGTTGCCGATCTCCGAGGCCCACGAGTGCGCGTTCTCGAAGCCGTTCTTGGCCATCTGGAAGTCCTCCCACGTCTGGCGGATCTCGTCGCCCGTGCTCATGACGAAGGGGCCGTACTGCACGACGGGCTCCTCCAGCGGCTCGCCGGTCATGACGATGACCTCGAGCTTGTCGTTCTCGTCCGCCTGCAGCAGCACGCCGTCGCCCTTCATCTCCATCACGATGGCCTCGTGCGGCTCGATCGAGTGGTCCACGCACTTGCCCGTGCCCGAGACCGCGTACACGAAGACGTGGTGGGTCTCCGGAATGGGGTACTCGAGCTTGGCGCCCTTGTCGAGCATGAAGTGCACGTAGGTCACGGGCGCCTCGGTCTCGATGGGGCCGCGCTTGCCGAAGACTTCGCCGGCGAACACGATGGCCTCGATGCTCTTGTCCTCGTTGAAGGCGTGCGGCACCGTGTCGCGGCTGATCTCCTGGTACCGGGGCTCGATCATGCGGCGGCTGCGCGGCAGGTTGATCCAGAGCTGCAGGCCGTGCGCGGGCACCTCGCTCTTGGGCATCTCGGCGTGCATGATGCCCTTGCCGGGGGTCATCCACTGCAGGTCGCCGGGCCGCAGCTCGCCCTTGTTGCCCAGAAAGTCCTCGTGGCACATGTGGCCCTTGGACGTGGGCAGCACGTACGTGACGGTCTCGAAGCCGCGGTGCGGGTGGTCCGGGAAGCCGCCGGGCAGCCCCACGTTGAACTCGTCCAGCATGAGGAACGGGTCCAGGTTGCGCAGGCGCGTGGTGCCGATGGAGCGGTGCACGCGCGCGCCGGCGCCTTCGCCCTGCTCGCGGGCGACGAACTTCTTGGCGATGAGGCGGGGCGTGAACATCTTGGAGAGCGCGGACTTGAGGGAGCTCGTGGTTGCTGTGTGGGTGGGGGTGGGTGGGAGGCTGTTGCGTTTGAGGAGGCAAAAGCGGGAATGGGCAGCGAGAGGCCGGGCGCGAGAGAGTTGAGGAGGAGGGGGGTACGTAGCGATGCGACTGACTTTTGGCTTTGGCAGTTGAGGTGCTTTTGATGCGCATAGCCGCTCGGAGCGACGCGATTGGCGGAAAATGCGTGATTACGCGAGCAGAATGATGTGTCGCTTTTGGTTGACTTGGTTTTTGTATGGCGGGGGAGATGGGCTGACTGCCACGTCACTCGTTCTGGTGGTAAGCGCAATCTTCGCTTGGCGAAAGTATCCACCACCGGCACGCACGTCTCATCTTGGACTCGGACGGAGTTCCAGTCTGGAAGCGAAGTCTGGAGGGCGATCGCGTGGGTGGGGCGAGCCACGTGGACGCGCTGTTGGCGATCGTGGGTGCCAGGTCTTGGTCTGGGTTCTGATGGTAGCACCAAGCACAACGGATCCAGGTGCCACCTTAGTAGCACCTTGACAAGGTGCTACTGAACCTGTCGCTTCGTGTGTTGCTGCTCAATGTTCGCCCTTACGGTGTGTGTGTGTGTGGCTTTTCCTGACACGGCGTTGGTTCAAGAATGGAAGCAAACCTACAGCTAAAGCTGTATGGATGGCTCATACGTAGCCTCTTGGCGAATGGAGTGATCGTTTGTTGCTTACCTCACCTATATGTACCCGGTATTTGAATGTGCATGACATCCGTGGTGAAGTTGTTTTCGCTCCTTATGACTGAAGACTTCAGCGATGAAGTTGCTGCATTTTTCACACGTCGCAGGAAAATTGTTTGCTCCGTGATTGGCTAAGAAGCATATTTTCAGCGAATCCGCTGGCTCAGTTTCGGTGACTCATCTTTCAAAGTGGGCGTAATCGGACAACAATCTTCAAGTGAGCTGCAGAGCATTCCCCAATTTGCCTTGCCGCGCCAAGATGTCCGAGTTCAAGTCGCGCCAAGTGTCCAAGAGCTTCCAGGCAGGCGAAGTGAGCGACGGAGCGGGGGCGCATGTGCACCGCTCGATCGGGTCTCCGCGTCTGTACAACTTCGACCCGTTCCTCATGCTGGACGAATTCAACGTCGGTCTACCTGGCGGCTTCCCAGATCATCCACACCGCGGCTTCGAGACCGTCACGTACGTGTTCCCAACATCCAAAGGTGGCATGAGGCACGAGGATTTCATGGGCAACAAGGGCGAGCTCCGATCGGGAGATCTGCAGTGGATGACGCCTGGTAGAGGAATTGTACACGCGGAGATGCCCACGAGCACCGAGCCTGCACAAGGCCTGCAGCTCTGGGTCAACTTGCCCAAGGACAGGAAGATGATCAAGCCTCGCTACCAAGAAATCAGACGGGAGTCGGTGCCCCATGCGTTCAATGCAGACAGAAGTGTGGAGGCCATCGTGTTCGCTGGAGAAGTCTTCGGCTACAAGGGGCCAGTTGAGACGGAGGCCCCCGTGACATATGTCCACTTCATTCTCAAGCCTGGAGCTCGGATGGAGTATACTATCCCAGAGAGCCACAATGTGTTCGTGTATGGTGTTTCGGGAACGGGAAAGTGTGCGGATACGGATGTTCAGGAGCATGAGGCGATTGCGATGGGGGACGAAGGCCACGGAGTTCTGCTGACGGCGGCAACGAATGATAACTTGGAGGTGGTAGTGATCACTGGGGTTCCTCTAAACGAACCTGTGCACCAGTATGGTCCATTTGTGATGTCTTCGAGGGAGGACATTCAAAACACCCTGCGGGATTTTGATCTTCGCACGAATGGATTTGAAGATGCTCATGGATGGAGATCCGAGATTGCCCCGCGTCGTCGACACCGCTAGTTTTTATTGATTTTTTCGCACAAGATCCAGAATATATTTGCGCATTTCCAGTATATACGAGAGCGATGCTGTACATGACTTTACAGATTTACTAGTACAATGAAGTATTAGCGATACATGTACTACGTAGTATTATACACCATTTCTCAGGCAAAATGGTTGCTTTCTCAACCAAAGTGGTGCGGGAAGGTCTCGCGCAACATAATACTGCGACGAAAAGGGGCATTTTTCAACCAAAGTGGTTTACAGCTGTTTGTTTCCCAAGCAAAATGGTTTGCTCAACCATATGGGGCTAAAACGGACGAGTCCACGTCTTGGGCTTGGCCTGTAAGAATCAAAAGTTGCTATTTTTCGACGCAAAAAAGCTTAGTTAGAATGCCCACGTCACGTAGATCACGATAGACCCCTCAAATACATTCACAAGGCTGTTCAAAGCTACGTTTTGACTTCTTCAAAATGGCTCTAAATCCTCGATGATTGTGAAACCACTTTGCTTGGGAACAATTTACGACAAAACCACTTTGCTTGAAAATACCTGGGAAAAGTGATATGAGGTTTTTCCCGAAAAATGATTTGAACCACTTTAGTTGGGAAACCAACCAGTCTGCCTGGGAAATGGTGTAGATGTTCCTAGGTACTATTTCAAAACGAAGAGTAAGCCAGGCTTGGGGGATGGTGGGTCTAAACCAAAAGTGACCGCCCCCGCAGTTCGAGTGGATGGAAGCTCCTTTCTAGAAGCTTCCACAACCACCCTACATCTGCTCTATCCTATTATGTCCTTAACAATGCGAATGATACCTACGGTACTGTTACCTCTCTAATCTGATACACTCACCCCTTCCTCAGATGAGGGCTGCGTCGCTTCGTCCTCGCGGCTCTTCAAGGTACAGTCGTACTTAAGACAGATGGCTACAAAGCCAACTGAAGTTATCCTTGCCAAGTCCGTACTTAACGGTCATTACTCGATTGGACGTGCACGGCGCAACAGTTGGAGCTCTCGGGCGACTTCTGTGGCGGATTCGTCCTGCGCTGGCTGGTGGTGTACTTCCCCGGTCGGAGCTGGATAGGTCCTGCCAGCGCCACCGTCATGACGGTCGAGTTCGGTGGCCTCGGCCACACACAGGCTGGGGCGTCGCCTCCTTCGGAGCCCGGGTCGCCCTCGCGGGCGGCCCTTGACCAACTCGCTGCCGCTGCTGAGCGCGCACCCCGCGCGTCCCTCTCTTCGCCGCGCGATGCGTCCGCTGCACTGCTGGCCTCACTGCCTCCGACGGATGACTTCGACTTCGACCCGGGGCTCGTGGATCCATTCCTGCTGCTGGGTGAGGACGGCGTTCCGGTGGGCTCGCGTGGCGCCCTCTCGCCAGCGCCAGCGCGCGCGCTCGATGAAGATGAAGGTCCTAGCGATCTCGTGGACCTGGATGCTCTCCTGGCTGAGCCCGACGACGACAGCGAAGACGTGGTCGTCGACCAAGGTAGTCCGGCAGTGCCTCCTGCTTTGCCAGCCTCGGTGTCCACCGTGCCTTTGGTTGTGGCCTCGAGCAATGTAGATGAACCGGCGCGCCTGCTTCAGAGACTTCGTTTAGAGCCTTCGTCGTCGCGACCCGCGGTCCTACGCTTCGCAGTACCTCGGCTAGGCTTCAGTCTTGCAGGCCTGATGTTGAGACTCGTGTTGCTGCTCCAGCGACACCGTCACGGTCAATGGAAACGCAGATGGTTGTCTACCACAACGAGCCTTTGCCTCGACATCCTGAGCGCCATCCGGGAAACAACCATCGCAATTACTATGATCCATCGGCGCCTTGGGACCCATCGCATGAGTATGGCTTCGCCTACTTCATGGATCGCCACGGTGACCCTCCCAATCGGTCGTACTTAGTGAAGTGGGACACCAAGCCGCTTCAACTGTCTTGGGTATGGGAAGAACGGCTTGCTGGGTACCCGGAGTTGAAGGACCACGTTGACAAGTGGGTTGCTACTGGACGTCCCGACACGTTCTATTGGTACGCGGACGAACACTTTGGTGGTGCGGGTGCTTCGGCGACTGGTCGGTGCTTCATGGAGGCTCTTCACGCGGCGTGTTACCATCTTGACAACCCATCGCTCATTACGGATGACCACTGGGAACGCTTCGAGAAGCAACACAAGCGCGAGATGACCTACGGCGTCAAGCGGGAAGATATGGCTGAGTTCTTCAAGTTCTAGGAGCGCGACTGTGTTCCTTTGGACTACAACGAGCTGTACACGTCGCGGCAAATCGACTCGTAGAACTCGCTTGCTGATCTCATCGCCTTCGTTCGCCGTGAGAAGCTGGACCGTGGATGCTCCCTCGTGTGCGCGGGTCAGCACCGCCTCGATCACTGCTTCGTTTTCGTGGTCCGACTTCACCGGGGTCCGTTGATGGCGTATGATGTCTGGGAAGAGTTCGAAGATCCACCCTGTGGAATGGAGCGATTGACGAACATCAAGTGGATTGACATCGTCAAGGCCATCTATCGCATCAAGGAAGGGCCCAAACCGGAACCACCACGCGGGAAGCGACTCACCAAGACTGAGAAGAAGCGAGCGAGAGAGGCAGCGGCGAAGTCAGCCAAGAACGCTAAGAAGAGAGCCAAGAAGCGCAGCCAGGGAACCTAGAATACATGTGGCCTTGAGCTCCCTTTCATTGCTTTCTGGTTCGTCGTCTTCGCTTCAAACGACGTTGGGCTTCGAATTCCGCGATCAAGTCTGGCACTTGCTTCAAGTTTTCAACCGGCTCCCAAGTAGGCTTCTCTTCGCCCACCCACTCCACAAGGTGTTGGGTCCGTCGTTTGTGGCGACGTTTCCCTAGGAGTCGACGCACAAGTTGACCGACAGTGCCATCCGCGAGGATGACGTCGTGCGGCCGTGACAAACGACTCGGTTCCTTGTAGGGCTTCAGCGAGCCAGTGTTGAAGACTGGATGTAGCTTGTTACCAGCCTGGATGTTGCACTCGTAGGCATAATAGTGGCTCTTCCGCACGATCGTGTAAGGTCCAATCCACTTCGGTCCAAAATTGGTCGAATTCGGCAAGCCAGAGTGCTTTGGGTCGAGATTTTGCGTGCTCAAGTACACGCGGTCGCCAGCGTCAAAGACTTGTTCTTCACGGTTGCGGTCGTAGACATCACGCATTCGCTCCTGCGCCTGGGTCAATGCTTCGCGACAACTCAGCAAGATGGCGGCTTGGCGCTCATGGAACTCCGCTCCTCGTCGACTCTTGGGAATGCTCTCCAACTTCTCGGTAGCAAGCTGAAGATTCAGCGGGATGAATCCCAGTTCGGCCTCGAATGGCGCTAGCTTCGTGCTGGAGTTGACCGTTGAGTTGACGGCAAACTCAGCGTTCGCTAGATGAAGATCTCAATCATCCTGAAGTGGACCAACGAAGCAACGAAGATACTCCTCCAGCGTTCGATTCATACGTTCCGTTTGCCCGTCGCCTTGAGCTCGGTGAGCCGCGGTCATGCTCAGCTTCGTCCCGATTGACTTGAAGACGTGTTGCCAGAAGGCGGACACGAACTTCCTGTCGCGGTCGGAGACAATGTTCGTCGGCATGCCGTGGAGCTTCCAAATGTTGTCGATGAAGAGTCGAGCCACGCCTTCCGCCGTCACCTTCTTCGTAGTTGACACAAAATGGCACCGTTCCGTCAACCGATCGATGACAACCCAGATGGAGTCGACGTCTCGCTTCGTTCGCGGGAGATCCGTGATGAAGTCCATGGAGATCGACCTCCACCATTCATCTGGGATGCTTAGTGGCTCAAGCCAACCAGGAGGCTTCGTTAACCGAGGCTTGTTTCTTCGACAGGGCTCGCAGTCTACGATAAACTTCTGGATGGACTTCAGCATCTTCGACCAGTTCCAGCGGCGCGCCAGTGTCAAGTATGTTCGCTCAGCACCAGGATGGCCGCCGAAGTTGGTGTCATGACACTCGCTGATGATTGTCTGCCGCAACTTTACATCGTTGGGCACGACAACGCGCGGAGCGTCGTCTGTGGGTGTTTGATACCAGAGCAGTCCATTCGCTTCGGTGTATCATCGGTACTTCTTCTGCTGGTTGCGTTCACGCTTCGGTTTCGAGCTGGAGTTGCGCCGCTTGATCGCTGTGAAAATGGCCTGGACCTCGCGGTCTTTCTCATACGACTTCTTAATGCTTGATATCAAGTCGGAGTCGCCAGTTACTTCGCTGATCGCCAGACCGAAGGATGTATCGTCGAAGCTTGTCACACTCAAGTCGTGGAAGAACTTCGTCTCCGGTTCCAGGTCTGGTCTTCGGCTCAAAGCGTCTGCAATACCATTCTTCGCTCCAGGTAGATACGAGAACGTCGGTTGATACTCCGCAAGGATATCATACCAGCGTGCTAGTCGGCGGTTGGCCATCTTCTGTGTGAACAGGCCTTCGAGACTCTTGTGGTCGGTCTCCACAATTGGCGGCTTGTCCAAGCAGTAGATCCGAAACGCGGCCAGTGCATGAACGATGGCTAACAACTCCTGTTGTTGCGTTGGGTAGTTGAGCTCCGCAGACTTCGTCTTCCGACTGGTGTACGCAATGGGACGCTCGACACCATCGACGACTTGAAACATACGGCGAACTTGCTCGCGTCCGTCCGCAGATGCATTGGCTGGCTGAAGTCCGGGAGATGCAGCACTGGTGGGTTGCACAACCTCCACTTCAACTCCTTAAAGTTCCTCAACTGCACGTCGCTGAAGTGAATCTTCGCGTTGCGCTTGGTCTTCTTCTTCAGGAGGGCGAACATGGTTGCCGTGAGCGAAGCGTATTCCGGGCAAAAGCGTTGCACGTAGCCAGTCAGACCCAGGAAGCTGTGAAGCTCCTCTTGGGTCCGCGGCACGGGCCAGTCTTTGATGGTCTGCACCTTGTCGGGGTCCATCCGAACTCCGTTACGTCCCACGAAATCACCAAGGCATGAATCTCGTCGGCGCAGAAGACACACTTGGACAGTTTGACGTACAGCTTGTTGTCACGCAAGATATCCAACGTCTCGCGCAGCGCCTTCAAATGGTCTTCGATCTTCGGCGACTTGGTGAAGATGTAGATGTCATCGTAGAACGACTTCGTGTTCTTCAAGTCTCGGAACAGCTTCGAAGTCAACCGGTGCATTGTTGGTGGCGCGTTGCAGACTCCCATCGGAAGTACAAGATACTCCCACAGTCCGTTTGGCGCCTGGAAAGCTGTGAACTTGATGTCTTCCTCCCGCATGCGCACTTGGTAATACGCGGACATCAGATCCATAGTGGAGAACCAGTACGCTCCAGACATGGCGTCCAAGATGTCTTCCTTCCTCGTCATCGGGGTGCTCTGGCGCACAGTGTTTGAATTGAGATACCGGTAGTCGTGAACGATTCTCCAGCCGACTGGTTTCCGGACACAGAATGTCGGCGCTGCGTGAGGACTGATGCTTGGTCGGATGAGCTTCTTCTTCACCATGTCTTCGACCCAACGCACGATCTCACGCTGCTGCTCAGGAGACTGGCGCCACTGTTGTCGGTACATCGCCAGATTTGAATCCTTCACATCGATCCGATGCTCAATGTCGCGCTTCTCTGGTAAACCTTCGGGCAGCTCAGGACGGAACACGTTGTCCTTGTACTCCGTTAGGAGGTCGAAGGCTGGATTTTCACGGAAACTGTCCCAGTCTGTTTCCAGATAGCGCTGTGCTTTCGCACTACCAACATTGTCGGGTTGGTCTCGCCGTTGCAGTGAGCGTGCAACTTGCTTGATCGTCTCGTTCGAGAGGACCAACATAAAGTCGGGCTCCTCGGCCGACTTGGTCTTGATTCTCAGGAACTTCCGCAGTTTCTTGCGGGTGATGTACTTGGTCTGCACACCACTCTCGTCGACAATACCCATCGTGAACATCTTCTCCACGACGGTGTCTTTGCCCCTGGTACTGCTTCTTTCGTCGGCTTCTCGTGCAGTACTTTTGCGCTCTGACATCGCAACGTCGTCTTCTCCAGCTGAACACTCGCCAGCTTGCGGGTCATCTCCTCGTCGTCTGCTGACAACGGTCGGGGTCTCCTTCAGCACTGCGTCGCGAACAGCTTCGCACGTGGACTTCACACCCGTTTCCAGCGCGGCGCCTCGACAGGAATCGGGTCGTTTCGCCGAAAGGCCTTTCGCCTCGACAGATCTCCGAAAGCCCGGAGGCAATCACCGGTCCGCTTTCCTCGATCGGTCCACAGGTGTCACCTGTCCGCTCCCAGCGCAGAGTCTTCTCTCTCGTTCCTTCGATACGTCGACCTCTCTAATCAATCTGGGGCTGCTTGTCCTCGAAGAAGGGTATCCCGAGGATGCAGTCGAATTCGTCGGGTATCGCGTAGACGACGGCGACACACTGGTACGCCTCGTCCACACCCGACACGTGGATCTTCAAAGGCAGAACTTCCAGCTCCGTCTCCACGATTTGGTTGTCTCCAAGCTTCACGTGAATGCTCTTGTCGCTGAACTTCGTCATTCGAAGCTGGTGCTCCCTGACCCAACGCTTTGACACGTAGATCGTGGTGGCTCCACAGTCCAGCAACATGCTGCGTGTAGCGAGACACTTGTCACTCACGCTGATCTCACCAGTTACTGAGAACAGCGGACGTGACTTGTAGACCAGAGGGTTTTCACACAGAACGTTAAGGCTGATATTCTCAATCTTAAGTGTTCTGGTTACGCTCTCAGCCATGACAGGACCCTCCTTCACTGACGTGGTTGCCCGTTTCCCTGTTTCTCCTGCTCTTTCTTCCAGAGAAAGCAGTTGGTCTTGATGTGACCAGGCTGCTTGCAGTGGAAGCAGGTACGACCCTCGGCGCATTTGGGCTCAGCTCTCGGCTTGAAGCGGCATTTCCTGCGGAACGGCTTCCCCTTGAAGGGTTTACCTTGGGCGTGAGGTTGATCAGCCGACGAGAACTTCTTGTCGCGCTTGGGTTGACGGTCGCGAGCTTCTTCGACGAAGTGAGTCACCTCGTACTTGACAGCCAAGTCCATAGCGTCGCTCAGGGTCTGGGGGTTCTCGAGCTTGACGTAGCTGCGCGTGCGAGGCTTGAGACCGTTCGCGTAGCACAGCACTTGGTCGAGTACGCTCATGCCCTCCACTCTGAAGATGAGAGCTGAGTACTCACCGTTGTACGTCTCAATGTCTGCTGCCTGCTTGAGTCGCTGAAGCTTCTCGCGCAGGACAGCCTGGTAGTTCGATGCCTCGAAGTGTTGGAGCACATGCTCACGGAAAATCCCCCACGTGTGCTCCTCGCTTCGAGTCGTCGACGACCAGTGCAGGAACCAGCCGGAGGCAGGCTTCTCCATCGCCGACCCCGCGATTCCTGGTAGTCGGGTGCTTGCGTCTTCGATCGGGATGTTGTTGATTCGACAGGCGTTCTCGATCTGGAACAGCCATTCGCGGACATCCTCCCCTCGCTTGCCGGTGAACTTCGGCAGGTTGCTCGGCACTCGCGTGGGGTCCGCCATCGCTTGGTTCAGCCGATCGATCTCGGCGCGTAGTTGGGCAATGGTGGGCATGGGCTCCTCGTTGTCAGGTTGCTGGGACCAACAAGTGCTACCAGTATTTCAAAACGAAGAGTAAGCCAGGCTTGGGGGATGGCGGGTCTAAACCAAAAGTGACCGCCCCCGCAGTTCGAGTGGATGGAAGCTCCTTTCTAGAAGCTTCCACAACCACCCTACATCTGCTCTATCCTATTATGTCCTTAACAATGCGAATGATACCTACGGTACTGTTACCTCTCTAATCTGATACAGGTACAGTACGATTTTCGGAGGATTTCGGGCGTAAAGTGCTCAGGCGTTCACTACAATCCGCACCTGCAACCAATCCCAAGGAAGCTCGGCTTTACATTTACGCGAGCCCGAACCAGTTTTTCTCCTGCCATTCTACTTTTCGACCGCTACTCCGCAAGCTCAAGTCCTACCGAAGATGTTCACTCCGCGTCAAATCGCCAAGAAATTCGTGGCCCACGAGCGAAAAGAAGGCGTCGGCGCTCGCGTCTTCCGATCCATCGGCTCAGCTCGTCTTCGCAATCTCGACCCGTTTCTCGTCCTGGACGAGGCTAGCGTTGGGCAGTCCGGTGGGTTTCCTGACCACCCGCATCGCGGGTTTGAGACTGTGTCGTACGTCTTGCCCACATCCAAAGGTTGCGTACAATAAGCCGCCCGCAATCCGGATTAAGAGCTTATATAATCTATGAAGATTTCCTGGGCAACAAGGGTGAGCTGCGTCCTGGAGATCTGCAGTGGATGACGGCTGGACGGGGAATTGTACACTCTGAAATGCCCAAGAGCCACGAGCCTTCGCACGGACTTCAACTTTGGATCAATCTCCCCAAACACCGCAAGATGATCGAGCCACGTTACCAAGAAATCCTGCGTGAGTCGGTGCCGCATGCTTTCAACGAAGACAAGAGCGTCGAGGCGCTCGTGTTTGCGGGTCAAGTGTTTGGGAAGAGCGGGCCAGTTGAGACCGAGGCGCCTGTCACCTACGTTCACTTCATGCTGAGCGCAGGCGCGAAGCTCGAATACCCCGTCCCGGCAAGCCACACCGTTTTCGTCTACGCCGTGGCTGGAACAGGAAAATGTACTGGTCACTCGATTGTCCCGCACGAGGCCATCGTGATGGAGAAAGATGGCGACGGCGTGCTTCTTACGGCAGCGAAGGACGATAAGCTGGAGGTGATCGTGATCACTGGCGAACCCTGGATGAGCCAGTGGTGCAGTACGGGCCGTTCGTGATGAACTCGGAGGAGGAAATTCGTCAGACGTTTGAGGATTTCAGGATGGCGAAGAACGGGTTCGAGAACGCTCGCTCGTGGGTTTCGGAGATCGGCCAGCGCCGCTGGTTCGTTTTGCTAGGTGGAACAACGCAGCTTGCATAGTGTTGGAAGTTTAGTTCATGACTTTTCGAGATACACAGGGGGGTCAATTTGCCTCCAACAGCAAAAAAAAGTTTTCAATTCATGGTATCTCTGCTTTTCAATACAGCAGCGCCAACAGTATGAGCAAATGGTATAACCAATTTGAAATTTTAGCAACACAAATTACCAGATTCAAGGGCTTCCTTCAGGCAACACCTACACATCAATGGAAACTACGGACCAAACATCTAGCAAGACCTGGCATCCGCGATCGCCAACAGTGCGTCCACGTGGCTCGCCCCACCCACGCAATCCAGACTGGAAGTCCTCCAAGGCCAAGATGAGACGTGCGTGCCGGTGGTGGATACTTTCGCCAAGCGAAGATTGCGCTTACCACCAGAACGAGTGACGTGGCAGTCAGCCCATCTCCCCCGCCATACAAAAACCAAGTCAACCAAAAGCGACACATCATTCTGCTCGCGTAATCACGCATTTTCCGCCAATCGCGTCGCTCCGAGCGGCTATGCGCATCAAAAGCACCTCAACTGCCAAAGCCAAAAGTCAGTCGCATCGCTACGTACCCCCCTCCTCCTCAACTCTCTCGCGCCCGGCCTCTCGCTGCCCATTCCCGCTTTTGCCTCCTCAAACGCAACAGCCTCCCACCCACCCCCACCCACACAGCAACCACGAGCTCCCTCAAGTCCGCGCTCTCCAAGATGTTCACGCCCCGCCTCATCGCCAAGAAGTTCGTCGCCCGCGAGCAGGGCGAAGGCGCCGGCGCGCGCGTGCACCGCTCCATCGGCACCACGCGCCTGCGCAACCTGGACCCGTTCCTCATGCTGGACGAGTTCAACGTGGGGCTGCCCGGCGGCTTCCCGGACCACCCGCACCGCGGCTTCGAGACCGTCACGTACGTGCTGCCCACGTCCAAGGGCCACATGTGCCACGAGGACTTTCTGGGCAACAAGGGCGAGCTGCGGCCCGGCGACCTGCAGTGGATGACCCCCGGCAAGGGCATCATGCACGCCGAGATGCCCAAGAGCGAGGTGCCCGCGCACGGCCTGCAGCTCTGGATCAACCTGCCGCGCAGCCGCCGCATGATCGAGCCCCGGTACCAGGAGATCAGCCGCGACACGGTGCCGCACGCCTTCAACGAGGACAAGAGCATCGAGGCCATCGTGTTCGCCGGCGAAGTCTTCGGCAAGCGCGGCCCCATCGAGACCGAGGCGCCCGTGACCTACGTGCACTTCATGCTCGACAAGGGCGCCAAGCTCGAGTACCCCATTCCGGAGACCCACCACGTCTTCGTGTACGCGGTCTCGGGCACGGGCAAGTGCGTGGACCACTCGATCGAGCCGCACGAGGCCATCGTGATGGAGATGAAGGGCGACGGCGTGCTGCTGCAGGCGGACGAGAACGACAAGCTCGAGGTCATCGTCATGACCGGCGAGCCGCTGGAGGAGCCCGTCGTGCAGTACGGCCCCTTCGTCATGAGCACGGGCGACGAGATCCGCCAGACGTGGGAGGACTTCCAGATGGCCAAGAACGGCTTCGAGAACGCGCACTCGTGGGCCTCGGAGATCGGCAACCGCCGTCGTTAGAAGCAACGGCGTCGGGCGCTGGAGAGAGTGCGCCGAGTCGTAAGAACATGATCTTGAAATGCCCACAAACCGCAGGCGATATATATTATGCATACGTAGTAGGACTACGAAATGAATGATTCTTTTTTTCAAATGTCGGAATACCACCTAAGCTTTCGCGAAGCTTTACTTGAGATGGTCCTGTAGTTCGAAGAAACTTTTCGTTTGCGGTGTTAGACGACTAAACAACAGCGCTATTGTAGTTTTCTGAACGACAAGCGAGATTATTTTTCTTACGAGTTGGGGGTGCTAACCGAGAGATGTTACGGGGAAGAGTGGCTGCCTATTCAACCTTCCGTCGACTTCAGCTCCAGTGGTGAGGCGCGATGCCAGACTTCCAGCCATGAGCAGCTTCAAAGCCGTTTGCACGCAGGTCATAGTCCCACAGCGTCTGCTCAATGCCTTCACGCGAGGACATGACGAACGGGCCGTACTGGAACACAGGCTCGTTCAAAGGCTTACCCGTTTTAGGAATAATCTGGTTACTCAATCTGTGACGTGTGACAACGACAAGATGGCTACAGCCAGACATACAACCATTGCTCCGTCCTCGAGCTTCCACGGCGCTGCCAAGACTCCTCCTCGTGACCATCAACCGAGTTGCTCGCAGTTGACAATGCACTCCCGTTGCTGCTGCTGTCGGTCTCCGAGAACGACAACGTCCTCGGTTTCTCGTCTAATTCGACATCTTGTCCTGTTGCAGTTGCAGCTCTGCAGAGTCTGCAGTCGCTCGAGTCGGCGGGAGGAACATCTGAAAGTGGATCCACTTGTGTCTGGACGCTGACGGCCAGCATGCAGACGTCGTAGCGAGGGGTGAAGAAGTCGCCAGTGTAGCCCATGGCGTCGTCTTCAGACTCGCCGTCGGACTCGGACACGACGGGAAGGAGCGCGAAGCTGTCGTCGGCTTCTGCTTCAAGCTGCCGCTGCTGGTAGCTGCCGGCTCCGTCGTAATTGTCATCGTCGTCATCGTCCTCGTCGAGATAAGTGGGGGTGTTTGCAAGGCGCTTGTGTTCGCTGCCGTCAAGGATGCGATTGAGTAGCCAACAGGCCGTGACGATGGCGCCTGCAGAGCCTACAGCTATGATCGTCCTGGAGATCGCTCGCGCCACTCGATATTGCATACTGAGGCCTGCGCGCCGCTGCTTCTTTTCCGCTTTGAGAATCGCGAGGCCCATGGCCATGACTGGCCGATGATCCCAGTAATGGTGCTAGTTACTGGAGCGGTGGGGTCCCGAAGCTTCCGCCAGAACAACATCCAGTTCATCTATTAGCAGCACGGAATCTGATAGTCGGTGTCAATGTCCATCGAAGCGGGTCGGACAACTCTGCGGTCAAATACAGTCGTCGAGGTGTTGCTTACAGCTATACGTTACGTGCAGTTCATAATTACATCGAGTCGGACAGCATCCTAGCCCCACACGAGCAGCAGGGAGCTCCTTCGCTGTCGTTCCTCCTCGTCGTCGCTCGTCGGGTTCTTGCAGTCGTCCTCGTCCGACATGGAGAGAGACCCGCGCAGCTCCATGGACTTGCGCTCCCGGACTTCCCCGGCGTTGCGGTACTTCCTCTTGTCCTCGCATCGGAAGTATAGATTCGCACGGTCGGACTGCCAGCCCTGCAGGTTGAGCTTGTTCGCGAGCCGCTCGCCTCCTTCGAGCAGTCCTCGCTCCACGCTCGGGTTGTCCAGCTCGAGGAACAAGCTCAGTGCTAGCAGCACCTTGCACACATGAGCAGCCTTGAACGGGGCTTGGTAGCAGCGGAAGTGCCGCACACGGTAATTGGTCCGCAGTGCGGCTAGCAGCGTCTGCATCAGCGCCGTCAGAGCCTCCGACCGCTGCTCGAACACGTGCTTGGACTGGTGGTTGAATAGCGTCCGCTTGGGGAACTCGATGCCGCCCAATACGGCGAATAGCGACCAGAACGGGCACGACCCCAGCGCGCAGCAACACGCGCGGACGTTCTTGCAGTCCGTGAGGTGGTGCAGCTCGCGGTACAGCGCTCGGCACTCGCTGTAGGTGCGCGCGACCTCGTGCGCCACCGGCACGTCGTGCGGCTCGAGAGTCGCGGCGTGGTCCAGGTCCTGGCGCCGAGCTGCAGCGAGTCGCTCGTGGTGGCTCCGAGACCGCGGCCGCAGGGCGAACACGTACGCGGGCGAGGACGAGGTCTCTCCTCCATGCGGGTTTACGCGCGCTATCATCACGTCGATCTCACGCAGCAACTCGGTCTTCATGGGTCCTACGGGGGCTGGCGGTTGGTTTCCTGGAAGTGCTAAAATAGCGAGCGCTAAGTGATGGCCGCGGCATGAAGCGATGGCCAGCGAGCGCTTCACACATCGCTCCACACAAGTTCACACGAAGGAATTTGCGTGTGTAACTGAGAGCCTATCCAGCGCCGTTTCGAAGTGACGAAATCTCAATGCGCACTGCTTGCAAGGACCGCTGTGGTGTTGGTAATGGGCAGTGGACGCGGCAGTAGCTCGGAGATGGTTGTCTTCCGAGCAGCACGACCACGAGCCATCCATAGTTCTCGTGTATGTGCATGTATTCCACTAAGTATTACTTTAAACCTAGGAACTTTTGTGTACACGTGGATAGCAAGCCAGAAGCCCCACTTCACGACAACCAAAGTGTCGAGACGTTCATGGAGGTCTTGGTCGCTGGCACTACATGTACATGTACCAGTACCAGGTGTGGCTGCGCGACTCGCCACTGGCGACTAGGCCCACAAGGTCTTCCTAGCGCTGCTCTGCTAGCTGGAACATACTTCTCACGCTGTGTCATCCGTGTGGTCGCCCCTGCACTTACAGTAATCGAGGGCACAAGTCGAGACTCTCGAGACTCTCGACTTGTGCCCTCGATTACTGTAAGTGCAGGTCTCGACTCGAGACTTGTTTTTGACTGTGACCTGAATCAGGTCTCACATCTGACATCGTGCATCCTCAAGGAACTCGTCGCGCTGGTCGCGCCAAAAAGGTTCGCTTCCGTAACACGTCATTAGCGGGCAGCCACACGCCCGGGCCAGAGGCGGGCTATATCGCCAGCACCTCTTCCCGCCGCGGGTGATGGCGCGCATCTTGCGGGGGGGGAGAAGCGTGATGGCGCCACCACCGGCCATTCCGGAACTTCACGTCGAGCACGCAGAGCTGCTACACGATCCATTCCTTGGCGCACCGCGCGGACATGACGATCACCACCCGCATCCGTGGCGAGCTGTTCGTGACCCAGGCGCAGTCCTCAAGCGACGAGCACCACCAGAGCTCGGACGACGCATCACCGGCCAGCCCGCAGCTCATCCGCTTGCCACTCACGCGGCCGCCCGACGGCCCTGCCAGCGCCAAAAAGCCCAAGAAGAAGGCCAAGCGCGCGCTCAAGCAGCCGACCAAGGTCAAGGCCGAATCGAAGACATCACTGCTACTGGAAGATCGCCAGACGTCGCACCGCCACGGACTGCCGTGGACCACTGAGGAGCATGACCGGTTCCTGCAGGGCCTGGAGCGCTACCCGACCGGCCCCTGGAAGGCTGTCGCGGCCTTCGTCGGCACGCGCACGCCGCGCCAGACCATGACCCACGCACAGAAATACCGCCAGAAGATCCAGCGCCGCCGCCGCGGACTGCTGACGTCGTCGCGGCAACCGGTGCCCCAGACCTCCGCCGCGTACTGCGGGTTGGTCATCACCACCAGCGCCGAGGACTACGAGCAGACACCACGCGTCAGCAGCAGCAGTAGCAGCAAGTCCCCCACTGCGGTGGATGTGGTGGGCGACGAGCGGATGGCGCCGCTCGAGCCCAACTGGTTCGACAAAGTGCAGGTGGGCGAGCTGGACGCCGCCTTCCGCGCTTTCCTCGAGGTCTACGACCCCACGCTCTTCCCCATGGAGGACGACGCGCAACCGTCCGTGGCCAACACGTTCACTGGCGACACGGACTGCAACGTCTCCACGGTGGAGGACTGCATGTCCATCGCTCTGTAAAGAAAGATGGCTACATTCCATGTTAATCAAATAGCGGTAAAATTAAATGAAATTCATTGGCTAACATATTCGGTAAAATGCCACTGATTGGTCGAAACTTTTGCAATTGGGTTACGTCAGACTTCTTCCGCCCCCCAGCCATCATCACTTCATTCACTCACTTGCGCGCACCGATCGATGATTCCGTCGCAGTCGACTGTGAACCGGCTGCTGAAGGCCCGACGCGCGGAGGTGGCGACTGTGGCGGTCGCCGCCAAGCCCACAACCGTGTTCGACAACCAGGACGTGACGGCGCCCTACACTCAGTACGTCTTCAAGCTGCGCAGCGCCAACGCGTCCAAGGAAGAGTGGAGGTTTAGGAAGCGCTACTCGGACTTCTACGCGCTGCACCAGAAGCTCAAACGCGGTAAAAAGCAGTGGCAACAAAGTTGCTTGAAGCAGGGCGAGGCCTTTGAGACGGTCGCCAAGTTGCTGCAACAGGCAGCGGGACCCGAATTCCCGAGGAAACACGTCCGTTGTGACACAAGCGCCATCATCCACGAGAGACGGCGACAGCTCATGGACTACCTACGCACGCTGTTAGCTGTGTACACGGACCTGGAGGTGCTGCTCGGAGCCCCGGGCAGCTTGAAAGGCAACTTTGTCGATGACGTCGTGTGTCTCAACACGGTGTTGGTGGAGATCCAGCGGTTCCTGGAGATCCCGCCCAAGCGGAAGGAGGTCGAGGCCAAGTTGACACGGGCAGTGATGGTTCTGCAAGACGTGACGGCGACTCCAGAGGGAGGAGGCGGGTCACTTCAGTGCTGCATTTGCCTCGGCAACAGCAACCCTGCCGATAAAGAAGGAGACGGCAAGGAGATGGCGCAGTTGCCGTGCGCCCACGTGTTCCATGAGGACTGCATTATCCACTGGCTCCAGTGCGGCTCGACATGTCCTGTGTGTCGCCGAGCTGTCGGACACGCAGCAAGTCGACGAGTATCGATCCTGTAGTCTGTCCTCCCAAAAGTTTCGGGGGGCGTTGGTATGTTGCGTAGGATAGCGTTCATCAATGCGTTTTTGCCCGAGTGAAGCTGCATCTGAACCGGGTTTCCAGGGAGGTTTCCTTATCAGCAAACTCTTGCCACGCGAAACCGCGGGGAGCTGCCCACACCGATGAGATCCCATGTGTGTCGCTCACGTTTGCTTGAGACTAAAGCTGACTGCTATCAGCGCTCGTGTTCTTGATGAGTGATGGTGGGCTTAGGCCGCGCAGAGCAAACTTGGCCGTGCAATGTTGACAGAGCGTGGACTTTGCATGGATTTGCATTGTGTCTTTTCGCGGGCACTCGAGTATCCACCTTGGGCACCTTGGGGGGGGGGGGGCTTATAGCGCTTCGGGGCTCGACCGAAGTGCTAAGGGCTCATCGCCGCCAGCCGTGACTAAGAAGGCCAAAGTGATGGTCAGCGCGAGGGGATCCGCGCAATGCTAGCACGCCGACATCAACGCAGAGCTGGCAGAAAACGAGTCGTTTTAAACGACTGAAGATGGCTGATTCATGGTAAGTAGTTGGCTCGCGAGCTTTGAAGTAAGATCAAAGTAGCCTGAAGGTTTTTGGTCAGCTCACCAGCAAAAGCAATCGTCGGCAAAAGCAGCGTCAGCTCGTACCGTCATGTGTGCCCTGAAAAGTTTTCATTGAAAAGTGTCCTTCGAGGACATCGTCGTCATCTGTGCCTAATCTTCTTAGCGCAGTTAAGAATATCGTTTTTCACAGATCCTGTTGTATTTTGTGTATTTTTCTACTAAAGACTGCAAAACCAAGTGTAAAATGAGATACTAAGATGTGATTTTGTTAAAAGGGTATCAACGTATCAAAATTCAAAAATCTGGATATTTTCCCGATGAATATCCAACTGCGACTATCGAAGCGCGAAAAAGGCAAAGGATAATCCACGCATATCGGCCACATCGACGAGCTCATCGAGCTCATGACTCCGACAGTGGAGTGCTGAGCTGCGTAGCAATGCTGAGCATGATCGCGTCGGCCATTATTGAAAAGCTCGAGAGCCGGAGACAGCACCTCGAAACCTCAAAAGCTCACTCACTACCACTACAACCACAGATCCAGCGTCTGGTTTCACTTCAACTTGAGCAGACACTTCTCAGCAGCAGCGATCCCAACTACCAGCAGCAGAGAAACAAGTGACCGACCACCCGAATGACCATCACGCGCAGCGTCCAACAGGAGTTCCTCGACGACGAAAGCAAGAGCCTCATCTGCATCCCATGTTCCTCGACCAGCACGCACAGCTCGCCGATGGCGAGTGCTGCGTTGCAACCGCGTGAGCCACCGGCAGCCATCGGTCTTCATGTTCCGCTACCGTCGCTGCTTCAGATGCCATTGCCGTTGCCAACGCCATCCGCCAGTCCGACGCGTACTGCCGAGTCCACGAAGGGCGAGCGCTGGACCGAGGACGAGCACGAGCGGTTCCTGCTCGGCATGGAGATGTTTAAAGCCGGGCCCTGGAAGAAGATCGCCGGTGTTGTCGGTACGCGCGACGCGCGGCAGACCATGAGTCATGCGCAGAAATACCGACAGAAGATCAAGCGCAGCAAGTTGGGGCTGCCGACACCCGAGCACGCGCGGCGTGTTGACCACGGCGTTGTCGCTACCTCCTCCACCACCAAAAGGATACGAACGATGGTGTCCACTGACGTCGCGCCAACAGGTGAATCTCGCGCGCGGAGTGGAAGGTCTCGACATGTATCACTCGGTGACCAGTTGCCACGGGAAGCACTGGATGCGCGCGAGCGCGTGACCGAAGAGCTTGCCACTGGTCTTATTCCTGCGGAGACCATGCACGCGACCAGCACTGCCGCCGATAATGTGGGCAGCAGCGAACGCACATCCGACAACGTACATGTAGTGGTCGGAGCAGCCATCGGACGCGCAGAATCTCCGAGCCAAGCGCCGTCATTAGACGCGGCGCTGGAGCCGCTCGACGCCAATGTTTTGGTGGTGCAGGACAGCTGGCTCGGGCCAGACGAGTTGTGGGCGTTTCTCGATGGCCGCCCTGCGTCGGAGCTTGATGTGGCCGGCGCGTGCAGCAGCAGCTAAGATTGCGAGATGACGGCTATCAGTAATCGATTAAAAGAACGGGACGGGTGTGCTTCGCGCGAGTGAAGACACGTTGCGGCAGGCAGTCTTAGGCAATGCAAAGTGTGCCTTCCTCGATCTGAAGCAGCGAAGTCCGAGCGTGTGCTCACGTTAGTTTGGTGTTTCCATATCTCGGAAGCAAGTGTGTGGCAGTTCTAAACCAGCAATACAAATACGAACGGTCTCAACTGGCACGAGAAGTCAGCACGGTCCGGCACTGGCCCCACTTCAACATGCACTGAAGAGACCGCGCCACGTGACGACGAGCTTGTTGGTAAAAGGGAATGCAAAATTCATTAGCGCAGCTGAGTGGCAGGCGGGCTCCTGTGGCTGAGCGCGGGCGAGGGAGCTCGCCGACAAAGGCTCTGTTGCCCGACGTTGCACTGCTCCAAAGAAACCCAGACAGCGGCAACAAAGTAACGTGCTGCAACAGCTGGAAGCTGTGCGTGCTAATTCAGTTCAGTCTGTTGCTGCTGAAGCTGCAGCATATTGTTATTGCAGCGCCTCGACGCTAAGGCCAACACAGCGGCGAGCAAGACCCGATCCGGTTCGGCGTCGCCAAGTCGCTGGATTTCGGCTCGATAGCTTCGCTATGAGCAGCAACTATGGAAAACCCAGGTTCCATTCCTTCCATATTGACCCCGGATTTTCTTCTACAGGAAGTCCAGCGGTCGCCGACTTCACAGCTGTATGGACCAGAGAGCACGGACTACTGCAGTGATACACTACGTGCTTCCGACCAGGTAAACAAGCGATGTCTGCCTCATTCCGCGTTTCGCCGCGTATCGCCCACATCCCAATCAGAAGGAAGCCATGGCCATCACTGCCGACGTCAAGAGCCAACTGTTCCAGCCCGCGACCGCGGGCGGCGAGCTCATCCGCCTCGAGTCGCCTCCGCCGTCCCCGGGCTCCAGCTCCAGCTCCTCGGACAGCGAGAAGCTGTCGCCCGGCAGCACCAACGGCCGCGCGTGGACGGCCGAGGAGCACAACCGCTTCCTCGAGGGCCTCGAGCTGTTCCCGTCCGGCCCGTGGAAGGAGATCGCAGCCCACGTGGGCTCGCGCACCACGCGCCAGACCATGACCCACGCGCAGAAGTACCGCGAGAAGATCGCGCGCCGCAAGCGCGGCCTGCGCTCGTCCGCCAAGACCGACTCGCGCTCGCTCAAGCGGCGGCGCGACCAGAAGCAGCACAAGCGCGACGCCGCGTCGCCCTGCTCGGTGGCCGCGCCCTTCGCGCCCACGTCGGCCCGGCGAGGCGTGGACCCCATGGACTTCCATGGCTGCTTCATGCCGGCGCCCATCGTGACGCTGCCGAGCCAGTGCCAGCAGCAGCAGCAGCAGCTCTACCCGTACGGAGCAGGCCCTGAGGCCGAGTTCTCCAACTTCGCAGCCATGCTCTGCGACTTCGACCCGCTGCCCATGTCCGAGGAGGAGATCGACCTCATCCTCGAGGCCGCCATGGTGCCGGGCCCCGTGCACCACCACACGGGCGTCGTGCTATGAGGCGAGGAGGGCAAGTTGAAGTTACCAAGCAAATCTCAAGACAAGAGCCTCTGGTCCAGAGACTCCAGAGTCTGGAGTCTCAGAGGCTACAGACAAACGCGGACAGCTATATATTTCCACGCGAGCTCTACACGTCATGTTGTCCGTTACCGTCGCCGTAAGCTCTACACATTCAGTGGATATCCGTGTCTCCAACGAAGCGCGCGCGCTCCAAGATAGGTAGGATCAGGTAGCAGTGGAGAAGGAAGCTCGCAATTTGGGTGCAAGCAATTTTCCACGCAGAATAGACAGACACACACATACACCTTATCTTCTCTTTGGCACCGTTCATCCACTGTAGCTCCTGCTTTTTTTGTGCTGTTCGACCGAACTCTTCCGCGCATGTGAGATGTGATTTCCGGTGTCGGGCCGGTGAGTGTCAACCTTATGCAAAGCGACATCAAACGGTGACGGAGGGCTTGATATATTGCGGTCGTGGTTTAGCTCCTTGCTATCTTAGTCCCAGTACTTGATGAGACCGTCCCAGCCACAGGAAATCACCTTGCTGGGCTCGAGCGGATGCCAGAGCGCCCCCATGGTCGGGCCGCGGTCGTGCGCGCGCAGCTTCTTGATCATCTTGGTGGTCTTCCAGTCCCAGAAGACCAGCTTGCCCTCGCCATCGCCCGACATGATGTACTGGCCGTTCGGGGAGAAGCCGATCTGGCACGCGTAGCCGGCGTTCTGGTGGCCCTTGAACACCTTCTTGCGGTTGATCTTGAACTTGTCCCGCGCCGTGTACACGTCGATCTGGTTGTTCAGCGACTGGCCGGCGAAGAAGCCGCCGCTCGGATGCAGCGTCACGGCCGGCATCGAGTGCATGCTCGGCTCCGAGATGTACTTAATGGGCACGGGGATGCCCCACTCCCAGACTAGCAGCTTCTTGTCGTCGGAGGTACTCACGAACCGCTTATTGTCGTCCACGAACGTCACCGAGTTGACCGCCTGCAAGTGGTGGTTGTACTCCTGCACGATCTCGCCTGACCGGGTGTCGAACTGCACCACCATGTTGTTCGAGTCACCCACGACGAAGTTGGTGTTGTCCAGCGGGTAGAACTTGACGCAGTACGGCACACGGCGAGTCGTGAACGAGTGCACGGCCTGCCCCGTTTCCGTGTCCCACAACTGGATAAAGCGGTCAAAGCTGCAGCTCAAGAACTGGCGGCCGTCGTTGCTGAAGTTGATACCGCGCACAGCACCCGAGTGGCCTTCGTACACACGCTGGCACTTGCGCTCGTTGTAGACGTCCCAGATACGCACTGTGTTGTCCATACTGCCAGAAAGCAGCAAGTGGCCGTACTGCGGGAACAACTCGATAGCCTGGACTCCCTTGGTGTGTCCCGTCCACTTGTGCACACACCTCTTGGGCAGGAAAACCTGGTGATCTCCGTTGTCGGGCTTGAGCGTGCGTGGGGGTTCCACCCACGCGCGTCCCTGGTAGTCGTACTCCTGGTCTCCCAGGAACGTGGACTTGCCCTCGAGCGCCGTCTGTCCCGCCTTGAGTCTCGCCGGCAACAAGTGACCCGTCTTCTTCTCGACCATGCGGTCAAAGTCCATCTCGTCGTCCGCTTCCTCCTTGGCCTCCGCCTTGCGTCGCTTGGCCTCCTGGTGTTCCTCTCTCAGCGCCTTCTGCTGCTCGGTCATGGTTCCCTTCTCCGCATCCGTCAGAGTCTTGCCCTTCTCCTTGTACGGGGCCCAAATGCCATCGGTAGCTTCATCTCCAAAGTCCTCAGCTGCTGCTCGCTCCTTGGAGACGACCTGGTTCTTCCTCTTCTTGGCGTTGCAACTAGTGAACACGTTCTCCTCGCCTGGAGCGACGATAGTATCGGCCAGCTTCTCTCCTGGTAGTGCGGGGGCTGAAGGAGGGGCTCCCTTGGCTCTGTTTCTGGCGGGGTTGCGGCTCAATGTCTGGTTGTACGTGTGGTACTGCGCCTCGAAGCTGAAGTCCTCCATGTCCGCCTGCTCCACGACGCCAGTGACCACCTGCTTGCCGCTGCCGGCGCGTAGAGGGTCCACCAGTGCCAAGTCCATTGTGCCGCTGCTCTGGGGTCCCACATACGGCGCCAGCGTCGACTCCACGGGCAGATTTACAGCCAATTGCGTCTGCGTGCCGGCCGTCAGGAACGCCGCCTTGTTGGCCTCCTCCTGGCGGTCAGTGAGCGCTACGAAAGGTGCCGAGTTGACCACGGGTAGAGCGAGAGACGGAGAGTCTGTAGAGCGCGGAGACGTGGAGCGAGACGCCTCCTCCTCGTCGCTAGATGCATACGCACCGAGCGCCTCCATGGTCGAGGCTTGGTAATGCGGATTTGTATGGGCAGAGCGGCAGTGGCTGGACCATTGGTGTGCACCACGCCGGTTAGTGTAGCGAACATAAGTATTTGAAGTTGCTTATCGGCGCCTGTCTCTGCGCCATAAACCGTCGTCACCACGGTGGTGTGGTCAACAAAATACAAAAGTAAGTCAACAAATCTCTTTACACGAACGGATACAAGAGGCTTATCAAATATGACAGATCTTATTCGATTTTAGAGCTTATGCATACCGGTACTTATCGGTGCTATATTCACTTTGCAAAGGTTATTACCGGTATCGAATGAGGGTTTTTGGCCGTTACGCCGAGGGATGCGCGACAATTGCTCCACCACCGGGGCGCGCATTATCCATCTTGCTGGCAGAGAGTGAAGCGGATCTACTCCCATCGACTGCGTCACGCACGCCGCCATTTGTGCATTGGCCCGCTGCCCCACTCCATTTTCTCTCTGCTCGTGCAAGCCACGTGTTCATCTTACAAGTTCTACGTACCCGCGTATCCAAGTGTCAGCACAATGGCCGACTCCGTCTGGGACCTGCAGAAGGCCATGCGCTCCTCGTCGCCGCAGATCACGGGCCGCCGCGAGTCCGAGCCCGGCATGTCGTCCGGCTTCTCGGACTCCACGACGCCCAAGGCGTTCGACATTGCTGTGCCCGGCGGGTTCCGGCGCCACCACGTGCAGACGACGCCTAGGCCCGTGGTGTCCAAGGCGCTGCGCGACCAGATCATCGACCGCATCAACGGCGTGTACGACCCCTTCATCGGCAGCATTTTGAGCCAGGACAATGACGAGTACGACGAGATGAACGTCGAGGAGCGCGCGCGCAGCCTGCTGATGACGCCGCCGCTGAGGCTGCCCGCGTACCGACGTACGCCGACGGGGAGAGAGTGAGTGCAGCAGAGCAATCTGAACTTGAAGGCCATCGGTGCAGCTGCGAAGACTTGACTGACTCATCGCGATGATAATGATTTGTGCATTGTAATGTAGAATGGGAACACCTTCAGAGAGGACGGGGCTCATTAAGACGGAGCCTGCCCCACCGAAGTCGAGGGACAGTGACAAGACGACTACATTGTGGCACGCGCTGCTGACGCTGCTCAAGTCGTTTGTGGGGACGGGTATTTTGTTCTTGCCCGATGGGTTCCGCAGCGGTGGCATTCTCTTCTCGCCCCTGTGCTTGGCGTTTGTCGCGGCGCTTACACTTTACGCAATGCTGCGGTTGCTGCAGTGCCGTGAGTTGGTCGGTGGCACGTACGGTCATGTTGGATTCAAGGCTTACGGGTCTTGGGGGCGACGCATGGTGCAGATCTCCATCATCATGATGCAGGCTGGCTTCTGCTGCACTTACGTGATCTTCGTGGCGCAAAACATGGCGGAGGTGCTCGATTTCTGGGGGCATTCTGTGGATACGTCGATGCTCATCCTGCTGCAAATTGCGGTGTATATTCCGCTGTCTTGGATCCGGTACATCAGCTACTTCTCCATTAGCAACCTTATCGCCGACGTGTTTATCCTGTACGGACTGGCCTTCATCCTGGGCAACAGCTTCTGGCTGCTCGCCACGGAGGGCCCCGCGAAGGACGTGCAGCTCTTCAACCAGCAGGATTACCCCGTGTTCATCGGTACTTCGATCTTCACGTTCGAGGGTATCGGTCTTGTGCTGCCCACTCAGAGCTCGCTGAACCAGTCTCGCCAGAAGCGCTTCCCGCGTTTGCTATCGTGGACGGTGGTCGGTCTGCTCGTGTTCTACTCGTTCTTCGCCGGCATCAACTACATTACGTTTGGTAGCAGTATTGCTCCTATGGTCACGTCCAGTCTGCCGCGTAATGGCTGGTCAAGCTCGGTGCAGTTTGGCTACGCATTTGCACAGCTCCTCTCGTATCCTCTGTTCCTCTTCCCTGCCGTGAAGATCATGGAGGAGATGCTGGGCTTCCCGAGGCGCGCTTCCGGCCAAAAGGTTGCCAAAAACTGCTTCCGTGCTGTGGCTGTGCTCGCAACTATCTGTATCGCGTACTTCGGCCAAGGTCGTCTCGACCTCTTCGTCTCGATCGTCGGTGCTTTCTGCTGCGGTAAGTGTTGTAGTGATCCGTGTTGTTGATTGCGGAGTCTTTTTATCTAACGTTGTTGTTACGTGTGATCAGTGCCTCTGAGCTTGGTGTACCCGCCGCTGTTCCACTTGAAGCTGAATCCGAACGCGTCGTGGATGGACAAGATCGTTGATACGTTCGTGATCATCGTGGGCTTGCTCACCTTCTTCTACGTCACGTACTCGAACCTGCAGTCGTGGAGCAAGTAGATGCGCCCAGGTCGAAGCGAATGTGCTCAGTAGTGTAGTCTTGCGATCTCATTCTCAAATCACCTTCATCAACCCATCAAACAGCAAATGCTGCCAAGACAAAGCGCACTTAGATCGCAGCTAGACAGACTGCAACTTCAAATAGCAATAGTCTTCATAAATTCATTCTACAACTCATTCACAACACACCCACTGCTCTCGCAACAACAGCAACTTCAACTTCTACACCGTTAAGAAAATAAAGCATGCTGCCAATTTATTTCGTCTACCGATTCTCTTGCTTCACATCCTAACTACGATGGCAGCGCATCCAGCTTGCAGACTTCTATGCACTAAAACAAAAAAGCGTTCTAAGAAAGACGTAGAGCACGTAGCTTCATAAAGCCCGCCTTGTGCCTCGCCGCCTCTTCCGAGCTTAGTCGTCCTCCTCCACCTTGGGGGCAAGGTAGAAGCGCATGTAGCCCATGTCGCCGATGGCGTACTCGACGACCACGGGGATGCCGGGGGACATGCTGAGCGTGACGGTCTCGGACAGCGGCGTGGCCTTGGCGAACATATTTAAATACCGGAGCGCGAACGTGAGCTCCACGGGCTCCTCCATGGTGATGATGACGCGGTCGCTCTCCTTCTCGGCGGCCGTGTTGTTCTTGAGCGTGATGTTGCCGGCGCCCAGGTCGCCCGAGACCGAGAACTTGACGCCCTCCTTGCCCACGGCGATGGTGCACGTGTCGCCCATGGTCTGCAGGTCGCGGCAGATGCGCTGGAACTCGCCCGAGGGCATGCGCACAGTCGCCACATACTCGGTGCCGGGGATGCCCAGGTGCTCGCTGTCAATGTCCATCAACTTGAGCGAAAAATCCGACACACGGTCGCCAGCTGCCACAAATAAGAAGATAAAATTAGCAAAATCTGCTTAAATGTGGCAGATAGATAGAGAGGGAAGACGTACAGGTGGCCTCGAACATGATGTTGAGCGCGTCGCCGTTGTCCTCGGCCGAGAGCGACAGCGCGTCGTCGTTGCCCGAGCACTTGAGGATCTTGGACAGCGACGCCGTCTGCACGCCCAGCGAGATGTTGCGGTCGCAGCGGTAGTGCTCGAAGCCCTCGGCGCGCAGCAGCAGCGACACGAGCGACACGTGCGAGCCGTCCATGGACTGCAGCGCCAGGCCCGACTTGGTGCAGTCGATGTTGCCCTCGGAGATGAGGTCCTTCATGGCCTCCACGATGAGCTTGACGATGCGGCCCTGGGGGAGTCTGGCCTCAAACATGGTGGTGAGGGCGGTTAAGGGGTGTCTAAACGGTTAGGGGGAGACTGTTGACCTGGCGAGGCAAATAGCCGACTGTTTGCCTCCGCTTGGTTGGCCACTAGAGGAAGGATTTTGGCGCGAAAAGAGGGCGGGACGGACGGCAGGAAGATGAATTACTTGGGATTTGTATGCTGCGTGGAAGGGGTGACCGCTCTCCCGCCAAAATATGATTTGCGCGAATAGGACCGAGGAAACGCCAGAGGGCCAATCATGATTGGAGGATATTAGCTATAGAGGGTACACTCGATAGCGTAACCCAAACTTCAACATGCAACCTTTTAGAATCTGTGACGTGGTGCAGCTCCTACAGCAGCTTGTCCAGTCGACCTGAGGCTGCTGGCCGCCTTCGAACGCGGCTATTGCTTTGAGAACGAGGCTGAGGAGGACCAGCGCGATGTGATGTGCCCCCGGCGCTTGAGATGCTTAGCTCTGCCGGGCCAGAACTGCTGCTGGAGCGCGGTCCTTCCAGTGCGCTCACTGGTTTAGACACTCTTTGCGGCAGCGAACTGAGGTGTGGGTTGGGCCTGGGCTTCGGCTTTGGCTTACGCAGCTTTCGTGCTTGTTGCAGTGATCGCGACGTTGACGGTAACAACGTCGGCAGGCCGAGGAAGCTTGTAGCAGAGCGGTGAACGAGCGGGTCGGGGTGATTCAACTGGTTATTGTTGGCCGATCTCAGCTGTGCAGATGATGAAGAGTGACGGTGGAGCGCGCTTGTGTCGCCTTTGCGCCGTAATCGGCCCTGGGCGAGAAGTGGGCGAGCTGATGAGCAGTCTTGGGGCTCGTCAGTACCGATTGAGGTTTCCGCCCGACGTGGATCTGCTTCTTCTTGGTTGTTGTTTGGGGAGGTCTCAGGTCTCGCAAATGACTTTGCAATACGACAGTCGCTTATAACGTGGTGTTCTACATCCGCGATACTGGGAAATCCGCCTTGTAAGCAGTAGACGCACTCGATAGTTTGGTTCGCGATCTTGGTTCGATGAGGAGAGCGCGTGTTTAAATTTGAACTTCCATTGGCTCTCAAATCAGGATCATTCTGCAAATTTACAGTCTCGCACTGTTGCTGATGCGCTTCAAACTCCGTAATTTTGACGTAAGCCTTGCAGACCTGCAACAGCTTTTCGATTAGTGGCGTGCCTCGTCAATCTCGAGTCAAAGTTCCACTTACATCGCAACTCTCGGTTCGGCTCGAGCACCTGATAAAATGTTGTGCCGTGTCCTTCTTCTTGAATGCTAAACCGCACAATGAGCACTACAATAACGTGGTCGTTAGAGACTCTGTGAACTAAATAATGCAGTCTCGAATCGGTACGAACAGGGATCAAGGCGTGGTCACATCTTCCACTATTCATGTGGTCCTGCAGTTCTATACGCGTGAACAGTGCGCCACAAAGTCTGCACTTGCAGCTAGCAGTGTGTTCTTGGCGCTGATGATCTGCTACTAATTCTCTGCTTCCACACAAAAGTGTGCATTCCGGGCAATGGTGATGCTGCTCATCGTTCACTTGTAGAATTTTCTCGTGACAAATAGAGCACTCAAACTGCACTCCCCACCACATCGCCATAACGAATGTGTAAGTTATCTATGTAAGAACGCGAGCCAAATTTCCGCTGCGTACCTTGTGATAAGCTGGATTATTGGCGCAACGCAGAGTGTGGATTTCCATGTTCGTCTTCGATACATCAGCTAAGCATAACTTGCAACGCTGAACACCACCTGGCTGAGTTGTAGGGTCGGGCAGAGCTGATGGTTTAGTGTCCGACATTTTTGCTTGACTATTCTCCGCCTCCGATTTGGGGACGCTTGCATCTACAGGTGTTGTTGTGTGTCCAATAGTTTGTGCTGACCCAAGAATATATCCAGGCGTCGAGAACGATCCTTGCGCTAAACGAAGTTGGGCGGCTAGCACCGATGAGTCTACAGCTGCGGCGACTGCGTCGGTGGAAATAGGCATTGACTTCCTGTCTCGAACAATTTGCTGAGCTTTCTGCAGGCTTTTAAAAGTAATTTTGCGTGGAGCGTTCTGGATGTCTTGGGTGCTGGGATCGGAGGTCACGAGCGAGCTTTCCACGTAGTCGCCGTCTCTCAACCTCCTTCCGTAACAGGATTCGGGAGTTGAACTATTATTCGGAGATTCTGCATTGCAGTCAGCGCCTGTAGTCGGTTCTGAATGAAATTGCTGCATGCTATCGGGGTCACTTGATCGATATGATTCAGCCGTCAGCGGGCGCTTTAGATCAGATCCCTGTTGACCAGGTAGTGCAAATTAGATCAATGAACATGAATTGTATGTGGACAAACATTGACGTACTTACCTCTGGGGGCATAAAGTCTGTCTCTAAGTCGACATCGCCGCACAAACTAACCACCGCCGCTGGTTTCAGTTCTGCGACTCGGACGTAGTACCGCACATTGCCATACTCGATGACAATTGTTGAATTCACACTCAAAACGGAGTATCGTCGAAGAGCAGTCTCCATCAACAGCTACCACAAGTGTAGTGTGAGTTAGATTTCTCAACCAATCTGCTACTATCTGCAGTCGATGATGTATGAAGTAGTACCTTAGGGCCAACCTCTGCAGCCAGATCCAGAAAGCTCGTGGTTTCTGGCTGCAGTCGACAGTAAATCCCCCGAGGAAGGTCGGTAACACTGGATACGACGACTGATCCTCCTTCTGGAACATGTAGGTTATGCATCAGCCAGTACGGTAGGAAAACTTGCCCTTCTGGTGCGCTAAATTCCTGGACGGAGCAATACTGAAGGCTATTTTCCTCGGTAGAATTGACTCCTGCGGCTCGGATCTGGCCATTGCACACACTGGTTACCACAACTTCTCCGAATATTGTTATATGAAGGCCTGATGTACCGTGAACTGGAATGGTGTGGTGATTTTCGAGCACTGTAGCTCTAGCAAGATTTTCTGCGAACATTTAGCATTAGACACATCCACAAAATATATACTTTAGAATCAGGTAGCCCACCGGAGGGAGAACAACTTTGTCGCCAAATTCAAGGTGGGGCATGCCTATGATACAGCAGCGATAGTCAGCAACCTAATAGACGGTGGCTATATGTAAGGTGTTGACAGAAATTTACCGAGGCAAGCGACGGAGAAGCATTGCAGTTTGTGTGATGGCAAGAAGGGTCTGCCATTCAGCTGCAGCTGGGTTGGCAGTCTTCGTTTTACCGCGTGAGCCATCGAGCTTGATCAAATAGTTCACGGATTTCCGACTAATTTTACACTTAGCTGAGTGCTCTGTGCATGGGTTTCAAGTTACACAACCAGATAAGTGAAACCCACTAATTTCTAGTGCATTCCCTACGCGAGACGGAGGTTATGGTGGCGAGATCACGATACAGCGCGTGATAAAACCATTCTCACCACTGTCGTTGAAGTTCATTGGATTGGTGCGTCATCAAGAGCACCGGCAGATTTGCCAGCTTACGCACCGCAGAATGCCTGCTCGATCTCCATGTCCTCGTGCGTCAGCAAATAAATGGCCGAGGCAACCGATTACGCACCTTCACGTACGGCTGAAAAGCTCCGAGCTTGGCATGCTTCACAAGTTGTCACTCCCCAACATTCCAGCTACACTCCAAGCCCCCTCTCCCTCCCAGCTCTTCACCTTCGACAATGAGCGCGAACATTCCGATCAAGACGCTGCCCAGCGGAGCTGAGATGCCAATAATTGGACTGGGCGTGTGTCTCTCCGAGCCTGGGGCCGAGACCTACAACGCCGTGCTGTCGGCGCTTAAACAAGGTTACCGCCACATCGACACGGCCCAATACTACGAGAACGAGGCCGACGTCGGCCGCGCCGTCCGTGACTCCGGGATCCCTCGTGAAGAGATCTTCGTGACTACCAAGCTCTTCATTACCAACTGGGGCTACGAACAGGCTCTGGCGGCCACGAAGGAGAGCAACGAGAAGATCGGGCTCGGGTACATCGACCTCTACCTGCTCCACGCGCCGGGGGATGTTTCCACGCATGACGAGTCTTGGCGTGCGCTTGAGGAGCTCCACGAGCAAGGAATCCTTCGGGACATTGGCGTCTCCAACTTCAGCGAGGCTCACTTGGACAAGTTCCTGAAGACTGTCAAGGTGAAGCCCGCTGTGAACCAAGTGGAGCTGCACCCGTGGATGATGCGTCCCACGCTGGTCAAGTACTGCCAAGAGCACGGCATCCTCCTGCAGGCTTACTCACCCTTGGCTCGAGCTCGCACGATGAATGACCCGACGCACCTCGAGGTCGCCAATGAGGTGGGCGCTACGCCAGCGCAGGTGTTGGTGGCCTTCAGTCTGCCGAACGACTTCACGACGCTACCCAAGTCCGTGGACCCTGAACGCCAGAAGATCAACCTCGACGGGGTGCAAGTCAAGTTGGACTCCGCACAGAGTGCCAAGCTGGCGGCGCTGGACGAGTACCTGGTGGTTGGCTGGGACCCTACGAGAGACCACGCAGTGTGAGTCGGGAGTGGATTCCTCTCGTGTAAGCTTAGCCTCAACGCACCGCACTAGCATGCAGCTTCGAGGCAGGGTCAACACTGGTAGGGAATTGAAGCAAAAACAGCACTCGACCAATAATGCCTTCATGTCATATCGTTACGCTAAGAAAAAAACTGGAATTCCAGATACCATGTACTTAAGTATTGCGTTCTACGACGGATTGCGTGGTGCAGGATGTATTTACCCAACTGTGCACGGAAATTCCTCTGTGGCGTGTACAGTTGGGTAAATACATCCTGCACCACGCAATCCGTGTTGATGCATGAGCTCTGAAGACAAATGGATCGAATCGTCAACAGCAAATGAGCACTAAAATCACGGCTTGCGTGGTTGTCATGGCACTTACTGTTTGATGACTGTGCACATTTGCTGTGGGCAAGCGTATTCACGAGCGCACGGTTCGGGCAAGTTGCAGTCCGCAACAGCATCAGGTGTACGTACGTGTACGGGAGGGGGGGGGGGTCGAGTGAAGCTTCTTCACTGCAACTCATTTCGAAATCTACTTCACCCGCGTCAACTTACGAGTTCCACACGCTCCTCGACATAAAGATCCAGATCGTCGTTGTCGCCCTGTCCCAACACCACGGGCAACCGGAAGTGCTGCAACGTTCCCGATGCCCGCCGAGGCGCCTTTATCGCGGACAAACGATGGATGTCAAGTTCCGGGGCTTCCAACCTTTTGCCCAGGCGTGCTAGATCGAGTCATGCTTACTCGTCGCTGGTTCCACTTGTGCTTTAGAGGTTCGACGATTGCTGCTCGGACAAAATAGTAGTGACATTCCGCAGTAGTGTTTCAACTTAATCCAAATTCGAGCGTTTGCAAAAAGTTGTCAGGCCATGAAAGTTTATTTTGAAACTCGCGGCTTCGTAGTCTCCATCCGCGGTCACGCCTGATTCGTCGTGTTCGCCTGCTTGAACGACGACGACGTCGTGGTGGTGGTCTGAATGAGAGCGACCGTGACTCGGTCTGAACCAGGGTCAGGGCCAGGGTCGAGCACCATGCTACGCGTAACGAAGACGATTGAGAGAGTCGCAGGCCCTACCGAGCGTACTGCAGTACAGTACGCGAGACGTCATGGCTCGGCGGCCTCAGATCACCATCACCGCGAATTTCTCGATCCAGACGTCGGCCGAGACATCAAGGTCTCGAGCATTTCTCATGAGGACATCTTCGTGACGAGCAAGCTCTTCATGGGGTACGAACGGGCTCTGATGACCACGAAGGAGAGCAACAAGAAGCTCGGCCTCGGCTACATCGAACTCTACCTCCTCCACGGGCCAGACAACAGTGCAACACGCGCGGAAGATTGGAAGGTGCTTGAGGAGCTGCTACAGCAAGGAGTCCTCAAAGACATCAGCGTGCCCAACTTCGGCGAGGCGCACATCGACAAGCTGCTGAAGACAGCCAAGGTCAAGCCTGCCGTAGAGCTGTATCCGTGGCTCATGCGCAAGGATAGTAGTATCTAGCTTATCTTGCTCTAGGCATACTGGCCTCTGGCTCGGGCGCAGAAGATGGAGGACGCGACGCTGAAGGAGGTCGCAAAGGAGGCGGGAGCTACCCCCCGTCCAGGTGTTGGTGGCCTTCAGCCTGGCCAACGACGTCATCACGCTGTCCAAGTCGATTCACACGGAACGGCGGAAGACCAATTGGAGGCCGCCAGCGTCGGGTTGACCACTGCACAAGTCGCGCAGCTGGCAGCTCTGGACGAGTACTTGATCACGGCCTGGGACCCCATCAAGGACCACGCGGTGTATTAATCGGTACGATCATGCCTTGAGATCGAAACGTAGCGTCTAGCACTTGACCTGATAGGTGCTGTCATGAGAAGCAACTCCAATACCAAATACAACATTCCCATTGAAGCCTTGCTGGTAGCCGTGAGAGGCGGTTGGTCTCCTACCAACGGAAGCTCCCTGTGATGTGCGGGTCAAAAGGCTAATCCAGTCAAATGAGAGACCGCAACGGCTTCAACTACGACAACAACTTGCAGCGACGTCAGCCTCTCTAAACCAATACCCCACGTATCGATTGCATCAGCTCAAACGGTGTAGCAATCCTGCCCCTACCGATAGTCATTCGAGTCGTGTCATTCCTCCATATCCCAGCTACTACCCAAGCACCAAAGCATCCAGCCACCGTCACTCCAATGAGTGCCAGCATCGAGACCAAGACCCTGCCCAGCGGCGCCAAGATCCCCATTGTTGGACTCGGTGTGTTCCAGTCCGAGCCAGGCGCCGAAACCTACAACGCCGTGCTCTCCGCTCTCAAGCAGGGGTACCGCCACATCGACACTGCCCAGTACTACCAGAACGAAGCTGACGTCGGTCGCGCCATCAAGGACTCGGGTACCCCCCGTGAGGAGGTCTTCGTGACCAGCAAGCTGTTCGTCCAGCACTGGGGCTACGAGAAGGCTCTACAGACGACCAAGGTCAGCAACGAGAAGCTGGGACTCGGCTACATTGATCTCTACCTCCTCCACGCCCCCGGTGACGTTGCCACCCGTGACGAGACGTGGCGCGCTCTCGAGGAGCTCCATGAGCAGGGAATCTTGAAGGACATTGGTGTGTCCAACTTCAGCGAGGCTCACCTCGAGAAGCTGCTCAAGACGGCCAAGGTCAAGCCCGCAGTGAACCAGGTGGAGCTGCACCCGTGGCTGACGCGCACGTCGCTGGTCAAGTACTGCAAGGACAACGGCATCTTGCTGGAGGCCTATTCCCCACTGGCGAAGGCTGTGAAGCTCGCGGATCCGACGCTGAACGAGATCGCCAATGAGGTGGGCGCTACTCCCGCCCAGGTGCTGGTGGCCTTCAGCCTCGCCAACGACTTCATCACGCTGCCCAAGTCGGTGAACCCCGAACGTCAGAAGGCCAACCTGGAAGCTGCCAACGTCAAGCTCACGCCTGGGCAGGTCGAGAGACTCGCGGCGCTGGACGAGTACCTGGTCACCGGCTGGGACCCGATCAAGGACCACGCTGTGTAAGCAGGCAGTCAAGAAGCCGTGCCTCAAGATGAGCGCGTTAGGGGCTACTAGTAAAGATAAGGCTAATTCCATGTATTTGCTTGTCAACCATGCTCCAAGCCGACTGGGCTACAGCCACAGCAAAGCCAGCAATCGACCTCTATCTCCTTCACGCAATGGGGGACTCGAGCAAACGCGTCGAGACTTGGCGCGCTCTCGAGGATCTGCAAGAACGGGAGTCCTCAAGGACATTGGCGTGTCCAACTTCGTCGAGGCCCTCCTTGACAATCTGATGGAGCCGGCGAGAGTCAAGGCTGCACCCGTGGTCCATCACTTGTGGACCATTGCAAGAAGAAAGGCATCTTGGTGGAAGGGCCTGCACCAACTGTATCCCCATGATATGTAGTCACTCTCTGCGTGAACAATTGGCCTCTCACTTGTGGCAATCCAAGCGTTGCGCGCGCAAGTGTTTACAAGCTCTCCTTTTTGATTACGAGCATGACGACGCCAAGCTCATTGCGCCGATGCTAAAAGTTCGCCTCGCACACACGCAGGAATTGTACCATTTCTCAAAATTCCATCTTCGCCTCATAAGCGACAACCTCCAAGTTCCAATACGACCATGAGCGCGAACGTCCCGATCAAGACGCTGCCCAGCGGAGCCAAGATTCCTGCCGTCGACTCGGCGTGTATCAATCCGAGCCTGGCCCCGAGCCTACAACGCCGTGCTGTCCGCGCTCAAGCTTGGATATCGCCACATTGACACCGCCCAGTACTACGAGAACGAGGAGGATGTCGGCCGTGCCATCAAGGACTCGGGTATCCCGCGGGAAGAAATCTTCGTCACCAGCAAGCTGTCGATTTTCAACTGGGGGTACGAGACGCTATCACCACCACGAAAGCGAGCAACGAGAAGCTCGCCTCGGGCACATCGACTTGTATCTACTCCATGCTCCCGCCGAGCCTGCGACGCGCGACGAGACCTGGCGCGCTCTTGAAGAACTCCAGGAGCAAGGCATCCTCAAGGACATTGGCGTGTCCAACTTCGGCGAGGCCCATCTCGAGAAGCTGCTGAAGACCGCCAAGGTCAAGCCCGCTGTGAACCAGATGGAGCTGCACCCGTGGCTCATGCGCCCACTCTGGTCAAGTTCTGCAAGGAGAACGGCATCCAGCTCGAGGCCTACTCGCCTCTGGCTCGGGCTCAGAAGATGGAGGACCCAACACTGCTCGAGGTCGCCAACGAGGTCAACACCAGCCCTGCTCAGGTGCTGGTAGCCTTCAGTCTGGCCAACGGCTTCGTCACGCTCCCCAAGTCCGTCAACCCTGAGCGCCAGAAGACCAACTTGGAGGCTGTCAGCATCAAATTGACCCCCGCCCAGATCGCGAAGCTGGCCGCTCTGGACGAGTACCTGGTTACTTGCTGGGACCCATCAAGGACCACGCCGTCTAGATTCTTCGAATACACCGAGCAGCACCTCAAAACCTACTAATTGATGCTGGAACTCACTTTCTTGATCCCTTTGCCGTGGTGCTGAGGCCCTCGAGCTTCTTCTGCGCTCGAGCTCGTTCACGCTCGTCCATCCGGTCTCTCGACCTGGCCGTGCCGAGCATTATTGCCTTGAGAGCGGACGCATTGGGCCCAATGCGCCGCACTTCTCCAGATGCTTCTGCACTATCCGCGCGTCGAATCCCCCGCAGGTCCCGCCCTTCTTGACGTCTGCAGCCTCGCTAACGACGACAACAACCACTATCAGCACGAAATTGACCATTGCATAACTTTTGAACGAGACGTACCTGGGCTACGGAAACAACATCACCATAACGAGGGGCATCTCGGCTACCTCTGGACCGTGAGCGGGAGCGATGGCGACGTCTATAGCGCGCGCTACGCCCGGATCCGCGCGGACTCCGACTGCGGCTGCGACTTCCTGAGTAGCGACTTCTAGAGCGGCGATCGCGACGCGAGAACCTGCTATCGCTATCAGAAGACGACGGGCTTGAGCTGGAGCTGGTTGCAGACGTTCGGCGCCCGCGGCGGCTTGCGCGCGGCGAACAGGAGCGTCGGCGCGCGTCACGCCGGTTAATCTGCGGTGGACTGCAACTTGAAGAGTGAGCCTACTTTCTTGCTTTCAGATTATGACCATCAGCCAGCAACCATTCGTCGTAACCAGCGAGGTAAGCCTGTTGCACCATAGCCATTTGACATCTCAGCATCTGGAAAAGCTCCTTTCTGAACTCGCCATGAAAACGTTTGGGCAGAGTGAGCTTCAGATCCTCCATTTTCTTCCGCACTAGTTTCTCCAAGGCTTTTCTCCTTGCTGCCCCGTCAGATCCTTCTCCCCGGACTCGAATGTACCACAGCGTGACCACACACCCCAGTTCACCGTAATTTCCCGCTTTGTTGTGTGTGTCTTCGCGATTGTCAACTTTCCCGCTCTCACCAAGTTTAATTACAACAAACCCAACTTCGCAGCCCTTAACCAGGTTCTGGCGTCTGCAAACCACCATAGCATACACTCCCTTGCCACCATCCATTTCGAAGCAGAATGGTTTCATACGAAGAACAGGGATAAGCGGGAAGACCACGTTCTCTAACGAGTTTGGCCTTGGGATCGGGATTAACTTGTACAACGAGTTGTTCCGGAGCGCGTCTGATAACGCCACGTATGCGTCGAGCGAGTGAGCTTTAAAAACTTCAGGTATCTCGACGAGCACGTCGTGTCCCCGCCGATAATATACCACGTGGAGTTTGTGCAACCCGCCCCCAATGTCCTCTTGCTTACCACGACCACGTGATCGCAAGAACGCCAGTCTAACGAACGGGAAAGTGCGCAGGTGACGCAGCACTCTTGCATCCACTCCTGTAACCGCAACGAACCGCTCCAACTCACGAAGCCTGCTCTGGCCTCTCAGCAGCGACTAGGTCCAGCACCTGCGCCACTTGTTCATACGCCCGACGCGAGGCGAATGTCATAGCCCGATCCGCAAAATTAGGAGGTAGAAAGTGTCCAAACTCATCGGCACCCTCCCCCACTGGCCCGATCTCCTCCTCGGGCTCGTCGTATTGAATCTCCTCCGTCTTCTCTTCCAGCTCGTCTTCTTCAATCACAAATTCGTTCTCGGCTAGTAAGTCGTCAAGCACCTCGTCTTGCGGCTGACCCTGAGCGTCCAACAGCTCAATGTCACCAACGCGAACCAGCGACATCGAGCTAACCTGTCCTTCAGCGACCATGCTGACCTGCCCTTCAGCGACCTGTCCAGTGATCATCAAGCTGGCCTGTCCAGCGTCCACCTGCCCTCCAGTCGAGCTGACAGCATCCGTCAGTTCAGGGTCACCAGCGTGGTCGAGGCGAACTAGCTCGCGGAAAATTTCCTCGCTGAAAGCGTGTGCGCCGAAGCGCAAAGCGGGCCGCATGGTCCCCTGCCTATCGGACATGAGCCAATACACGGAATAGGGACCCGTCAGGTACCGGCTGTACTTCGGTTTCGTGGGGAACGTCATCCATTGCGGGCAACGTCTCTCTTTTGAGCTAAAAAATAGGCCTCGAGTGAAAACCTCTCATCGCTTATATGGTGCACTTTAACGTGAGCTTCAACACCTTCCTCTCTCTATTAGAGCAGGGCTGCTGTACCAAGCCCTAGCGCGCTAATTGGGCAGAATTCATTTGTGCCCAATCGGTGGGCGCGATTGGGACACAGACGGTTAAGGAAATCCACATATAGGGTTGGGTAAGACAGGCCCGCTGCACCAACCCCTACTCGATCTCATTGGCTTAAAATGAACAACGTAAGCTACCGGAAACATAACGTAAGGTACCATTTTAAGACCGCAGTCTTTTGCTTTGCCTTAATTCGCGAAAAGTCGAGAAGCGCAGCGACCTCCTGGGCTCTCCCACGTCCACGTCCACTGCCGAGTCGTCCACGTGCATGGCGTCGCCCTGTTTCTCCTTCATGTTCGCGTCCAAGTGCGAGCGCGTCACGGGGCGCGCGAGCTCGGCGGGCTCCTCGGACTTCGACGAGTTGGGGGACGCCCCCGTGCAGCAGTTGCCACCCAGCCACAAGGAGGTCCCTCATCTTGACCTCAATAAACCGTCGACGGACGCGCTGACCGTCGGAATGGCTTCACCGCTGGATACCACGCAACCGTTGGCGTATCAAGGGGCGCTGAGTCCACGCCAGCAGAGCGGGAAGCGGTGCCATGGCGGGTACCTGCAACACCGCGTCCCCATGGCGGCAGGACTGCTCAAGAGCTGGAAGCGGAAGTATTTCAGGCTTCGAGAGCGCGGAATGGTCTGCTACAAGACGCAGGACGACGCGACGCCGCTGTTCGAGGTCACGTTCACGGCGCACTCGGTGCTGGTACAGGAAAAATCACAGGGAGACCGGACGGCGAGCAGCAGCAGCTTCAGCAGCAGACCCAGCTCAGAACGACAGGGTGCCGCCTACGCGGACACATCGGAGAAGCACCGCAGGACGTCGTGGCCGGTGCCGAGCTCTGGGTCGATGGTTCTTGTTCTCAAGCACGTGGAAGTTACAGGTCACCAGACACCGACGAAGGCGGTTGAAGTGCCGATGTTTCTGAGAGCAGAGGACGAGGCGGATCGTACAGCGTGGACGGAATGCATCCACTTTATGATTGAAGCACACAAGCGAGCTCTGTTTCAGGCTAACCTGGAGAAAGGTCAAAGCGATGAAGACACGGACGAGCTCATGTCGCCGGATCAGTCTGTACCGAGTCCTGATGCCGCCATGGGATCGCCAGCTCGACGAGGATCAGGAACCAACAGCCAAGAAGTCACCAAGATGCCTCGACGCCGCAGGAGCAGCGGGTCTGCAGTGGCACCTGATTTATTGCCGATGTTGAATAACCTCGTGGAAGTGGAGACGTTCGAAGCCTTTTCCGCCAAATATTTGCTGATGAAAGAGATCGGCGAGGGCTCTTTCTCGATCGTGCACCGCGCCGTGAACCGCGTAACGGGTCAGGTCTGCGCCGTGAAGTGCTGCAAAATCTCGGCAGCACTGGAGGAAGAGGAGCGCCTTCTGCGCACACTCTCGCACCCGAACGTGGTAAGTCTCGAAGGCGTGTACGAGCGAAACAAGGATCTTCACTATGTGGTGATGGATTATTTAAAAGACGGGGACTTGTGCGACCTCCTCATCGAGAGGCAGCGACTCCCGGAGCCCGAGGCACGCCGCATCATTCGGCAGGTCGTCGAGGGACTCGCGTATCTGCACCGCCGCTGCGTGCTGCATCGCGACATTAAACCGGAGAACATCTTGATCCACGGCAACATTGTAAAGATTGCGGATTTTGGACTGGCGAAGGAGCTTGCGCAGCCCACCAGCATGCTAAAGCGTAGTTGTGGTACACTGGAGTATGCGGCCCCTGAGCTACTTTGCGGACGCCCGTATGGCCTCAAGTCGGACGTGTTCAGTCTTGGTATTGTGATGTACGTGCTGCTCTTTGGTGCCTTCCCGTTCAGCGTGGAATCTGCGGCCGCCTTGCAGTGTATGGATCACTTCCCAGAAGGTGTCGACGTGCGGGATATGAGCTGCCTTAGTCGCTCTAACGTGCAGTGGCGTCTTGTGAGCCCGTTGGCACAAGATGTTCTGCTGAAGATGCTGAAGACGAATGAGAGTGAACGGATCTCAGCCGAAGACTTGATGGGCCATCCTTGGTTTGATGACATCGACGATGACATGTCGGGATCGTCCAATTGCAACGGAAGCTCTCCGGAAGAGTTTGAGCTCGCTCGCATTGAGGACTGCGAGGCTCTCGGATTCGCCGAGTTACTTTCCCGAGGCTTCCAGGTCATTAAGTACGGATTCAAGGAGTCGACAAAGCCGCACTCGACATCGCTGACACTGAATTTCATGGAGGAGTGCATCACGTGGACTGCCCGGAACAGCTCGATACACACCCGGACACCAAGCAGCAATAATGATGGCGGATCAGCTGAAAACACCAAGCGAGGACGTGCTATTCCACTTCGGGAAGTCAAGGAGATTCGGGAGGGCCACACGACGCAAGCGTTCCTGTCCCGTAAAGACTCGAAGTTCCTGCCGCCGCCCGAGCTCTGCCTTTCCATTGTGTGTCCTTGGCGAACGCTCGATCTCGTGGTGGAAGCTCCAAGCCAACGCGAATTTATGGCCCGTGGACTCCGCCGACTGCTTCCATCATCCCCACAGTAGTTCGGGCTCATCGGTGCAGGTTTGGCAATTTGTAAGTAAGATCAGAGCACACTGGCAGCTGTAGTATATTATAAAGCGCCCAGCTTGTAGTTCACAATTCGTGCTTTAGTCAATTGTGAAGACTTCGAGTTCCTCATCCTTCACCTTTTCCTCCGGCAATCCATGCCGCTCGAGAAATTGCAGCGAGAAGAGAAGCTGCTGAAGATATTCACGAAATTCCAGCACATGTTCGTCCTTGAACACTGTAGGTGTCAGTGTCGACGTCAGATTGCTTTCCAGGTCTTCACGAGTCACGCCAGCAGGGAACGACCGCACGATCAATGCAGCATACATGAGAAGGAATACCCCACAATCTGAGCTGTTACTCTGTAACGGGATCTGCATACGAGACACACAACAACAGAAGGCGTAATGAGTACTACACGTAGAACAAGGCAATCGCATCGCGCACAAGAACACTTACATTTGGTTCAAGAAGACCGATACCTTCCGTGTCGAACGATGTTACAATCGTCTCTTCCTCCTCCACCGCACTTGCATCATCAGTAGTCTTCTCCTTTGGCACACTGACAACTGCGCTCGAGGCGAAGCGTGCTTTCCATTCACATTCCAAATAATTGCGTAGCATTCTGGTAAATTTTTTCTTCCGGTGACAGCGAAGTGAGTCCAGAAACAAGAGGCAAGGGGGGTTCGCCAGCCGATCTTCTTGGCATGACTGCAATTCCTCTTCTTCGATCTCTTCTTCATCAATATCGCCACCACCATTTGCCGTTTTAGAACTTTCGTCGCCATCGACCAAATCCACCACCTCAACTTTGCCGTCACTGCTGCCATCAGCGATTGCTCGGTGACGGCGTCTCACCTTTCTGTGCTTCTTGATAATAGCGGAGCCAGGATTGCAAAAAACTGCAATGCTCCAGTGGAAACTATGGGAAAACGAACAAATAAGTTGTAAGCCACCAGCCCTTGATGCAGCGTTGCAATGAATACCTACCTATCGTTGATAGGAATAAATAAGAATCGTTTCTCGAAGAGGTTGGCCTCTTTTTGGGTCCATCGAGCAACTCGTGCAAACCGCTCATCTGGGTCTGCAGTGGTTAACTCATGGGCGCCATTTGTGCCATTCAGCTGTGTGAAGAAGTGCGACGTGAAGAAGTACGTTTGCTGCTGTTGCCACGGTGCTAAATGCCGCCAGAGAAATCTGCGAGATCAAAAGCAACGTGAGCGTGCCCTGCTGATTCTATCGAACATGAATCAGAGCCTACCTGAGATAGAAGTCAATGATATTGTCGTTCAGAAACTCCCCGGGGACAAGGCGGTCAACATCGCCAAGAGTGACACAGATTCGACCGGCCATATCCGAGCCATCATACGGATACGTGAGCAGGACTTCATTGCGGCGACTCTCAATTTTCTGCCGCTTCAATTTCTCATCTTCACGTCGAGCCGCTGCCGCTGCCCTCTTCCTGCTCTCCACTTTCTCGCGTACTTTTTCCTCCTGCACCAGCGAAGCATCCGCTACAGGAGGTTTGTTTTCCGAATTTTGAATAATCACCACAGTGCTCGAATCATGCTTTGGCCCCGAACCACGATCATGGTTTTCACTGTTGATATCAATCTGGATCGGCGCTTTTGCCTCACCAGAATCGCCACGTGACACTCCATTGCTTTCACGTGATGTCCTTCCCCTGGTGTTCCCTTCGATGACACTGTCTCCTTCCAAGACGGAAGTCCGTGGAGTGAAAAACATTTTAACACTACCAATGGCGTGTCTGGTAATAGACGCAATACGCCTCCCGGTACTGGAACCTGCGCTGCTCTTTGATTCACCGCGCCGCGGAATCCGTAATTTGCGCAGTGCATCCCACTTCGAATACTCTTGCACCTCGCTATCTCTGAAATCCGTTAGCACCGACGAGCATTAGAAACAGCCACAAAACCCCCACTCCGTCACGTCGCATCACTTACGATAGTTTTTCACTAAATAGCCGCGCCAGCCTAGGATTGCTGTCCCCCATACTTTGGCAGCGCATCACGTCCATTTCCTCGTCAAAGTAAAACACGACTCCGAACACTTCTGCACAGAATAGCGCACGCACAAATAACAGTTAGCTTTGACAACGCTACAGCGCAAAACGCTCCCAGCACACGTACTCTGCGTCATGAATTCTTTATCGTTCCCCTGGGAACAAACCCTTGCGAATACCGAGTCATAGAAATCTGCAAACGTCGACCGACCCTTCGCTCCATCCAACTCCAGCAATAAAATGTACGGCGGTCGATCCACTCTCGAGAAACTGCATCAAAAACAAACAATAAGATACATGCTCCTCGATAGACATTCATGGTGCTTTACAACGCACCAGAAGCGCCCCAAGTGCGCGTACTGGATCTCTCCCTGCCACTTCCTTATGTCCGCCCGCCAGATCGTGAGCTCCACGCGATCGTCCAGGAACTCGATATCGCTGCGGTCGTACTTCTCCCCGCAGATGTTGGTGCGCGGGGCGCAAATGACCTCGTGCAGCTCGTCCTTGGCCGGTGAGCTCTGTGCGCTGCTGCCACTGTGCTGCGCATCTCTGCGTCGCTTCTTGGGCGTGCGGTCTTCGTACTGGAAGAAGAAGTTGAGCAGCTGCTTCTTCTCCGTCCCCTTCTCGCGCTTCTCACCCCCCTCCACGCTGCTGCTGCTGCGCTCGGCGTCGTCCTTGTGCTCGCTCTGCTTGTGCTCGCTCTCGTCGCTGCTCTCGTAGTGGGTGGTTGGGGCCGATGGCGTCGAGAGTGATGGTCTATTGTTGGAGGACGGCTCGGCGTCGTCTGTGGAGTCGCCGTCCACGTCGATGGGGCTGAACGCAGACGCGCGGGACGACGGAAGAGGAGACAGAGGAGACCGACGTGCTGCAGACGTCTGAGCGCCCATACGCGGCGACAGAGGCGTCAGGCCGAGCCGCATGGAGGCGGCGCCTACCTACCGACAGTGGTGTACTCAGCAGCGCGAAAGCGGAAGGCGAATTTTGTAACTAGTCATTGAAGCGGGAAATCTTTTAGTGACACAGAGTGATGGTCATGCTGTTGAGGAGGAGTATGCCTGATGGTAGAGCGATGCTTGCCGACGCCAGAGCTGTTTTCGCTCGCCTCACTGTAGTGCATTCATTGGCAATGGACGCCTGGGCGCGGATGGGAAAGGGGACTCGAGCTCGGCGCTCGCAGTAATGCATCTGGGTCAACCTCCAACCTCGAACTGTGTGTGTGAAGCAGGGCGACAGGAGCAAGGAAATCAGCAGCGTCGTCGTCGCCCCAGCCGGCCCCGTAACGCGGAAAAAGGGCTGCGCGTGCCCAGCTGGCCGGTAAGACACTGTCAGCGCGGCGCGCTGGGCTGTATCGTGCAGCCATCTGCTGCGTACAGACAACGACTTACAAAGCCGGCAGACACAAAAAGCCGGCAGACGAAGTCAAGCAAAGCTTAACATGAGCAAACCAGCCAATCAGATTCAATCAAATGACTTCATCTTTGTATACCATCTGGTTTTGTGTACTTTATATGCTTTCTTGTGTACTTTATGCAACACACCGTGTGTTTTATGACAGTTTTACAGATTTGACGGGAGGGAATTTATCGTTGTTTTTATATAGGAGGATGGCATTAAGCATGCCGGCTTTGTAAGTCGTTGTCTGTAGTCCTGTCAACCTTACCTTACTCACCTTCAACCCCTCGCTAACCTCCCACATACAAAACTCCATATAAAAAAATATATGAGCTTTCACGAACACACAAACGCCTGGACACCAACACCCGTGAACACCAGGACGTCGACGTGCACGTGAACGCCGACGCGCTGTAGAAAGCCGATGTGCTCGAGGACGTCGCGATGCTCAAGGACGTCGACCTGCTGACGGACGCGGAAGCGCTCGTGGACGCTGACGGGCTCGAGGAGACCGACGCGCTCGTGGACGCCGAAGTGCTCGAGAAGGCGACACGCTCGTGGACATCGAGATGGTCAAGGACGTGGACGTGCTGAAGGACGCGGAAGCGCTCGTGGACGCCGAAGTGCTCGAGAACGCCGACACGATCGTGGACGCCAACGCGCTCGTGGACGTCGAGATGCTCAAGGACGCCGACGCGCTCGTGATGAACTTGATGAACGTAATAAAGCCTTTGTCTTCAACCAAGAGAAGCGGGCGAAAATGGGCTGCTATCCAACGCGCAAGAAGCACGTACACCTTCTGCTGCTCGGGGCTAACTTCACGAAGCTGTCGGGATTGAGCTTCGGGCTGCGGCTCAAGGCTATTCTCATCCACATCGTCCTCTTTGCCGTAATTTGCGAGCGCTGCTGCGTGGTAGTTGCTCATGTGCCTCTAAACACCGCTGTTTCCCTTGCCGAATCGAACCGATCGTTTGCATCTTGTGCAATATGCATACGCAGTGTGCTCGTTCTTCAGGTTTTTATCATCGATATTCCAGAACCGGTAGTGAGCCACAAGCACAATAAACTGCCAGTGTTCAGGCTTTCGAATTTTAATTTACTCATGCCAACCTGTTTGTGAGGCGGTACTGCCATTACCGTTTCGTAGACTGGGGTCTGCCATAGTGGTGGAAGAGCTGTTAGCGTCGTAGCAGTCGAATTACCGCTAGCACCGACGTCCACCGCTCGTTGCGCAGGCGTCATGGCGACCAAAGTACCTCTATCACCGCCGTCCGAAGCTTGTTGCGCAGGCGTTGCGTCAACCCTGGGTACCGAGCGCTGCTGGACCTCTTGAACCTGCGACTCACTGGCGGCATCCGAATCGGAAGAGAACACGGTGTCTAACCTTCGGCTTCTCTTTGTTTGGCGCGTGTCGGTAGAAACAGCTCAGCGAAAATCACATCCTGTAGCGTTCCAACTCTCACGAGCGATAGTGTGTGGACTGCGATTTTGAGGGACAGACGCCATCGGCGTGTGCGAGGCGCTATTCAGCACTTCGTCAGGGGGGCGGTGCTCGTTCATCGCGCAAATACGGCTGTAGAGATCGCTCCTGGTGACAAGTTCTGGATTAGAGCGAGGTCTGCGAGCCAGCTTAAAGTGCATGAACGCCGCGTACTGCGTACAGTACGCGGCACCTTTAAAGATGGGCTATTTATGCAAAGCATGATAGTTACGCAGGTTAGGCCGAGAGTCGGGGAAGTTGGGAGGTCTGAAGGTGGGTTGAGGTTACGGAGGTAAAGGTAAGGTTTGGGAAGCTGAGGTTGACAGGACTACTGCCGCCCATCGAGGCGATGGGAAGAGCGTCGACGTCGAGTGAGCTTGGGCCGGCCGGCCAATAGTGGCCGCCATACAAATGCTGCTCTGGGCGAAGGTGTCCATCGTGGCGAGCAAAACCCTAAAATTCGAACGACAATTCAGCCAATAGGGTTCGGTGTGTCACATTACCGGGTGGACGTATACCTCACGTATACCGACCTTCTTCGAGGCACTTCCTGCTGTGCGTCCTGCTACTGCTGTTATTCGACAAGGTTCGGAGGAGCGCAGTGCGGCAGCAGTCCGCGGCAGACCTTCGCCGGCAATAGATTGTCGCCAGCGTCAATTAGCGTCACGCGTAACGACACTTTCCAGCTCTGTTCTCTGGCATGCCTCACTTGTTCCTACCAGGCGACGACGACGCAAGCGGAAACCCGTTTTCGCCAGCTTGCTGCGATACCGTTGCTGTGCCGCGGTGGAGCTGTTGGCAACAGCAGGCTGGCTCTGCTGGATCGCGAGAGGTGCCTTCAATGGTAACTATGCCTTAGGTCTAATAGACCGAGTGGTATTACGGGCAGCAGCAGCGGGGGCGAAAGGGGGTGGGCATATTGGCTCCGTTCACTATGACGTGAACTTCACAGTGCCAGCGGCTGCCGTGCATTTACCCCCCACTGCAGACTGCAGTAAAAGGCTGGTTGGGTCCTTCAAGGACAGCCTTGCTGGCCGCCGTTGTTGCCGTGATGCGTACAGCGAGCAGGCGACACCGAGAGTAGCGGCCAGGCCCGCCGAGCTCGCGCCTCCGATGTGCTCGTCGCGATCGGCGAAATGCCGTCGGCAAACGCCACTTGCTGTCCTCGCTAAAGGCCGCCTACAGAGCAATGGAATGAATCCTGCAACGGTGCCTGCCATCTCCACCGCACAGTCAGTCAACCCATGCTGTGGCGAGTGCCGCCGGCCTTTTCGGGTCGCGCTGCCATTGCCAAAATGCCACTTTCCCCGCGCGAATTTTCTGCCGCACAGCGTCTTTGTATGGGCTCTATCTTGAAGCCTCCCGGCTGCGAACTTTCCGTATTCCGGCGGGGCTGCTGCGCCCGTCCCGGGTATAGCGCCATCCGGCCACCTTTAGCTTCAACTGTACCAGTCGGTCGCTACAGACTTCCACTGCCGCGCCCGCCCAGTCGGTGGCGGCGGTCATTTTTTCGCAGAATCGCTGGCGCAGCCCGATTTGCCAAAATTCGCCCAGCAGTTACACAGATGTGCCGGCTCCCCACACACTGTTTTTGTATTGCCGACCGCCCCTGTCCCAGAGCAAGCGGTTTCTTCCCCCCCGCTGCATTTTTCGCCGCAAACCTCCGCAGCTCATTCCCGCTTTCGCTCCATGGCGCGCAGCTCGTCCCCGGTGTTCAACAACGAAGCCCCCGTCGTGCCCGCCGACGCGACCGAGCCCGTGATGGTGACCAAGACCTCGACCTCCTCGGGCGCCGCCCCCGCCGACGCCAGCGTGTCCTCCGCCAGCTCCACCTCCACAGCCACCCCTTCAGCCTCCGTGGTGGCCACCACGCCGGCCCCCGCCTCCAGCGACTGCCTGAAGTCGGCCGCATCCGGCGCGGCCTCCCCTTCGAGCGTGGACGCCACAGCAGATGTCGCCTCGCCTGCGCCCTCTCAGCGGTTCGCGCGCGTGCCGCCTGCCGTGCTGCAGAGCGTAAAGGCGTCGCTGACGTTCCGCAAGAGCTGCCTGAAGCGCTCCAAGTCGTCGGCGCTGCCGCCCGCGGCCTTCGAGGCGCACCCGGCGGCGGTGCTGAAGGCTCAGGAGACCACAGAGAAGAAGGAAGACAAAAAGCCCGTACAGAAAAACCGTCGGCGCTGCTGGGAGTGCAAGGTGAAGGTGGGCCTCACCGCCGTCAAGTGCCGCTGCGACTACACGTTCTGCGGCAAGCACCGCTACGCGGAGGAGCACAACTGCGCTTTCAATTTCAAGACGGCGGGCAAGCGCAAGCTCGAGGAGGAGAACCCCGTCGTGGTGCCCAGCAAGGTCGCGCGGATCAACTAAGGGGGAGAGAGAAAGAAGGGAGTTAAAAAACCCATTTTCTCGCATCAAGACTGAGCCACCCGGGGCCACTTGGGTCTTTGGGATTTTGGGTGATTGCGTCACCAGTGGCGACCTCAGGACTCAGTTTCTTCCCAAGATCCGATTCGACGCGTGCAATTTTCCTCTACCTGATAGAAAAGAAGTCAAGGGACGCTGATGCCCCCTGCGCTCCGAATATCGACGGCAAGCCGCCGCCCGTGGAGCTGCGAGGGCGACCAAGCGTCCCGAGTAGTTTAATAGCAGGCAGCGCGTTTGCGCTTCGCCCCCGTGTCCAGCTGCGTCCTCAGCGTAGTGCACGCTCCAGTTCAGCGCGGACCGAGCTCTAATATAGTACCAGTATTCTGCATCCAAACCATCTGCACTTCCCTTCTTCTCCTCGTTCTCTTCGTCCTTCCTCTCCTTTGGTGGTCGCGCCTGCCTTCCTTCGGCGTCTTGTCGCGAGCACACTCGCAGCTCGTGATGGGACCGAGGGAACCGTAACGATGCGAGAACTCAGTGTGCTAAAACAGGCGAGACCGAAGGTACCGGTATGTTCGAGAACTTCTCGACGCATCTCTCTATCTTTGCCATCGTACAACGCCAGTTGGTTAGGTAAAAGGCTGGATTTCTATACAAAAACTCGGTCATCTATCCGGTTCGAGGCAGTACAAACTGTGCTCGTTTTACACGGGCAAGTTCCACGAGCGCGTGGCCTGTGCCAGCACCTTTTTGTCGGCGGAGGGCAACGCCGTCTCCCGTTCGCGGCGCGCGGCCTCGTCAGGCGTCTCAAGCTCGATGCGAGCCGCGCCGTCCCACTCGAGCAGCTGCTTGACCACGTCGGGCATGCCCCGCGTCTGCAGCGCCTCGGCGTCGCCGCCGAACACCTCGACGTAGAGCTTGGCGGCCGAGACCGTCTTGCCGTCTTGCCGGCAGCTGGCGCGGCACAAGCCCTCCGCGTAGAGCTTGCCAGTGGTGGGGCACTGGAACTGGTGCAGGAAGTACATCCACTCGTCGTCGGAGAACACGAGCTGCGAGCGGATCTCGTAGGGCCGGAAGGGCGGGATCGGGTGTCGGTAGCGCACGGCCTGCGAGGCCACGAGTAACGCTCGGCGGTGGCGAGCCACGTTGCCGAGGATGCCAGTCACCCTGTTGCCAGCAACACAGAGCAAGAAAAGTGAGATTTCTGGGTTGGAAGGCGTTAGAGGATGGGGCTGTTGCCAGTTTAGGTAGATTGACTCACGCGCAAAAGTGCCAGCGCGCGAGCTCCATGTTGAAGAGGTAGGACGCATTGTTGAGGTGCAGGTTGATGTCGCAGTCCAGGAAACCCGGGCGCGCGCGCCACACGGACGGGTAGGCGAAGCCCATGCCCGGCCGGATGCTGGCCTTGTGCAGCAGGCGGTGCACCAGCCCGGCGCCCACATTCCACACGATGCGGCCTACCATCACGACGTGCGCAATGATACTGCCTGCAATTGCATGCGGCCAGCAACTGTGTTCACTTCCCTTGTTTTTCACGTCGGAAAAAAGCCGATTCGACGTGAAAAACGACAAAAAAGTGTACTATGAACGGTGTTTTTTTTGCCGTGGGCATACCCTACGGCAGGTTCATGGACTTCCTCATCTCCTGCCAGACGCGCGCGCCGAGCTTCTCTGGCGTGGGTGAAGGAGGATTTTCTTCCAGTTCCAGCTCCGCCTTCTTGGTTGCATCTCTCATGCTTGTGGCGCACGCTCCGTCCCAGTCCAGAAACCACTTCACGACGTCGGGGACCTCCTTGGGGGCTTCGACCGCCTCGCCGCCGCTCACTTCAGCGAACACGCGGTTGGCAGACACCCGGCGACGCCCCTTCATCACGACGCCACGCACGAGTCCTTCGGCGAACTGCTTGCCGGTGTCGGGGTCTTGGAACTGGTGCAAGAGGTAGATCCAGTCGTCGTCCCAATACACCACCTGGGTCTTGATCTCGTACGCGTGGAACGGAGGGATCGCGTGGCGATAGCGGATCGCCTGCGAGCCCACGACGACCATGCGCCGGTTCTTGATCGCATGCCACAGAATGCCATTCGCACTGCAAAACAGCACGCACGACAACAGCGTTTTTGGTGATAAGAGGTTAGGAGGTTAGTTCTCGTTGATGTTGCTGCCATTTAGAGACACGGCCATTGTTGCCAACGTACGCGCAGAAGTACCAACGCGCCAGCTCCATGCTGTGGAGGTACGACGAGTTGTTGAGGTGCAGGTTCACGTCGCAGTCCAGCAGTCCCGTTCTCCCTTTCCACACGGACGGGTAGCTCACGCCCAAGACGCCTCTGCCCATGGAGCGCTTGTTCGCCAGGCGATGCACCAGCCCCGCACCGATGTTCCAGAACGCACGCAGCACCATTGCTCACAGGGATCGAGTCACGGCTTGTAAACTGGGCAGCTCCGTCGCGATCTACGGCCGCACATTTATAGCGCACCCCGATTGGTCGAGCCGCTTCAACCAAATGTAGCCATCTTGATTCAAGATGGAAGTCACCTTTAGGTTGCCAGGTTGCCAGGTTGCCACCACTTATCGCCGCAGCAGGTTAGGTGCATGCACAAACATTTTTCACCATTGCCACGACCACCAACAACTCGCCCATGACTCGAGTTGGCAGCAGTTGGCACGATACATCCCAACACACTGTTCAGCACTCAGATTTTGATTCTGACCTATCGCTGCAACTGTGCCAGACTTGTACATACCGAATTACCTATGTTATGCCATACACTTCAGCGAACTCTATAGAGTCGACATTTCGGTGCCCTGGCTAGCCAAGCAAATACATTGAAAACGCGTTTCAATACAAATATCAAGTGTCACTATAAAAGGGCAGTGCAAACCAATCTTCCCGAAACGCCTGTAATTGGTCAATTAGGGGGTGTATGGCATAACATATAGAAGGCGATAGCATAGGTAATTCGGTACTGCGCATATTAGGGGGTGCTAGAATTGACAAAACCACTCCGAAATCGCATATTATTTGGGTGGCAAATAACGTGTTATTTCCGATTGAAATAACATGTTATTTCTGGGTTTGGTCGAGGGCGTCTCAGAATTCATCTTCTTGAGCGCAGGGGGATTCTTCGAGTATGCCCAAGACCAGCGACCGCCAGAAGGTCATTGCCGACGTGATCGACCTCCTCGCCCTTGCAGTCCTCGAAGACGAGCTTGACGAAGACGCTGGGGGCTCCTCTCCGTTTGATGACTGGACCGAGTGCTTTCCGGTGGAGTCGACGGTAGATGAGGTGCACGACATTCTCCTACAGCTACTGTCTCGACGGTATATGACTGCAAAAGTTAACAAGCCAAGAAGCCACGAGTTCGCGAGCCAGTACTTCCTAAACCTCGACGATGATGACTTTCGACAGCTGACTCGCACTACCAGGGAGTCGTTTGAGTTCATCTCCAACAAGATCAAGGACCACCGCGTGTTTCAGAACATCAGCGACCACCCTCAAGCCCCAATATGGCTGCAGCTAGCGGTCGCACTCGATCGTCTAGGTACGAATGGAAATGGGTCGTCCTTGGGCCGTACGACGAAGATCTGGGGAGTTGGCACGGGTACGCTAGATCTCTTTACGGATCGCGTTGTGATTGCGTTAATCGACATGTCCGATGAATACATCAAGCGGCCGATCCAGACGAGCGAAGCCAAACAGCGCGTCGAATGAGGCGAGAAGGCTTCCCGGGGTGCGTCGGGTTTATTGACGGGACAACGTTCCCTTTTGCACAGAAGCCGGGGGTTGATGGCCAGTGCTTTTTTGATAGAAAACATCGGTACAGCTTAAATGGACAAGTTGTTTGTGATGACCGCCGTCGCATCATCGCATTCTACAGCGGATGGACCGGTTCATGTGCTGATAGCACTGTGTATCGCAAGATGGCGTTGTCCAAGGACGGCTACAAGTGCCAGTTATTTAGCGAAGGCCAGTACTTGTTGGCCGACTCGGCCTATCCTGCGGACAAGACCCAAGCCGGCACTGACAACGAGGCCTTTAACCCACCGGCGACCGCTCTTATCCCGATTTTGCAGGGATAAGATTAATATAGACATTTGTATACTGGTGGGAAAGGGTAAGTGAGGTGCCCAGCGGCCTGCCCCGACTCTTCGGGTTCCACCTGCTGTCAATCTCATTGGTCAGAGTTATCCAATCAAAGCTTGGATACGGCCGTAATATTAAGCTCTGTCGAGATTTCGATCGAAAAAACCTTGGCGTAATTCGCAGGATAATGCGAACATTCGCTAAGTGAGTGAATTGTTCTGAGCTGAATATCGCGGTTGATGGACGTGCTCGGCAATTGCTGTGACACTATCCCAGGGCAAGCACGGCACAGCACATGAGAGACGCCTTCTACTGCAACGACGAGACGTACGAGGCACAACCGAAAGCAGAACAACTCAATCTCGGTACACTGCTCACTCTAGCCAGCCTGTTGCCCCATTGCTGACGTGTTTCTCGACTGCAGGCGAGGCGAGCGCTGGCGGCACAAGCCCCCCATTCCATCGGCAGTACACCCGCCTGACTTCCTCCTTCCTCTTCGCCATGCAGGGCTACGGCTACTCGCAGTACCAGGCGCACTCGCCGCACCACCAGCGCAGCGGCGAACTTCCCAAGCTCTACTACAAACCCCTGGACCACGGCACCAATAGCGGCGGCTTCAATGGCCCGGCGTGCATGAACTCCAGCAGCACGTGAACCCGAACAGCATGTTGGGCTGCGGTCATACGTCAGCCCACACGGACAAACGTTCGCGTGAGGCGCCCTAAATGAAGGAGAAGAAGCGCGTGTTCAAGCTAAACGATGTCACAAGACGCTGCAGGACGAGGCCGGATGATCAAGCAGCCCATCGTGTGATCTCGAATCAGAGTGCGAAGCGCGCCTAAAAGCAGGCGGATCGCCGAGGACCAAAATGGTGGTGGCTAAGGCGGTGACGTCAGCGATGACAGCTAAATACCCAATGGTGCTGCCAAAACAGGCTCTCACTGCAACAGCAGCCTTTGCAGGCGGATGCAGTGAGTATGTGTTGTAGTGTAAGGATCTAGTATAAAATAAAATAAAGGCATTCCATAGAATTGAGCGACAGTCAAAATCAACCTGTCAAAAGTCGCGGTCGCTCCTCAGTGGTACAGTACACATCGTGTGGGGGGAGATCTTCTCCGAGAAGATCATGGCCGACGCAAGTATGTACACCGACGACACGGCGGCCGACAGCAGCAGCACTGTGGGCGGCAGCAGCAGCGATGACGATGAACGCTCGAACCAACAGGAGCTCACAGCGCGAGGGCGCTCCGAGAGCCAAGGGCAGCTCAGCGATCAAGATACCGACTTAGACCGCTCCTCCTATTTGTTCTCTCGGACCCTAACTACACCTACGAGGCTGTCTCGGTGCGCATGTATGTCCTACTTGTGGTGGCTATTTGATATCTAACCGTCCTGCTTGCATACAACAGGCTTTCACGCCGGATGTCAACCGAACAGCGTCAAACAACAAGAAAATTTATGGCTAGCCGATGTCTGTAGGGGAGGTACGTGCACGTATCTTTGGTGTTTCAGTGGGCGTCACGATGGCTGACAAGAGCTGTGATCTCTATACGGTTGCTGGTACGCAGGCGAAAATACTAGCACACCATCTCCTACGTTGTCGATAGTGTCGTATTGTAAAGGCCTCGATCCTCGTGGTGGGAACAACAAGTAAACTCCAAGAGCGGCTTCGCGGACTCGTAACTGCATCAACGAACACGCGCGAAATGAGGCGAGGCGGGTGAACGTCTGACTGCCCAGGTGTATAGCTTAGCGCGTCTCGGGTGTAGACTCCGGAATGGGGTGCACCCAGAACAAACCCTAACCGGAAATAATACACCTAGATGTACACTCCAATCGGGGTGGCTTGTGTCCTTAGCAGAGCAGAACGTAACCTTCCTGGACGTCGCCTCTGACAGCCCTCAGATACCCAAACAATGCACGTCCGGTAGGCTGCTCCAAGTCACTTGCGCGATCCTTGGCAAAACGAACTCTGTTTATCTGTTATCTGTTGTCTCTCTCTGTCTGGCTGGCTATCTTCTGTCGATCTTTACATGCACTCCATCTTGACTTGTCTTCACTATAGTCGTGTCGTCGCAATCGTCCACGGTCCCTCGTAGCATACTTCCAGCAAGTATAATCATCACTAGGTACGCAAGTGAAGTTCAATGTTCCACGGAATCCGAACAGATCTTGGCTGGTCGGCTTGGTCGGTCGGAAACATATTGGACTTTGTATACTGGATCTTCACATCTGGGATGGTATCTTGGTACCTCCATCCGGGATTCATGATCCAAACGGGATCACACTCCACTTGGGCTTCACGTCCGGGATTTCTTGGTCAACTTCACGGCTTCTGGGTCTTCACTCGATCCGGTCGGGCTCGTCTTGCGTTGTACAGTGCACCAAGAGCAGGCGGCCTCCAGTAGGAGGCACTTCTACGCTCCCTTGGGCTTTGCCTCTCGTTCGGTACTTGGTTCCAGCCGGGGTCCATTCTTGGGGACATCTTCATCCGGGGTCACCAAACCTTGTACACTGCCAACGCGAGTCCGGTCGCTGCCTCCCTCTCCCAGAGTGAGTCTCTGAGGCAACCAATCACAGGCGCGGCTCGGGGAATTCCGGAAAATCTCCAATCCCATCGTGTCAGAAACAAGGGAAAATCTTGCGCCCGTAGGGGCTTTCCTTTTTTGTAACGGGGTTACACGCACAAGTGCCCACAGTCACTTGTAACTCTAACAGACACGACGTCTGTTAGAGGTTCGAAAGACTTTCTCGTCCTTGGTGTAGACACACCAAAGGCTACATACATTTAGGATCACCACGACGGGTGGTCCATAGAGACTTAGGATTCCTATTGGTTGAGAGCAGCATCTTTTAGCCAATGAGTGACATGCATAGCATTGGAATTCTGCCCTCCAGCCGTTGGCAGATTCCTAGTTTAGAATATTACATTTAGAGGAAGTCAGAAACATAAAACACAAATAGCAGTTCTCATTTTAACCCAAAAACATTATTTGGATCGTTTATTTAGATTAATCTATACTCGGAGGCCCGAGTATAATTAACTCTAATTTAACCTAAGCTACGCTTCCTCACATACACGCGCACACGTGTAAGCTAAAGTAGTGAGCCAAAGTAGGCCCCTTACACCTGGTAGCACTTTGTAGTACCAAAATGATATCCGAGTATCCGAGTCGTCGATCCCTTAGCCAAGACAGGATATCCATGGCATCTCCCTTATGTCCAAGCAAGATTTAACGGAATTAAGATACTTTTTGACGCTTGTATTTTCAGCCCTGACAATTCCCCAAAGCGTGTTAACAGCTTGTTGAGGGGCTCGATCTGACGAGTTGCTAACAGGAACACTGTGCAACCGTCGACAAATCCGTTAAATACGTGTTTTTTCCACCTGATCCAGGTATTTCCAGACCTGGGATGTCAGGATGCGCTACAATTGTAAGCCGAGATTTGTGCATCACTGACGATTCCCTATCGGGCGCTACACCGATTTATATTTGGCAATCTCAACGAGTGTGATCCCTATGAAAGGAATACTCACCACAATGGACAGAAAGGCGACGAGCTGTTCGGTCTCGTACCGATCCAGGCCGCGCGTCATCGACGGGTTTCTCGTAAGGAAAGCCCGGACTCGACCGATGGTCTTCTGAGAAATACTCCCCGAGCTCTTGGCAACCTTTTCGGAAATCCTGGGGTCCGTCGCCAATGTCTTGGCCACGTTGGGGTCCTTCTTGAACACGTTGCGCAGCTTACCAAGGTTTGAAAACAGTCGCTCTTCGGATCCCGCCAAGCTGCCTTCCGTTTCCGTTGCCTTCGCGCCACTTCTGAGGTTGCGGGGTGTCTCGGCTCTACTGGAAGCTAATACCCGGGAGCCATGGGGCTTGAGGTGACCGTCGTCGATGAAAGCATTGCTTGCGGCCATGATGGTCGCCGTAAGAAACAGGAACAGCACTAGACGCATTGCAGGCCTCGACGAAAATGACTGTGAGCGATTGGAGGTCGATTGAAAAATGAATGAGACCGCCCAACTAAATACATGTACTCAGCCGCACGCTGCACGTGGTGCGGACAGCATTTACATCTAGTAGAATGGCTGATTACGCCCTCAACCAACTCTTGGTCGCACCTCTGGTTCTCTTCGACTGGTTGAGATGATTATTCAAGGTGTTAGAGTGTACTGGGTGCATCCCGAAATCACATTTTAGATTTGTGATGCATATATGTCCAGGCTATGATACATTTACTACGTGATTATACTCGACGTTGTTGCCTCTACGGAAAAATAGTACTGACAGTACCATTTTTTTGTTGCTACTTGAGGGTATCATATGGATTTTTGTATAGGCTGGTAACCCCTTTTGGCAACCCCTTCTGGCAACCTCATTCTCCATCACAAATTTACTTCACTGCGCGTTTTCTTTCACTTTTGCAACGAGCACACATTGTGATTTCAGGATGCATCCACTATGTCTTCAACATTAGTATGTCTTCAGAATTAGTCTACTCATATCGCTGGTAAAATCCAAAGGGTTAACATTAGTATGTGCTCACAAGTTCATAATTAGCAGAGGTATGTCACAAAACTGGGCTCGTCTTGAGGAAGCGGTGGTCTCGCCCATCCACGCCCATAACCTATTACCGGCATCCCTTTGTCATCACATACAAACCCTACACCTATTTACCCTAACCGCACTAACAAGCTGAAACTCGATCTACACTTGGAGCAATGCAAGGCAAGCATGTGCATCTATTTATCTAGCAACAAAACTCTTCGTCGAAGTCGTCAGTCGCAGATCTTGGCCTACCGCCTTATCAACGCCAAATGACAAGACGCCTGTTTGACCAGCGTTGTACATTTTGACACCCTCAGCTCTATTACCTTTAGCTGGCAAGCTCCGCAGCAAGTTTAGCGAGGATCTGTCCTCGCCAAGCGATGTCAATACGGTACCTACACCCACCGTCTGGGCTTTGTGCTTGTCTGCTCTGCTTGGCTCTGCGTACAGCAGCTCGATGCTGGCGCGACCGCGCTTCCAGCTCTGTGTGAGCGTTTGCCGACTTTGGTTGGGTAGTGTAGGGTAGAAATTATTGATGGTGGCAAGGAAGGATATTGCCATGCTTGGTCAAGTACTTTGAGCTTCTCGGCAGCCGGGGACGATGTTACCGAGTGCCTTAATACCTTCCTCTCCTTTGCGTCAGGCAAGCGAGGCCCCCCGAGTCAGTCTGCAACTGAGCGTAATTGGTAGGCGAGGAGTGCCTGTATGCCATAACAAGTGCTCAGGTGAAAATGCCATTGATTGGCTAATATTAGCCTGTATGTCATAACAAGCAGTATGCGATGACAAAGGGATGCCGGTAACGATGTCATTGTTGGAATATGCAATCAGACAGTGTCAAGTCCCAGCCCGAAGAGACGATGACCGGGGCGCCTGTATGGTGTAACGGTCTAACGAGCTATGTTCTACAGGTATGCCATGAGTTCAATCCCCGCGGCGCCCTACCCTTTCCAACAGTCATGGCAACTCATGTGCCAGTCCTCACACCATGTAGACAACTGATGGGTTGCCCCAGAGTTGGCTCACACGTTAGAGATTGTGGAACAGAACCCTTTTTTTCTTTGCGTATCTAACGGGATTGTAAGGCTCCAAAACTAGCAAAATATGTATTAATACCAAAACAAGTGTCATTGTAAAGATAAAAACTGTTGGCTCTCACTTACCGTACTTGACAAAGTAAATACTTAAAACAAAAGAAGCATAATTATTCTGAAGCCTTCATCATGTGTCTAAAATTTTAAGCGTCTCTTAGCCAATCAGAGCATGTTTACGTGCTAAAGCTTAACACAATACTTGCAGTTTCAAGATAATTAGAGGGTATTCAACGTTAAGGTGAGTTTCAAAATAAGCTAAAAAATTGTGGAGTACTGTGTACGGTATAGCGTACTGTTAGGTGGTTGAGATATACAAAAATTGGCGTAGGTACGATTGCCTAGTATACTGAGCAAGATTCAATCATATTTGAGAGGAGGTGCTCTATTCGAGTACGCTATTTGGCGCTATCCGTTATTGATAATTGAACACCCCATTATAGGTGTACACTTCACATAAGTTAAGAATTTGACAGTCGTCGTCCGAGTATTAGCTCAGTTGGTGGTGAGAAATCTTGGCGATTTGAGCTATATTTCACCAGAAGTTGGAGCTTTGCTAATGCAAAGTACAGTATAATGGTAAACACCAAAATTCCAAGTCAAAAGGTTAGCATAGCGTTGCGTTTGCTGTTCGCGTACAACTGCGCCAGCTTTCGCGCGATCAATTCCAAGTAGCGCACTGCTCATTGTGAATTTTACTTCCCCACCTCAAGCTACTCCGAGCCCGTCGCCATGAAGTTTTTCGCGCCCCTCACCGCTGCCTGCTGCGCACTCCTTGTGTCCACCACGGTCGTTGCCGGCCGTCCCGGAAGAGACCAAGTCCCTCGACGCACTCTACGCCGACGCCATCGCCGAAGGAGGCAACCTCGTCATGTACCACGGAGGAGACTTCGCGCTGCAGCAGGACAGGGTGCGCCAGGCCTTCACCTAGCGCTTCCCCGACATCAACTTCACGCTCATCATCGACTACAGCAAGTACCACGACGTGCGCATCGACAACCAGCTCGAGACCGACTCGCTCGTTCCTGACCTCGTGGTGCTGCAGACACTGCAGGACTTCCCTCGCTGGGCTCGGGAGGGCAAGCTGCTCGAGTACAAGCGTGCCAACTTCTCGCAGGTCTACGACGGCTACTGCGACCACCGCGGCGCCTACATGGCCTACATGAGCATCACCTTCAGCTACCTGTACGACGAGACCGCGCTGGGCGGACAACCCGCGCCCAAGTCGGTGGCCGACCACGTCGACCCGCGGTGGGCCGGCAAGATGTTCATGTACGTGTGCTACGTGCAGAAGTACGGCTGGGACTGGGTCAAGAACCAGGACGTCATGTTCCGCCGCGGCTCCATCGCCAGCGACGCGGTGACGGCCAAGGACAAGGTGGTCAGCATCGGCACGTACGCCCAACGTGACGTTCGGGGCGGACGGTGACAACGACTATCTGTCGTGGGGCCAGCGGATCGCCATCCTCAAGAAGGCCAGGCACCCGACCGCCGACAAGCTCTTCATGAACTGGGCCATCTCCGAGGAGGTGCAGAAGACGGTCGTCACCGAGAACGTGCGCGTGGACCTGGCGCCCAACAGCGGCTCGAGCCACCCGTGGGAGATCGACATTGCCAACGTGGACGAGTTCCCCAAGTTCATGGCCGACCGCGAGGCGGTCGAGGCGTGGAAGCAGACGTTCTAGCTGTACTTCGGTGAGGTGCAGGGCGAGGCGACGCCCGGATTCTTTGGCGTGCACCTAGTTCGAGCACTCGGTGCAGCGAATAATACGTGTAAGGAAGAGATGGGTGGGTGTCGAAAGCTGCGGTGCAGATAATGATATGCTGCTGTTGCTGAACAGTTCGACTCTAGAAATGGGTCATCACGATGCGTGATCTTTGCAATAGCTTTAGAGGTGTAACGTCTTCAGGTTCTACCCAGAAGACGGTGGGTACTTCTCGTCGAACCAGCGCTGAATATCATGGTACTTCAACCAATGGCCTCTCATTTCCCTCAGAATGCCATCGTCGTAGTAAGTGCCTAGCTGGGCATCCAGAAGCAGCATCACCTCAAAATGCTCTCCCGAGTGCGCCAGCTTCATTGCTGAGAGGAATCCGTCTGGGTTGGTACAATGAGGTAGAAGCCACCGAACAACGTGTAAATGGCCCCTCGACGCAGCCTTTTCCATTGCCTTGCCAGCGAATCCCTCACCTCGGTTCTCACATAGCCACTTCACGACGTTCAAATGGCCGCGGCTCGCAGCCTTGGACATAGCTTTATGAGTCCATGCTTCGGCATAATATTTTGTAAGCCACTTGAGAATGTCCAATCGCCCAAGACGTGCAGCTGACACCATCGACCGAGATGAGCATCCTACCGCTGTGTTATCATGAAGCCATTGCAGCAGTGTGAAATTCCCGTTCGCCGCAGCTCCATCCATAGCTGCAGTAGTACAGCCTTCAGTGCGATTCAAATGCAGCCACTGAATTATCTCGAGCTGCTTTTCGTGAAATGACGTCGGTGTCAGGTGGAGACAGCAATGATCGGTGTCCAAGCCCTCACATGACACAGCGTGAAAGGGTCGCGTTGCAGCATTAGCCATAGCTGCAGTGGTGCATCCTTCGGAGCGGTGTGAGTGCAGCCATTGCACCACGTCCAAATGCCCGTTGCCTGCAGCGCGGTCCATCGCAGTAGTCGTGCATCCTTCAGAGCGATGCGCATGCAGCCATTTTACGACGTTCAAATGACCACAACCGGCAGCAGCATCCATGGCGAAAGACGTACAACGAGGAAAGTGGCCTGTATGCCGATTTTGAGTGCGTTTTGACTTCCCAGCTCGCTTCTTCTGCTTATTTCGTGCTACTGCATCGATACCGTTAAGATACTTCAGAACACACAAGTGTCCGTTTCTGGCTGCTGCATCCATGGCGGTTGTTGGGACCATCCCAGCGTCCTCATCATCTGAAGGAACATGGAGCTCCTCGAACAGCTCAATATTCATCTTGCCGCCATACTGCTTGTGCAGCCACTCCACAACATCAACCTTTCCGTTCTCTGCTGCTGCAAACATGGCCACCGCCGGGCCATTACCACGAACCACGCCACCCACGTTCATGAACACCCACTGCACGACGGAAAGGTGTCCACCTTCGCGAGCATTTTCAGCGGTATGCACCCAATACTGAACATCTATTATTTCCCTGTACTTCGACGCCAGCCACTTGATAAAATCCAGATCACCAAACCGCGCAGCTCGATACGCAGCAATTCCTCCAATATTTGCCACTAGAATCTGCGCTCGCCCTTGCCACTCTGCTTCAGCACAGTCCGGGAACGTGATGCTCCTGACTCCAAACCCCCTCTGAATGGCCCACTGACTTCTTGTTCTGCGCGAAGGCACAGTTGACCACATCGTCGTCGGCTCTAGTCGACTCCCTCGTGCTCCCTGCGCGTCGTAGCAACCACCGCACCAGCTCCCACTTGGCGCTCCTTGCAGCTTCATCCACACTTTGTTCACTCCATTGAATGCCCCCGTGGGTCTCGTCAGCCTCTAGCAATTGCAAGACCCAGAGATGTCCGCCTCGAGCCGCCTCCTCCACCACTTCAGAAGCCACCGGGCAGCCGGAAAAGTGCGCCAATAGCCACTGGACCATCACCAAGTCACCGCGTCGAACTGCCTGTAGCATCGCCTGGGAGAACGCTCATCGATTGTAGTGGGGCTCGCTCTGCAGCAGCTTCGCCGCGGTCCATTTCGAGCTTTTGGCGTCTCGCAGACCCCTGAGCCACACCAAATCCAGCAGAGACGTGCATACGGCGGGGGTCAACTGACACGCCTGAGTCAGCGTCAGGTCTCGCAGGAGGATGTCCGAGAGGAGCAGCGCGACGATGTCCGGGCCGCGGTTGGGCAGCTTGCTGTGCAGGACGAGAGCCACAGAGGTCAGCGGCATTGGAAATCCTGATAATTGATACACGGTGTGTGCACATCATGATACCTCGCCCACCCCTGACCTCGTCGGAATGCTGTCTTTTCTAGACGTGTCATCCCTCCCCATGCGACATTAGTACCTGCGGAATAGGATTCCCTGTATATTCCGGGATTTTAAGGAGAATCTGTTTTGAGAGGTTAGATTCCTTAGGAGGGCGTAAGCCTAGATAGAGACCTGTAATACCTTATCGCTTACATGCATAGTAGAGACTTGTGTAGCTTTCACCCCTTGCTTTACGCCGTGGCCATGCCTGGCGCTGCTCGTTGCCAGCGACGATACCGTATCAGACGCCGCTGATCGAGATGTTTCATGTGGAAGTTGCCTTTTGACGCTCAAGGCGGCGAGCGAGCTTCGTGTCGGTCGCCACCTGCAAGCACGCGCCGGTCAGCCAGGTCGGGGAGGGGAAAACCACCCGCTCGTCCTCGCATCCCCGCCAGGAGATTCCTCGGTGCAGCGCCGTACGCGCGGGCTCATAGTTGCATCAAGATATCGGGACAGCGCCGTACGACGCACCGCTGGCGACCGTGCTCTCAGCACTCTGGTGCACTGGCCACTTCGCCGAGCAACGCAGTGCCGTTGAACTTTTGCCGCCGTGGAAACGGTCCCTCGACAGCAGCACAAGGGCATCGCTGGAAGTTTTGCTTCACTTCGCCAAGGGCGTGAAGCAACTGGTCCATGCTGGAAGTATACTACAACTACGTGTGCAATCTTTAGCGCTACAGTAGAACTGCCCTGTATCAAACCTTTTTGCTGGCAGCGCTTCGCCCATCCCGCGTAAAGATCCAGGTCGCCCAAAGAAAAAAGATGTCATCCCTCCCGAACAGCTTTCAGAACGAAAGCCTTGCTATCCCGATCGTAAAAGAACGTTCCCTACTACTCATGTTACCTTAGACAAAGTATGTAGCCTTTGCTAATATATAACTTGTTGGGAATTAATGCCCCCTAGAGATAAACTTTACGAGGGTTGATTGTCCGTGGAGACCTTGCCGTGTTCACACTCCACCCCGTTCGTGCTGTGTCCCTTTATGATTAAATCGGCAAGTGCTATGCACTGGTATCGGATAGAGATGCCTTCCATCTCTAGTGTTCGGGGAGCGTGGGGAAACTCGCGTTTAAACTGTGACGAGTTAGCTCCATTAGGCAGACCATGGCGCTGCCGGGCGGGGAGGGGAAAACCACCCACCCTTCTTCCTTTTCGACCGGGAGTTTCCGCGGTGCATCGCCGTACGAATGACCTCATACTCGAGCAAAGATATCGGGACAACGCCGTACGACGCGCCACGATGCGGTGTTCCAAAGGCGCTGGCCCTCAGCCGCTGGGCGGCGTATGACTGCCGCCGCTTTCGTCCCCTTCGAGCATGGAGCTCATTTCCCAATTCGCCTCGGTTCGCTCAAGACCCCCCCTCCGTCAAGAACCCCTTCGTCTAGCGTTCGAACCGCCTGATCGCTCACGATGACTCCGGAGTCCCCCACCTCGGACCCGAAGGATGTCGAGTTCACAGCCATGCCCCTCACCCCCAAGGCTGGAGGCAGGGCAGAGGAAGAACGCTACTGGGAGGCCTACGTCCAAGTTGAAGACCTCCCCGCACGCGTCCCTCGCAGTCGAATTCTGCCGACCAACTTGGAACAGAGCCAAGGACTCAGCTCCGCGAACGTCGAGGAGGCGCGCAAACTGTGCGGGTTCAACCGCTTGTCGCCGCCCAAGACCGTGCCGGACTACATTCTGTTCCTGCAGCAGTTCCTCGACATGTTCATGATCCTGCTGAGCGTCGCGGGGCTTCTCAGCCTCATCGCGTACTTCATCGACACCTCCACGACTCTCAACTTGTATCTGTCGCTGGTCCTGTTCGCCATCGTGATCGTCACCTGCACCATCACGTTTCTCCAAGCGAGGTCGACCAGCAAGGTCATGGATTCGTTCAAGAACATGCTCCCTCAGCAATGCACGGTGGTCCGCGACGGCACCAGTCAGATCATTCCGGCCGAAGAGCTGGTGGTGGGTGACCTCGTGTGGGTGCGCAATGGTGACAAGGTGCCGGCCGACCTGCGCATTCTACTGTGCAACAACCTCAAGGTCGAGAACTCGTCGCTGACGGGGGAGTCCGAGCTGATCCCCATCACATCGGACGCCATGGAGCAGTCGGTGGCTCACTTGGAGTGCAAGAACGTCGTATTCAACGGCTCGCTTTGCTTCGACGGGTCTGCGTTGGGTCTGGTGTTGACAATTGGCGACAAAACAGTGATCGGACGGATCGCCGAGCTGGCTACGTCGACGACTACGCGCGAGACCAACATGCAGCGCGAAGTGAAGGCGTTCGTGCGCTTCATCAGCGTCCTGGCCGTGGTTATGGCTGGGATCCTGTTCGCGGTCGGCGTCATCCGAAAGGGTGGAGAGGACGTCATGTCCACGTTCGTCAACGGCTTCTTGGTCATCATCGTTGCGAATGTGCCCCAGGGTCTCCCCGCAACGGTAACCTCATTGTTGACAATCACTGCGAGTCGGATGGCAGCGCGCAATGTATTCGTTAAGCGACTCGACTGTGTGGAGACCATGGGCACTATCTCGTTGATCGCTACGGACAAGACAGGTACGCTAACCAAGAACGTCATGACTGTCACGGACACGTGGGCGGGTCGAGAGTTCGCGGCTCAGCCGTCGGGCGACCGCGTCGTGATCGAGTTGGACGACAAGACCGACTACTTGACTGGAGTGACCCCCAAGGCGGTTCTGGCTCGTGGTGCTGCGCTCTGCAGCCGGGCAGCTCCTGACACGGCTGCTACTGACAACAACAAGGCGGCGGCTACCGACGCTCTGGTCGATGGTAGCGACGAGAAAATGGCTGGATCAGTTCGACCGTCCGGGGTCAGGAACTCGTTCAGTCTGTCTCGGCTAAGCTTCCAAAGCCACTTGTCGGTCCGCGAGCAGCCTAAAGTCCTGGCGAAGCGCCAGTACACGGGCAACCCGTCCGACATTGCGCTTCTCCGCTTTGCCGACTCGAACTTCTCGTCCGACATCACGCGCAAGGAGTATCCACTAGTCTTTGAGATCCCATTCAACTCGACCAACAAGTGGCAGCTGGTGATTGTGCCCGCCCCGAACGAGAAGCACTCGCTACGCAGCTTCGACGTGTTCATGAAGGGCGCGCCAGAAGTGATCGTCAAGCGCTGCAGTACCATCCTATCGTCAACCGGCGAAGAGCTTCCGATGACCGACGCCATGATCCAGGAATTCACCCAAGCGTACGAGTTCTTCGGTAGCAAGGGGCGACGTGTTTTGGCACTTGCCACTCGGCGGTTCGAGTCTCCCAGCGCTGCATTCTCAGTCGAGGAAGGCAACTTTCCCTCTGACAGCTTGTGTTTCGTTGGTATGGCTGCGATCATGGATCCGCCTCGAGACGACGTCCCCGAGGCTATTGCCAAGTGCAAGGATGCTGGCATCAAGGTGTTCATGGTCACGGGCGACCACCCGCTGACAGCTCGCGCCATCGCGACTGAAATCGGTTTGCTCGACGATCCCGACAACATGCTGGAGCTAGTGTCGGCCAATGAAGCTGCCGAGCTTCCAGACGATTTGTACACGTACGACAGCGCAGTTGTGCATGGTGGCGTGATCAATTCGCTCTCGGACGACGACCTGAAGGCCATTCTGCGCTTGAAGTCGGTGGTCTTCGCCCGGACAACGCCTCAGCACAAGCTCCAGATCGTGCAGGCCAGTCAGGAGCTGGGTGAATGTGTTGGTGTGACTGGGGATGGTGTGAATGATGCTCCAGCTCTGAAGCAAGCCGATGTTGGAGTCGCGATGGGGATCAATGGCAGCGACGTGGCTCGGCAAGCGGCAGACATCATCCTCATGGACGACAACTTCTCCTCGATTGTCCGTGGCGTGGAGCAAGGGCGTGTGATCTTTGACAACCTCAAGAAGACCATCGCCTACACGTTGACCCACCTGTGGCCCGAAATCATGCCTGTGGCGATCAACTTGGCGCTTGGGATGCCTGCGGGCATGACCTCGCTCCAGATTTTGAGCATCGACCTCGGTACTGAGCTGGGCCCCGCGATTTCCATCGCCTACGAAGGTGCGGAGAGCGATATCATGAAGCGGCCGCCGCGCAACCTCAAGAAGGACCGCTTGATGTCCAAGTCGCTGCTGATCTACGCCTACGCTGTGGCTGGTATGGTCAACGCTGCTGGCTGTTTGGTCGCCTATGGGACCGTCTTCTGGCGCAACGGCATCTCCTTCTCGGACTTGTTCATGAGCTCTGACGACCACTGGACGAGCGACGCCGATACATTCTGCATCTCGGACGGCGAGTGCTTCAACGAAGAAGAGCAGACCCGGTTGCTGGAGGAGGCGTGCGGCTCGTGGTACATCGCGCTGATCGTGTGCCAGTTCTTCCACATCTGGGTGGTCAAGACTCGCCGGACATCTGTGGTCAACGCCAGCCCGTTGAAGAACACGGTCACAATTTACGGTGCTACAATCGAGATCCTGATCGTCGTTCTCGTCGTGTACGTTCCAGGTTTCCAGTCTTTCTTCGGGACTGGGTCAGCTGACTATTTGCCGTGGTTGATCGGCTGCGGCACCGGTGTCATCACCTGCCTCTACAGCGAATCGATCAAGGCAATTGCACGGAGGGAAATTCCCGGACAGGAACGCTGCCTGGCTCGGTGGTTAGCGTGGTAAGCTGTTCATGATATATGCTTTCATTTTAGGATTCTTTACTCCTCGAGGCACGAGTGCGTTGCTAAATGACAAATCCAATCGATAAAGATTAACTTATCAAATCATCTTCATGGCACTCCAACCGGGTCAGTGCATAACGGGTCGTTCGGGAGATCTGGATTCCACAGATTCTGCTAACGCCAAGTTGGTCTTCTGGATGTTCGACCGATTGTCGACGCCTGCGAGGCTGGGGCAGTGTGCCTGCAAAAAATACGCCACTTCGAACTGAGTATCTTCCAGAGCTCTCCTCATTGCGAGCGCCAGTACAATGCCAATATAGCCACTGGACCACCCTCAAGTGTCCATTAGCGGCTGCCTCATCCACGGCTTTTGCTTGCTGTACATCCCTCCGGTCGATTAGCGTACAGCCACTGCACCACCTCCAAGTGACCTTCAGCCGCCGCGTCATCCATCGCTGCAGTTGTGCACCCTTCCCAGCGATTCTCATCCAGCCACCTGACAATGTCTAAGCGCCCAAGACGTGCTGCCGTGTCCATCGCTTTGGAAAGTGCATCCTACCTGTGTATTCTCGTGCAGCCACTGCAGCATTTTCAAGTTTCCGGCGGACGCAGCGCTATCCATGGCTGTGGAGGCGCTTGTTATGGGACCGCGTAGGTGCAGCCACTTGACAAGAGCTAACTGCTTCTCCTAGAACATGCTCGGTGCTAAACCTGCACAGCAAGTGCCACTTGCATCGTGAACTCCCGTTCCAGTATGAAAATGCCTCGCAGCAGCAAAATCTATCGCTGTAGTTGTGCGGCTTTCCGGTCGGTTCCACGGCAGCCACTGAACCACCTGCAAATGTCCATTAGCTGCTGCACGATCCATAGCTGCGGAGGTGCATCCTTCGGACCGATTGCCGTGCAGCCACATGACAACACTCAGATGCCCATTAGCAGCGGCGGAATCCATGGCCGCGGTAGTACAGTTCAAATTCTGCCGACTCGGACTATTGGGTTGAGCTGTATCGCCCTCTTTGTGACGCTTATGAGACGCTCGCTCGACATCATGCAGGAAGTGAAGCACGTCGAGATGCCCATGGCACGCAGCGACGTCCATAACAGTATCGGGGATCGGGCCGGGTACGTTATTTTGGACCTGGAAAAGGTCAATGGCCGGGTCACGCGAGAAGGTTGCATAGAGGCATTGCATGACCTCCAATTGACCGTGCTTGGCTGCTTCATACATGGCTTCAGACGGATCGTACTTCAGCTCGAACTTTTTCATGTATGTGAGTAGCCAACTCACGACTGCGAGTCGGCCATGTCTTACAGCAGCGTTCAGCACAGCCCCAAAGTCGAAGCTTGCCACCCCATTGGTAGAGAAATGGTGGTTGATCAATCTCTGGATAAAGCGGATGTCACCAATCGTCACAGCTTGCAGCAGCGCGCTAGGTTCGAAGTCGCCAATTCTTCTCTGAACAGTGTGAAAACGATAACTCCGAGGCTCCAAACCCATTGGCAATGGTCCACTTGGCCTCCTCCAGTTTGTGCTGGTCGAACGCGCTGTTAACCAGCTGAGAATTTGCTTGCTTCGTCTCCAACTGGCTTTTAGTGCGGCTGTATAACCAATGGACAAGGTCCCAGTTGCCTGATGCAGCGGCCAAGTTCAGACTTTCGCCACTCCATTGAATTCCTGCGTCGATTTTGGCGGCCTCTAGCATCTGGAGAACACCCAGGTTCCCACGTCGAGCCGCTTCTTCGACAACGTCCTTACTGATCTGGCAATGTCGGAAGTGCCCGAGCACCCATCGAACCATGATGAGGTCTCCTCGACGCGCTGGTTGCATTTATTTTGGTTCTTATGCAGATCAGGTCTAGGATTTGAACATGCTGATTATGAGACCGAATCGAAAGACCTGAACCAAACAACCACAGCAGTGGAACATGCCACGACAATTCTTCTCCATGCTCCGTTCAAGTATCTGTCCTACTATGCATTGGCCAGGTTTGATGCAGTTAAAGGTGTTCCATGTGACTACTCCGAATGAGCAAACGTTGTGCAGTGGCAATCCCCGATGTCTCACTATCGCTGCTAGCCACTTCTAACTGTAAGTTAGTCCATGTATTATAATACCTGCGTCCTTAGTTGCAATGTTATGCTGCTCTTCCGAGATTTTAGCCACCGCAAAACGCATTGGCGGTAACTTCACATACTGGACATTCTCTACGTTGGTATGGTGTACTAGAATGTAAGAAAAACATCGTGGGAAACAACACGAAGTCTACAGTACAGGGCACCGATACGTGTAACCCAGTAACTAGGATATCCAATTGCTTTACTAAGGCGTAGTAAAGTACAACCTCGTCCCTGAAGTGCACAACGCTGCTGAAGAAGCTGTCAAAGACGCATACGTTTGCATAACTTCGGAGCAATACATAGTGTTCGAACTTCGAACTTCGAAGCAATTATATTCGTGTCGATATGAAAACTACGTAGTATGCAGACTTTACTATCCTTCTATTGTGCGTTCGATTCAAAATTTCCGAGAGCGATTGGTTGAATCGATCCAGCGAAACCGACCTGCCAATCGCCCAACCTAACATAAGGAATGAAATATATGCGTGATAAGAGGCTTTCCTTTGGGAGCCGGAAGCTGCAGCTTTGCAGTTCTGGAATTGCACCATGGTGGCCACGCCACGGAGGTCGCCACGCCAGCCAATTCTTACGCGTGTCTCGCCGTACCCATTGCGAAGCCGCACCCCGACGCCAGGCAGCTCTCCGTCAACCTCGCAGCCCACAGTGGCTCCACGCGCATCTCCATCGCAAACAGACGCCAGTGGTCAAGGAACACGACCACTACAAGCGACCCCAGCAGCGCTTCGGCCGCAGTAGCTTCCAGCGACACGAGCACCGGCAGCACCCGCTACTGCTTCTCCTGCACTATCCGTTGGTCTGTTGGCGGCACCTCCAGCAGCACCAGCTACATCGCGAGTGATCACGTCGCTGCCACGGCCTGAGAGCATGCACGAAGCAACAACCGAAGCAGACCAAGCAGCTCCAAGTCATCTGTACCAGTTGCTATTGCGGCCAATCGTGAAGGCGACCATCGCCCAACGCGATACGTCGGCCGAGACTCTCGACGACGTCGTTGTCAACGGTGGATCGTTCGACAAGATCCTGCAGAAGATCTGGAGCTTGTTCAGCGGCCGTGTCAAGTGCAGAGCGGTGCGGACGGACGGCGAGTGGTCTGTCAAGACCCACGAGGTGGGCCAGTGGGACCGTGTCATGCAGTTCAGGGCCAAAAAGAAGGTAGTGGAGTCTACCAAGTCAGCACAAGCGTGGAAGCAGTGGCTGCAAAAAATGTGAGGGCATACAGTGACGCTCGTTATCTACGAGTATGGTTTGTCGATCGCAAGAGCTCAAGATCGAGATGAAATCGCCGCAGCCTGCATACAGCCTGAAGAGACCGATCGTGTCGGTACAACCGCTGAGACCTCGTTGCGAGATGTTGTGGAGAGGCTTCGAGAGCAATGGGGGGCTACATTCCAAGGTGAAGGTGTTGTTTGGCGTCTGTGGGCCAACCATCTCACGCGGAATCTCAACAGGTCAACGTGGGACGCCGCTATTCAACAACCACCACCAGAGTATATCGCGAATCTGCTTCGACTCGTGGATATACAGATGGAGCAACACGTGGCCGAAGTTACTCGAACGGCAAATGTGGCGCTAGATGTTGTGGAGGCCACAATTGCTGACTACCGGCAGCTACGCCAAAGGTGGGAATTTCTCGGACAGTATCTAGATGAAAATGAGCGCCGTTTGGAGGTGCGCAAGAGTGTTATCATGGGGTTTCTGCGCGACATCACCCCTCCTGCTCGCGACGAAGTGATCGACCCTCTCCTTCAAATGGAGAACGTCGAAGACACAGATCACGCCGAGTGACGAAAGAAAACGGATTGCATGTTGATGAGTTTAAGCTACTCTTACGATTCAAGTCCGTAAACTCTAATTCATCTTGGTTGCGTTCACTAGCAGCGAGTTCGGCTTTGTTCTCACTGGAAAGGTCCAACAGGATCGAAGTAGCCTTGTTTCTTCCAACCGCAGTGCTCGAACACCTTGCTCATTTCGAAATCTCTGAAGCGTTGAAACGTCTGAAAGACGAATGGAGTCAAATCTCGCCCGCTAGCTTCCGAGTAGTGTCGTTGAAAGGAGCGCTTGACGAATCCGAAGAGGAACTCGATAGGATTAGAAAACGGACAATACGCTGGCAAGAAGATCACTACTACACCGACGCTTCGTAGATAAGGAATAATTTCCGGGTGTCGGTGGATTGTAGCCCCATCCATGATTCAGATTGAGTTTGGTCCAGGATACTGGCGTATCGGCCCCCTCTCCATGTGCACCAGGTCTTGACAGCACTTGGTGAACTCTAGCCGATCGAAAGTGCCTTCCGTACTGAAGTAGTCGATAATGCCGTTGACACCAATAAAGGCCAGGATCGACACACGAGGTTTTCTCTCGAAGTCGCCGCGGATGGCAGCTTTTTCCCCTCGGACGGCGTAGCCTCGCTTGCGAACCATCCCTCTGTTGTCAAATGAGACCTCATCGAGGAAAACGAGGTTGTGGTGGCTCCAGTCGAGGTGACTAAGCTCTTCCACGAAACGGAAGACGTCCTGCTCCTTGATGTGAATCGCCCTCCGCTCCAACACCTTCCACGTCAGACCAAACGAGTGAATGATGCGCCACACTGATGTCTTGGAGATTTCGGTGCCGTGAGTTCGTTTGAAGGCGTCATGGGCTTCATCTAAGTAGGAGAGTCAATGATGTTGGTAGTAGTTAAAAATCCACACCCGTTGCTGCTTCGTGTACTTCCTCTCTCGAGTGGTCCGAGCACGCTGGAACACTCCGGTCTCGTAGTAGGCTTGCAGCCAATTGCCGATCGTGTGTTCGGTCTTATTGAAGACGTGGGCAAGATGGCTTCTAGTATAGCCGAGCTTGATGTGCGCGTAGAGGCAGTGATAGACAGTGCTAGGGTGCGCGTGCTGCCGCGTTACCGCTTCCTCCACCTTGCATTGACTGTGCGGAGTGCGCACTCGGGCACTTCAGGGAATATTGGCCAATTAGTGACGAAGTCCGATTCGCCGCTCGATTTCAAGACCGGAGCCAAACCGCACCATTTTGGAAAATTTGGGCAGAATTGACAATACTTGGATCAGGGTGCGGCGAAACTTGATCGTTACTACAATGTCGCTCTCTTTGCCCTCGCTCATTATAAACAGATCGAACGTCTGTGTGAGCTACGGCGAGCTGCGCCTTGGCCACCAACGCGTAGCTGTCCGTATCCTCGCCGCAGAGTTTGTACACATGTCGAGCAGCACGAAGCGTGGAGCGGGCTTGAGTCTGCCGTCGTCGTCATTCTGAGGCTGGTGCGGACGTGAAAGTGCAGGCCTCCATCTTGACTTGGTATCCTCACTCTTCTCGTTTGTAGTCACTGTAGACAACGTCGTAGCGCATGGCGGGACTGGACTCGAGCTTCAAGCGAAGCAGCTGGACCCCCCCCATGTCTCCGTCCGAGGTGCTCGTGGGCGGCGAAGCAGTAGGCCACCACCCGGTCGGCCGTCGGAGGGGGACGCAGACCTAGAGCGCAGCACTCGCCGATGAAGTCGCTTGTGCAGCGAAACTCTGTTGGGCGCCATTTTCCTCCTGCGTCTGGGATCCCCCTATCCATATCGATACCACAGCATGCACACCATCACATGCCCACTGGCTCGGGTGGCATCAACGGCCTCGAGATGGGCTCCGCTGCGCGCAGGAACTTTTGATCACAGGGTGCGTGGTCAGTCGGGCGCGATGCACGGTGGGCGTGCCTGCGTTCTCCTCCTCCTTGAAATGCATCCGCCGTCTCGTGTCCAACGGCGACTTCTCCGGTGACGAGCCCGCGCGCTTTCCGTGGGTGAGCCGCCGGCTGCTATTGCTGCTGCTGCATCTGCATCTCCCAGCTCACGCTGTGTTTGCCAACGGGGGTTAGACTGCAGGCGCGAGCTAGGGACATCTCTGCAATCAGGAAGTCCGAGATATTTGCCGACGCTCGATCCCGGGCCTTAGTGGGGAACTTGTTGAGCACAAGAACGACAGCAGTTAGCTTCATTTTCGAAAGATGGCACTACTGTAGTTATGGGCAGGCGCTGCAGGTCACCTCACAGTCTTAGGCTTTATCTTTAGAGGCTTTCAGTACGAAGTAAAACGTAAAGCATTTAATCATTCTTACAGCTAAGAGAGAAGCGTGCTACAGCGGTCATTGTGCTATTCCTTCAGTTCTACTCACTTCGGAACTTTGGCTCCGATGCTGGTTATTGAGGGTTGCTGGTCTTGGGTACTGTGTACCAGTTGTACCCATTAACCGGTTAACCCGAACCGGTCCAATCCGAACCCACGTTGATTATGGTGATTACGGTAAGTTGTTTACGCCACCGATGATTAGACGAGTAGGATGATTGGATGAACACCAGTGAGTGATGGTTGATTAGATGCACTAGGTGATAGGACGCAGGGTCGCGTGTCTATAACAGTAGGGTGTAAGCTCCAACAGTTCAATCACTTTCGAATCTTCATTCTACCCCTCAAGTGCCTTCGCTCCGGTCCCGCCGTCTGCGACGTCCCTCCCTCCGCTTCGTCCGATCTTCGTGTCCAAGATCCATACCTTCCATCAGGTTATGAGCCCAAGCACCATGTCCTCTGCCCAAGACGCCTCGACCAAGGTCTCCATTGACAAGTTCAACGGTGACAACTACGCGACGTGGAACCGCTACATGCGTGGCGTGTTCCTGACCAAGTCGACGTGGCATGTCGTGAACCGCGAGACGACGCCGAGCTTCACGGACTCGCGGGCCAAGGACGACTACGTCAAGTCGAGCAACATCGCGTTCGGACTGATGTTGCTCCACATGGACGCGGACTACCACCATGTGGTCGACGACTGCGAGGAAGCGTGGGTTGCGTGGACGCGCCTGAAGACGCTGTACGGTGGTTCGCAAAAGGCTGGACGCATCTACCTGAAGCGCCAACTCTTCAGCATGGAGATATCGGAAGGTGGCAACGTCTTGCATCATTGCAACGAGGTCCTCAACATCAGCGCCAAGCTCAGCAGCATCGGCGCCAAGATGGAGGATGAGGACGTGGCGATCTGCCTGTTGCGCAGCCTCCCCAAGAGCTACGAGAACGTCGTGCTGAACTTGGAGATGAGCAGCGCTGAACTACGATCGCAAGACGTCGTGAAGGTGCTGACGAATGAGCACATCAAGAGACAAGGTGAGAAGACGGCGACGGTGAAGACGGAGAATGCGGCCAAGGCGTTCAACACCGACCGAGAGTCTCGCCAGTGTACGTACTGCGGGAAATTGGGGCACACGATTGACAAGTGCTGGACCAAACAGAAGGACGAGAATCGGGGCCCAAGACGCGGCGGCAATGGCAATGGCCGTGGACGCGGGGCCAACAATGCCCAGTGGAGGAACGACAACGCCAGCTACAACTACGACTACGGCTATGATCGAGTGGCGTTCGCGGTCTCACTGGAGTGTGGCATTTCGACGGGCAAGAATGTGTCCGGGTTGTGGGCGGTCGACAGCGGCGCAACGCACCACATCTGCAACGACAAGGCCAAGTTCGCTCATTTGATTGAGCGGAATGAAGGCGAACTTTCGGTGGCCGACGGCAACAAGGCGGCCATCATGGGTGTGGGGACCATCGTGGAACGAGTGGTTCTGCCCAACGGCGACGAGCGCGACATCGAGATCAAGAACGCGCTGTACGTCCCAAGCATGAGCAAGAATCTGCTTTCGGTGCCACAGATCAACAAGAGTGGTCTGTTCCAAGTCGTGTTCGACAGCACCAAGATGCAGATTGCGCACAAGGGCTCCAAGCAAGTGGTGGCGACGGCAAACCTCGTGGATGGACTCTACTGGCTCCAGACGCCTCAGCGATCGGCGAATGCGGCGACCAGTGGGAAGACGGTCGACTTACACGCGCGTATGGGTCACGCTCCGGTGGAGGTGCTTCGCAAGATGGTCGACAACAACATGATCAAGGACGCGAAGGCACCTTCCAAGTCGAGTGTGTCGCGGCTGCCAGCAAGGGAAAATGGTCCAGAAGCCGTTCCCAAGCAACCGTGACAAGCGTCACTACGACACGTTCGAGCTGCTCCACTTCGACGTGTGCGGCCCCATGGAAGAAGAGTCACTGGGTGGCAGCAAGTATCTGCTGCTGATCGTGGACGAAGCCAGCGGATGCATGAAGGGGTTCTGCCTGCGTGCCAAGTCGGAGAGCGAGGACTGCATCAAGATGTACGTCACGAAGGTGCAGACGCAGTTCGGCAAGAAGGTCAAGTTCGTGCGGCACGACGGAGCCCGTGAGTTCGCGACCAACTCGCTCAAGGCCTTCTACGAAGTCGAAGGCATCGAGCAGCAAACCACGGTTCCGTACGCGCACCAGACCATCGGCACGGCAGAACGCGCCATCCGGACCATCGTCACGATTGGCCGCAGCATGCTGCATCACGCCAAGCTGGACAAGAGCTTCTGGGCTGAGGCGGCCATGACAGCCATCTACGTGAAGAATCGTCTGCCATCACCCAAGATTGAACACAAGACTCCGTTCGAGATCGTTTACAAGTCCAAGCCGAGTGTGAAGCACATGCGTGTGTTCGGATGCCAGACGTACATCCTGACGCCGAAGGAAAGACGGCGCAAGTGGGACCTCAAGGCTCGTGCCGGGCTGTTCCTCGGCTACGAAGAAGTGTCCAAGGCGTATCGAGTTTATGACATCGAGGCGGGGTAGGTGGTTATCAGTCGCGATGTCAACTTCGATGAGTCGACCTTTGGACTTTCGACGCATACTTCGGATGAAGACGTCGATGATGCTGCGCTGGACTTGGACGCGCTGGA